TTAACTATATTTGTACAATGTTATCAATAATGTGAAATTTAAATGTATATGCATAATGACGAAATTGTGTGTCCATCTGATACTAGTTTAGTATTATGTATCCAATAAATTTTAAACTATTAACAAGTGTGTAACAAAAAGCTATTAACAATAAATTGATCCATTGTTTACTGTATACATGTATACATATCTTATGTTTAAACAATATTTCTAGCCTTCTTATTATTATCATTATAGCCACATAGAAATCAACACAGAGATGTTAAAGAAATGTTAAGTGAGTTTTAGTTTTACTCATAAAAAATAAAAAAGAAGATTATGTCAATTACAGAACAAAATTGGATGTATAATTTTTTATGATTAAGAAATTGTAGCATTCATACCTTTTGCAAGCATACAAATGACAATTATATAAAAGTTACTGTAAACAAAACATTTTAGTAATTAAGTGAGGACACGTGCGTCACGAACGTTATACATTTAAGTTCGGGCGATCGAAAAATATACATTTTAAATTTTAACCCATCTCTCTTCTTACTTCACTATTTTCACTTTTGAAAATTTATACCATCTTAGAAAAAACAAACCCCCACATTTTTTTAGTATTGGAAGTGTTATTTCGGACGATTTAATTGTGTACAGAAATTGATTAATCAACATATACTCGACATAAAATGCATATATTCTTGACTGTGTCGCCTTCCTTTGCTTTATATAATTAAGACAGTCGAGTGATATATACTATGTGTGGTTTGTTTAACAAACAATCCATTATTACAACTCATTAATACATCTTAGATAAGACATATCTATACAAGGCCTATAACATATTCATTACACTAGTACCATGTATGCTAAGTTTAATGAAGCTCCTGTCCAAACACTATAAGAACATAAACTGCACTGCACCATGAACCCTTGCCACTGATTTCAATGTTTTTGTAGAAGACTGTGTTTCAAGTAATATGTACAAGCAGTTTATCGGTATAAATATACAAACATTATCAAACTAAAACTACAAACGTCTTAAAACAGGGACTGTGCTGTATTTTTTTATCTATTTATAATCTTTTTATCAAATGATTCGAGTATAATAATAGTCATAAGCATGGGAATATCTTTGCATGGCAGTTTGTACAACAAAAATAAAAAGCCAAATAATGCGCAACAAATTTTAAGCAAATAACACGCATATTAACAAAAATGAACGAATTTTGGACAGAAATAAAAAAGAAGATGAAATATGTCGCATCGTAATACATTTATCATTATTAAGTCATTGTTTGGCGTGATGACTCGCGCATTTCAGTCTTTGAAGGTATATTTTTAAAAGGTTATATTGAAACGCAAATTCATCTTTTAAAAGAAAAAAAACTTTTATGTTAAAGTCAGTTTAAAAGTTTTGAACTTCATAATCGATAGCTCGAGATTCAACAGGTAACCAGAAAATTTCGAGTGCTAGCTGCCTGTCTCGTTACTGTATTAAATCTCAAATACATTGGAAATAAAAATTTAAACCAATTGTATATTTTCCTTAATGCCTTTGCGTGTATTTGTTTCTAAATGCCTTTGTGTTTATATTTTCCTTAACGCCTTTGTGTGTTTATGTTCCTTAATGTTTTTGTGTGTATATGTTCCTTAATGTCTTTGTGTGTATATGTTCCTTATTGTCTTTGTGTGTATATGTTCCTTAACGCCTTTGTGTGTATATGTTACTTAACGCCTTTTTGAGTATATGTTCCTTAATGTCTTTGTGTGTATTTGTTCCTTAACGCCTTTGTGTGTATATGTTCCTTAACACCTTTGTGTGTATATGTTCCTTAACGCCTTTGTGTGTATATGTTCCTTAATGTCTTTGTGTGTATATATTCCTTAACGCCTTTGTGTGTATATGTTCCTTAACGCCTTTGTGTGTATATGTTCCTTAATGTCTTTGTGTGTATATGTTCCTAAACGTCTTTGTTTATATGTTCATTAACGCCTTTGTGTGTATCTGTTCCTTAATGCCTTTGTGTGTATATGTGCCTTAATGCCTTTGTGGGTATATGTTCCTTAATGCCTTTGTGTGTATATGTTCCTTAACGCCTTTGTGTGTATCTGTTCCTTAACGCCTTTGTGTGTATATGTTCCTTAATGCCTTTGTGTGTATATGTTCCTTAACGCCTTTGTGTGTATATGTTCCTAAACGCCTTTGTGTGTATATGTTCCTTAACGCCTTTGTGTGTATATGTTCCTTAATGCCTTTGTTTGTATATTTTCCTTAATGCATTTGCGTGTATATGTTTCTAAATGCCTTTGTGTTTATATGTTTGCTAATGTCTTTGTGTGTATATGTTCCTTAACGCATTTGTGTGTATTTGTTCCTTAACGCCTTTGTGTGTATATGTTCCTTAACGCCTTTGTGTGTATATGTTTCTTAATGCCTTTGTGTGAATATGTTTCTTAAAGCCTTTGTGTAAATATGTTCCTTAATACCTTTGTGTTTATATTTTCCTTAATGCCTTTGCGTGTATATGTTTCTAAATGCCTTTGTGTTTATATGTTCCTTAATGTCTTTGTGTGTATATGTTCCTTAACGCCTTTGTGTGTATATGTTCCTTAACGCCTTTTAGTGTATATGTTCCTTAATGCCTTTGTGTAAATATGTTCCTTCATACCTTTGTGTGTATATTTTCCTTAATGCCTTTGTGTAAATATGTTCTTTCATACCTTTTTGTGTATATTTTCCTTAATGCCTTTGCGTGTATATGTTTCTAAATGTCTTTGTGTTTATATTTTCCTTAATGCCTTTGTGTGTGTATATGTTCGTTAATGTCTCTGTGTGTATATTGTACAATCTGTTGCTTAATTTTCTTTTGTGTATATATTTTAAATCATCTATTTTGCACTTATGAATATAGTTTACACCATAAACTTAAAATGTTTTTCATGCATATATGTGCATACATTTTACACCACCTTCTTCAAGTGCTCTTCATTTGTACGAACATATTTAATACCATCTGCCTCAAGTGTTCTTCAAGTTTTGTGCATATATTTTACAACATTTACCTCAAGAGTTTTTGGGGTTTTTTTTGCAATTGTGCTTATTTTTACACTACCTAGTACAAGTGTTTCTTCATGTCTAGTGATGACTTTATGTGAACATCATCTACTTAAATTGTTCTTCATGTATTAGTGGAAATATTTTTAATCACCAACTTCACTTGATCTTTATGTATGTGTGCATATATATTAGCAATCTTTCAATTGCTATCTTACACAGTTTACTTCAATTGTTATTTATACTTGTGTGCATGTATTATAAAACCATCTTAATTTTGTAAGTCAATTGTTTTTAATGTATATGTGCATATATTTTACATAATCTCATTCAATTGCTATTCAGGCATTTGTGTAAAAATTTCAATCATCTACTTTAATTATTCTTCATGTATTTGTGCATATATTTTAAATCATCTGCTAGAAGTATTTCTTCATGGAGTTGTTTGATTTTTTACACCATCTTCCTCCAGTGTTTCTATGTGCATTTTTACATATACTTGTATTTTACATATTTTCTTCAAGTGTTTCTTCGTGCATTTTTCGAATATTATTCGTATATACCAACTGCTTCAGTTGTTCATTATTCATTTATGAAAAAATTTAAATTATTTACTTTAAGAGTTTCTTCATGCATCTATCTTCTTACATATATCTTTCACCATTGTTACACAATACATCCCGCCGCTTTTCTTTCGTCGGACAGTCACACTAAAAATAGAAATTGGTCGTTCCTTGAAAATTCTTTTGTCTATTTTCTTTTTTTTTGTTTTAGATTCATGTTCATTGCACCTGATATATCTCTCATGACTCTATAAACCTAGTCTGCCTGCAATTGTACACAGACGAATCTCCTTTTTTCTAGATATGATGCATGGTAGCTGTAAAATGTAATAATATACTTATTGTCTTTATAGTTTTAGTCCTATGGGATAATTGATTCCAGTATGTTTAGTGTTGAAAATTGAATTCTGTTTAAGCCGGTTCTAATGGGCATGAGATATATTGCACCTTTCATAGTCTCTTATGGAAAATTCAATCAAACCAAGGCTGCAATTTTTACCTTTTTTAATTTTGTTTTTCAAAAGGAGCTCTCCCTTTTCTAGTTATGATAAACAACAATATGTACAAATGTTTTATTCTTATACATTTATAATGTTAAGATGCAAAAATGTATGATGTCAAGCATATTATTACTCGTTTATAAAAAAGTGCTCTTTTTTGTTGAAACTTAGACCACAATAATTACAATAATTGTACTTTATTGTAGACACATAGTCATGCATGTGGTACGAAATAGTACATGTTATGATGTATATGACACTTTAACATCTCAAATTAAATTGTTATAGAACTAAATGGAAACAAACAGAATGACGTAATGATATAATTTAACCAATCATAACAGCAATTGCTTAAGAACAAAGCACAACAAAACATAATATAACACAACATTTTGTAGTCAAATACGTCATAATGATGAACGCTTTTGTTTACGAATAATTATCAATTATATAAATATAAACAAAATAAGTGTCACTGGCTATCATGGATGATCTCAAATTTGCTACCATAAAAACCACGTTAGTTTATTGTTTATATTATATATTATATTATATGCTCTTGGTGTGATTGATCAGACTATCTTAACGTAAGCTGTACATAAATATATCATAATTAACAGCAGAAAAAAACACTGAAAAAAATAGGCTAAGCATGATTAAGACATCAACTGTGGTGTGAATTGTTAAAAATGTTCATAACCGACACAAAACCGCTTATATTAAAATTTTATACGTATTATAAGCTTCTTCTTGAATATTTATTTTTAATTGCCCTAGTTAACATAAAAATGTTACACGGCCCAGTTGTGACAACCGATGAAAAACAAATGAAGATTGCCCAGCCTAATTAGTAAACTATAAAAAGAATACTGTATGTAGTGATTGCCCTTATTTACAAATGTTATCAAGGAGTGACTTTATTGCTTTTAAATTGAAATAATTAAAATGGAATTAAATGTTTACCTTTTATATTTGTGTATTTGTGTTTCCGTAATAAATGGACAGCAATCAGAAAGACCTGCCCACTGTGACGGCATCCAATGTTATCCCCCAGATTGTCCAGACGCCTATCTTCAAGAAGGGGAGTGTTGCCCCGGCTGTCCTGGTCCAGGTAAACTATAATGTAACGTTACAACATTTGAACAAAAAACATGAAAGACAACGATGTTTCATCTGCAAAAATTGACAAAATGTATGACTATTTAAAGTGACTTTAATGCAAAAATAATTACCTCGATAGTATTCAGTATCAAACATAACAAACTACGAAATAAATATATATAGATGTCGTTGGCAAATGTGAGATTAATGATCTGATATTACATATATTAATTTAACAAAAATAATAAAAAATGTTCTAGAACAAATTATTATTATTCGTCATATAAATGTTTAGACTAAATCGCCTCAAACTGAACTTTATCAACATTTATGTTGTCAAGCAATGCTTAAACAATATCGAAATGGTACATTTCTATTGTTTTAATCAATATTTGAAATACTTATGGATAATGTGCCGTTTGTAGACCGTATGAAAAAATGCAATAATTAAAATATATATATTTTATATAAAATAACTCTTTTTTGCATAACATTTATGAGTTAAAACATGTTAGGGAAGGGATCTTGATTTTATGTCAGTGTTCATTTGTGATATACTGCCATAATTATTGTTTTCACCTCGCGATAGCATCGTTTTATCGCGCTTAAATCGCTGGATGGGTTAACGAATCCCGAACTTCATTCTAATATACTCTTATTAGTTGCATTTTTTCTGCATTAGTCATCATATATTTGTTTATTTCTTGAATTTTATAACTCGCATTTAATATGACCATTTATAATCTTTACGTTTGTGAACAAATTATATCGGTTTTCGGTAATGTATTTTTTTTTCGAAAAAAATATGGTTAAACTCAATTCAAGAAAATAATATCAAACTATACTGATACATTGTATAATTATGATGAAATGACGTTTTGCATGGTTGCTGATTCACGCCAAGTGGTATTTGGGCTTTTTCGCCACGTTACTTAAATTGTTTGTTCAGCTAAACCTAATGCCATATAAAACCACATCAACTCATTTCATTTATAACAACAAAGAAAAAAATGAAAATTCACATTTCTTAAGATTATTATCACAATACAAACAAAATATGTGCTGACAAATAGACGTCGCATTATACGACAGTATGCCATTAAATAGTTGAGCGCTGAAAAGGTTGATTTTAAGCGGTATAAACGACTGTGTTCGCTATTTTAACGGCAGCAGGATGATATAATAAGATATAAAATTTAATTACCAGACTGGCTGATTGTCCTTCTTAAGTTTCTCGTATGCACGCGCGGTTTACCCAACGCGATGTTAAATTGAAATGATTGATAAATGAAAAAAAAATGTGGGAAATCGACAGTCACACTTTTTAAAATTCTCATTCGACAAAAATGTTAAAGACTAAATATAAATTTAAAATTATCCCTTTATTTATAATATTGTATCATAATCTTTATTGTATTATAGAAATGCTGTAATACAGTAATAATTTATTCAAATATTTGAAATTATCTAATGCCAACAGAATGAGATACCAGGTTTTGTGTTTCGCCTTTGGTTGAGGACTTAAAAGTGGACGATTTAATCGCAAAAATGCAGTAAAAAAATCAATGCACAACCATGGCATTAAGTTAAACCCTATCAGAGACTAAGATAAAGGCTATTTAATTTTTTCATATACTTTAGGTAGCAACGGTAAGTCAGTACATTGTTAAGAAAATGCTCTTGGTAGAGTTTAAAACATTCATGTCTTATTTAACTGGCAAATGAATTTGCTGTTCACGACCAAACTCTACATTACTCTTGTTTGTATATGTGCCCTATAGCTGTTTCTCCTTGATCGGATGTTCGATATTGCCTAGCTTGCTAAGCTCTCTGTCCTTTCAAATTTCCTGTTAAAATTGGTCCTCAACACGGTATTCTTAAAGGTATACTATGCTCAAGTCTGATATTAGAAAATATTGATAATTGCTACACAATTTCTTTGTAATACAAAAATACATGTTCTGACTTCACACAAAGTATATATGTTATGTTTAAAATGCTTCACCCTATATGTTGTCACAATATCACTATATGCTGTCATTTAAAAAAAACATGACTTATCTTAAGAAAAGACCAACTTTACTTGACCTGAAAGTGGAAATGCAGCTCCCATGCAGAGTTTATTCAAATAAGACATATTCAGTAAGAATTTTATAGATTTCAATAAATTTATGTCATTGAAATATTTTAGTCAAGGATGAGCTAGTATATCTACTGAATTTTACATACTTGTGTACATGGTAATGAAACTGTTACAAAATGCTTAACACAATATATTCACCAGCTTTGCTAATATTCAAAAAGACACATTCATTATCATACATCATAAGTCACCTTGTCCTCCCCCCAACAGTTGTTCTAGTATAATTGTTTCCCTTTGTTATTTAAATAAAACTATCTACCGTGTATGATTTATTCTTTTAACAAGGTTGAATTTCTTACTATAATTAGTTTTTTATCATTGTTTTAGGAAGATCATGTACGTATCAAGGTAGAACGTTAAGAGATGGTGAGAAATTCAAACAGGAATGCAACACGTGTATATGTAACAATGGCAATGTAGCTTGTACAGAAATGGCATGTAGTAAGTTTGATATATGCACACACATAAATATGACGCGGAAAATGTTCTGGCACCAATCCCCAGCATCAATAATGTAAACTAAATAAAGCTATTCGTGAAAAACAACAACAACAACAACAACAACAACAAAAATGAATTTGTCAAAAGTAAATGCGTGATATACATGTTTTATATTTCAGTTTATGTTTATACCCACTTCATTAAACAAGTCAAAAGTAGTTTGCAATCTCAATAAATTAAAAGTATATGATAATCTCTATAAAAACATAATGTATAGTTTCAGGTAGCATTGAAAAAATTAAACAACGTAATGAAACGTTTATACTTTAAGATAGCAATGTTAAAGAAATAGTCACGGTTACTAGCAGCTATATATTCCGGACTGTTTGGCTCTCGTCACATAATATTGTCAGTTAATTAACGTGACGTTGAAGTTTACGTCCATTTTACTGCTTTTAAACTTTTAAAATATAGAGTGCTTGATGATAAAAAAGATGAAAAATGTTGCTTGTATAGCTTCGTAATTTTGCAGTACATACATTTTAAGTTAATACACACATAATATTTGAATTTGTTATTCAAGATTTTAAATAATCTTGGTTGTTATAAAAGCAAATTAAGAACTTTGTGTTTGTAGCATGTATTTAAAACGGGAGATTAATATTGCCTTTTAGGGGAAAAACTGAATTAATGAAATGAAATTTGTACTGTCCAAGAAATAAGAAAACGGATTTCCGTATCATATTTTATATTCCACCGATATTGTTTTCGATAAGGAATGTTTTAAAATCGCTTTTAAACTTAGCTTTGCTTTATAAATTTATTAAGCTGGAAGTAAACCTGGACGGTGTCCTCGCCCGGATGGTATGGGGATATGTGTGGAGAGATGTACAAACGATGACAGCTGTCCACGCAGGCAGAAATGCTGCAGTAATGGATGCGGACATACATGTCAAAGACCCATACGAGGTTTGCTTAATACAAATTAAGAGCCTTGGCAATAAATCTTATAATCATATATCTGCCTATCTTATTATCAATATCTCAATGACATTTTTATGTAATCATACAACTTACATTGCTATTTGATATTCAAATAAGAATTATTATTCTAAGCAATGATATCAATATTGTCATTAATTTTCAGCTTTATTTTTGCATACTGTCATTACAACCCGAACGTAATAGTAACAATAATACAAATACGTCAAGAAATGTTGAAAGTTACTTTTTATTCTTTTTAATAAAGCAATTCAAATATAACCATTTCCAATTAAGTTAACACTTTTTATCGAAACGAATTACAGCCAGTAAAACAGGGACGTAAATTTTATTACTTGGTCTTCTTATCATTTTCAAGGTAAACGATGCAGATACCTTGGTGGGACCTATAGGGACGGTGAAAGTTTTAGAGATGACTGCAATACATGTGTTTGTAATGACGGTAACGTTGCGTGTACAAGAATGGCATGTCGTAAGTTACAGATTGACAATATACATTTATTAAGTTCTCTACATCTAGTTATCAGGGTATGCTTGATACAGTACTATTGATATTAAAAAATGAGTCCGAAATTAAGATAAACTGATTGATAAAAAGCACTCTGCCTCCCTCCCACACACACTTTAAATCCTGTTTATAGATTAAAACGGATGTAAATAATAACTAATCAATGGAACCTGACTTTTTTGCAGTAAAGACATGTGTTCACAATGGAGTTACGTATCGTGACGGTGAAAGTTACATGAATGAATGTAACACTTGTATGTGTAGTAACGGGCAGTCTATATGTACATTAATGGCATGTCGTAAGTTCTTTCATTTATACCATTTGTTGGAAAATTAAAGTAAACACGATAACATTTTTATAACTATTTTCATATATGCAAGTTCTATAGTGATAAATACGCGATTGATGCGCCATCAACATTGTTGGGTTCCTCAAATATTGCAACATATTGACAAAATTGTCCCACAAAATGACAGAAAACAAACAACTGAATGCCTATTTTTATTACGTTGAATATTTCTATCGTTGCTTTTACTTTAAAATATAATAATCTTAAAATATTTTAGAAACGTAACAGATTATAATTGAACTTCAGACATTGTATTTCGTCAAATCAAGTCACAAAAACTAAGAAAAAAATGATTATCATATTCAAATAGTGAACATGTTATAACTTGTGTTTTTAAAGGAAAATAAGAATAAATTTTATTAATTATTATGAATACAATATGACATTATTGAATTTCCAGCCGGAAGACCAGGTTCTTGCTCAAAGATTGGTAGTGCAGTAGGCAGTATTTGTATAGATGAATGTACATCTGACTATAATTGTCCGGTTGGTGAAAAATGTTGCAATAGTGGATGTGGCCGGATCTGCACCAAACCTATCGGCGGAGGTGATGGTGAGTTCTAGTTAAATATTCAAAAAAGAAACGTGTTTCTGCTTAATTTGATTTAATTTGGTGAATTTGGTTGTATACGAAATAATTTTGTTGAAACTGGTTTTATATATCTACATGTATGCAGGTAATTATAAATATATAAATAATTTGCAATGTCTATACATAAAATGAACTTGTGCACCATCTACTTTTCCAATACATTATTTTTGTCAGTAAGAGTCAGTGTAGGGATTATTGGATCGGACATTGCTGATATGATAATTTTATATTGTCAGTATCATTTTCTTATGTCCTGGACGGTCCTTTTAAAATATTGATTATTCTACTTCCTCTGAACTGCTTGTTTAAAGGAAAAACATGTCAACACAATGGAGTAACATATAAAGATGGCGAAACCTTCAAAGATGACTGCAATAGTTGTGTTTGCAACAATGGAAATGCAGCATGTACTTTAATGGCGTGCCGTAAGTATAATTATTAACTGAATAACTCATGCCTTTTATTTCTACATAAACAAAACACATGCATAACATTATATCAGTATAAACAGGAACATTGTACATGTATTTATATATCTATGTTCCTGCAGTAATATAAATAAAATTCATTGTAAAGACAAATGTTAAAAAAAGCTGATATTACAGTAAAACATATTTAATTTTTTTCATCAAAAGTTTAAAAAATATATTAAGTAAACTTCAATACTAAATGAATTATACTCGTTTTGTGTGTTCCGGGTAGATTGTTATGAATTATTATTTATAGCTGGACGACCAGGCACCTGTCCGCAGATTAGTGATAGTGTTGGCATGATTTGTATAGTAGAATGTACCTCTGACTACACGTGTGCTGCTGGTCAAAAATGTTGTAGCAATGGTTGTGGCCGGGCCTGCACGACACCAATTAGCGGGGGTAATAGGTTTAAATTAAATTATTTATTTGAAACAAACAAACAAAAATCAGTCAAGATTTATTATTATTTTCCGAATAATTGTATCTATTCTAACTGATACAATTTTCAGTTTTACTAAAGGTATAAAACTCTATATGATTATCTAATGCTTATATAAGTGAGACGCTCAAATGTTTTATAGAAAGAACATTTTTGAAATAGATCAATATACAATAAATGATAAATCATATCAATAATTTCTTGAAGGTATGTCATGTATACATAATGGCGTAACATATAATGATGGCGAAAGCTTTAACATAAGCTGTAACACTTGCACCTGTATAAATGGAATTAAATCATGTACATTGAAAGCGTGTCGTAAGTATCATGAAACATTTATCTAAATTGGCTTTTTGGTGTTTAATTAACTCTGGAACACTAGCAGTAATTAGTGGGCTCACCTTTAATGTTATGGTCTTCAGGACCTTTCTACTGTCTACTGTTCATTTGCAATATGATTATATTCAAACCAATTAGAATTACAATAAACGTTTCAGTAAGAATATAATCAAAGGAAATCATTACAAATTAGCCATACGAGCACATAGAAAATATCAACATTTAATTACAAAAGCGAAATCTAGTTCTAAGTGAAGTTCTAATATTATCATTAATGTTTCCTATTTAAAGATATACTATGCTCATCTTAAAGTACAATGGTTTTATCGCAGAAATTTATCGAACTCTATAAAATCCTTACTGATTATGTCTAATTTGAATAAAAGAATGTACAAACTATGTATGGAAAGCGTACGTCTAGTAAAGTTGGTCCTTCCTTAAAATAACTGCCAGTTTTTAATGACATTTTTACTCATATTGTGACCTCCTATATAGTGTGAAGATTTTGAAACACAACATATTTACTTTGTTTGAAGTCGAACCATGTTGATTTTATATTTTCAAACAGACAGTGTACCAACTTTCAAAAAAAATCCAATATTAATTTTGAGCATTATATACATGTATATTTAAGATTCTGGCGCAAATGATGTATCAAAATTAAGTTGTTGTTAATTGTATACATCAACAGAATGATTGTGACATGAATAAACATAAAATATTATAAAATGTAGTACACTCTTCACTTTACATAAATTGTTTAGCTGACAAACCGGGAACATGCCCGCAGGTAATAGGGGGTATTGTTGATATTTGTGTTGACGACTGTACCTCAGACTATGATTGTCTTGGAGATGAAAAGTGTTGTAGCATTGGTAACTGCAAATCTTGTAAAGTACCGATAGGTGGAGGTGGCGGTGGTGAGTTTTTCTTCAAATATTAATTGTGATATTTGTTACTAAATAACTTAGGCAGTTTATTAATGATTAAATGGTTTTTAATTAGGTATTCATTATTGTATATGATCATATGTTTCATGTATGTTTCATGTATCTCTCTGTAAATTACAACTTTCGTTTATAAGTGTATTGAATATATATATTTTTCAATTCGTTTTCAATTTTAATTTCATTGACAATTCACAAAGCAGTATTAAAATATATCGACGTGTACTTGAAAATGAGTAAACTTGGTAATCTAATGTACTATTATATCATCTTTGTTACTTTTCTGTGATTTAGGAAGACCATGTGATCATAAGGGAAAAACATATCAAGATGGTGAAAGTTTCAAAGATGAATGCAACACGTGTAATTGTAACGATGGTATTGCTGCCTGTACCCTTATGGCTTGTCGTAAGTTGAGTTTATTTTCATAGAATACAAGAATAATGATCAATAATTTCACAATATGTCACCATTTAAATAATGTATGGAGATATTATTATTGTAGTCATGTGAAATTTTTAAAAATACGTGTCATGACGTCGAAATGTTTTGCTTTGTCATATTGCTTTCCATACATCCTTACATCTGCAGCTGACAGACCAGGTACTTGCCCGACGCCCGTCGGTGGTAATACTACTGGTATTTGTCTAGACGAATGTTTTGCTGATAATGATTGCCGTTATGGTGAAAAATGTTGCAGCAATGGATGTGGTCGAGTTTGTATGACAGCAATAGGCGGAGGTAAGTGATGATTATTAACCCTGCTGCTCCTTGCAGTCATGTATCTTTACCATTGATTATTCTTGCTTATTTCCAATTACATTGGATTATATTACAGCGTTACGGACTATGCATGATGGATGTACAGATGTAATTATAAATGTTTTTAAAATCTTTTAAAGACTAGCATACACCAATCTGAGTTACATTCTAGTTATGATCTAGTTCTCGACATGGTACAGTTAAAATAATAGAGGGAATACAGTTTTATTTATTTTGTTCAATTAATTTAAACACATTGGAACATGTACAGGAGGAAAACCATGTGTTCATAAAGGGAAAACGTATCAAGATGGTGAAAGTTTCAAAGATGATTGCAACACGTGTAACTGTTACGATGGTAATGCTGGCTGTACCCTTATGGCTTGTCGTAAGTTGTTTAATATTGCCTTATTATAAAATATGTAGGACAAAGAAGTGGTTGTGTTGTTTCTAATCATAAGCAATGAGTGAAAATGTCAAACTTACATATGTTTTTGTAAAACTTACGGATAAAGTATATAATTTGTTATAATAGATCGACTAGTGTTTATTCAATTGATTAAGATAATCATCTGTTGATAGCTGACAGACCAGGTACTTGCCCGACGCCCGTTGGAGGTAATGTTGGCGGTGTATGTATAGACGAGTGTAATGCTGACAGTGAATGTCCATACGGTGAAAAATGTTGCAGCAATGGCTGTGGTCGTGTTTGTATGAAAGCGATAGGTGGAGGTAAGTGTTCATATATTTTTCAACAATGATATATACATGTTATTTCAAAAATATATTTTTTAAGACTTAAAGGAACGGGAATTATAATTTTTGTTAGTTTATTAGTAACAAACCATTATATAATAGGAGGAAGACCATGTACTCACAAAGGAAAAACGTATCAAGATGGTGAAAGTTTCAAAGATGATTGCAACACGTGTAACTGTAACGACGGTAATGCTGGCTGTACAAGAATGGCATGTCGTAAGTGCCTAAATCAACACCTTTTAAACTCACCGTTAATTCTTTATTTTATATTATCAAAGGTTTCTAAAAACTACGTAAAATATTTTTTATAATCATTTTGAAATACAAGTTTAGTAACTGTGATTCAAGCAAATTTGTTCTGTTTAAGTTCTGCTTTATTAAGGTAGACCTTTTACATAGGTTTTTAAATAGATTTAAACAACATGATAGGGTTTGGCTGTTTCAAAACATTGTGCTGTTTCAAATCCTTAGCAATCAGTGAAAACGTCAAATCACCTTAATTCTTTTTAAAACTTACAGGTAAAATAAATAATTGTTTTTATAGATCTACTAAGTTGATTCAATTGTTTTGCACATATTTGTTAACAGCTGACAGACCAGGTACTTGCCCGACGCCCGTTGGAGGTAATGCTGTAGGAATTTGTATAGACGAGTGTAATGCTGACAGTGAATGTCCGTACGGTGAAAAATGTTGCAGCAATGGATGTGGTCGTGTTTGTATGAAAGCGATAGGTGGAGGTAAGTGTTTACTTAGGAAATATATATTAATTCTGAGTGCATTGTTGTAGAATAATGCACGGTTTGAGTTCAAATGCGTAGTAATATAATCGCGAAGGCCGACAGGCCTGAGTGATTAATTACAAAGCATACGATCCCCGGGAGATGCTTTGGTAGTTTAGCGCGGAGGAAGGTAGTCTAGTACTGGTGTAACTCTCCAGGAACGATGGTTAGGAAACTAACCGCCTATATGACTGAAATACTGTTGGAAAAAGGCGTAAAAACAAACAAACAAACAAACAAACAAAAATTTGAACGAAAAACGTGCATTATTATACAATAATGCACGAAGAATTAATATCTATTTCCATTATAACACGTCAAAAAATATAATTATTAGTATAACGTTGGACTTTATGTTTGGTGGTTGAATTTGTTTCGCCTCAGAGTTTCCAATAGAAACATTCTTTAAAGGCCGTTCCAGTGGATTGAAAAAAACTGTCGTTAAATCTACCGTGTGTAGAAACATTTTGAAAATAACGAGTTTTGAAAACGTTGATACAACTTTGTTTTGTTTATTTATTTCATTTTATTATTTTCCAAGCGAAATACAAATTATTAAAAGTGAAATAAATGTAAAACTAAACTCGTTTGCGACATCAAAATAGCGTACTTGATTAGATTGTTTTGCACGTGCTGTTTGGCGCTACACTTTAAACGTCTGTACAGCGTTAACGAATGAATTAAAGATATTGGTTTTCGGATCAATTTTCTTAGACCATTTTCTTTCATTCTAGATAGTTTTCACAACAAAATTCGACAAAAATTGTTTTTTTATTTATCAGATTTTTTAAAACAAAATGGCGCCTTCAATGTGAAAATACACTTGGAGATAATAAGAACGGCGAGTGCATTGTTGTAGAATAATGCATGCTTCCGGCCTTCTTTGTCTTTTTAGGAAAAATTCCGATATTGTTAGAATTATAATTTTACTATGTACATTGATATATAGATGTAATTTAGAAAAATATATATTTCAAGACTTAAATAACGGGAATTGGAATTTGTTTGTTAGTTTATTAGATAATACACCATTTATCATATATAGGAGGAAGACCATGTATTCACAAGGGAAAAACGTATCAAGATGGTGAAAGTTTCAAAGATGATTGCAACACGTGTAACTGTAACGACGGTAATGCTGGCTGTACAAGAATGGCATGTCGTAAGTTGATTGGCCAGCGCCTTTTAAACTCATCGTTAATACTTTCTTTTTATATCGTGAAAGGTTTCTAAACATTACGTAAAATATATTTAATTATGATTTTAAAAAGAAAGTGTGTAGTTACTGTGATTCAATCAAACTTTGTTCTGTCTAAGTTTTGTCTGTTAAAGAAAGCTTATAATAAAGTTATTAAGAAGTAATTAGGTAACCTTTACTGCATTATTAGATTATGCTGTTTCAAACTAAAGGCAATTAGTGATAACGTCAAACTTAACAAATTAGATTTAAAAAGTACAATGTAAATAACTTGTTACTATAGATTTACCAGGTTGATTCAATTGTTTTGGACATATTTGTTAAAAGCTGACAGACCAGGTACTTGCCCGACGCCCGTTGGAGGTAATGCTGTAGGAATTTGTTTAGACGAGTGTAATGCTGACAGTGAATGTCCGTACGGTGAAAAATGTTGCAGCAATGGCTGTGGACGAGTTTGTATGAAAGCGATAGGTGGAGGTAAGTGTTTATTTATAATTTTATTATGTAAATTGATATATAGATGTAATTTAGAAAAATATATACTTCAAGACTTAAAAAACGGGAATTGGAATTTGTTTGTTAGTTTATTAGATAATGCACCATTTATCATATATAGGAGGAAGACCATGTGTTCACAAGGGAAAAACGTATCAAGATGGTGAAAGTTTCAAAGATGATTGCAACACGTGTAACTGTAACGACGGTAATGCTGGCTGTACAAGAATGGCATGTCGTAAGTTGATTGACCAGCGCATTTTAAACTCACCGTCAATGCTTTCTTTTTATATCGTGAAAGGTTTCTGAACATTATGTAAAATATATTGAATTAAGATTTGAAAAGAAAGTGTGTAGTAACTGTGATTCAATCAAACTTTGATCTATTTAAGTTTTGCTTTGTTAAAGAAGGCTTTTAATCAAGTTATTAAGAAGTCATTTAGATAGACTTAACTGCAGGATTAGATTGTGCTGTTTCAAACTAAAGGCAATTAGTGATAACGTCAAACTTAACAAATTAGATTTAAAAAGTACAATGTAAATAACTTCTTGCTATAGATCTACCAGGTTATTTCAATTATTATGGACATATTTGTTAATAGCTGACAGACCAGGTACTTGCCCGACGCCCGTTGGAGGTAATGCTGTAGGAATTTGTATAGACGAGTGTAATGCTGACAGTGAATGTCCGTACGGTGAAAAATGTTGCAGCAATGGCTGTGGTCGTGTTTGTATGAAAGCGATAGGTGGAGGTAAGTGTGTTTTTATAGTTTTATTAATGACATTGATATATAGATGTAATTTAGAAAAATGTATACTTCAAGACTTAAATAACGGGACTTGGAATTTGTTTGTTAGTTTATTAGATAATACACCATTTATCATATATAGGAGGAAGACCATGTGTTCACAAGGGAAAAACGTATCAAGATGGTGAAAGTTTCAAAGATGATTGCAACACGTGTAACTGTAACGACGGTATTGCTGGCTGTACTCTTATGGCTTGTCGTAAGTTGATTGGCCAGCGCCTTTAAAACTCACCGTTAATACTGTCTTTTTAATACCAACATAAAATATGTTAAATCTTATTTGAAATACGAGGGTAGTAAATGTGATTCAATTAAATTTTGTTCTGTTCAAGTTTTGCTTAAGTCTTATTATAGCGAGTTTTGCTTAAGTCTTATTATAGGGATAAACAGGCAAAACGTCACTTTTAGGGACAGGCAACTCAAACATATAGTACGGGACCATCACGTTTTTCCAAAATAAAATCTTAAAATGTTTTAATTTTGGTTCTCTATAATCATGCAAACTTCTTGATACTGGTTTTAATTTTCTTTCTTGGTCTATATTGAAAAAAAAAACTTTTAGAATCGTCTTTAAATGATTTTTTAAAAAATGCATTTTGTTAATAGCTGACAGACCAGGGACTTGCCCGACGCCCGTCGGAGGTAATAATACTGGTATTTGTCTAGACGAATGTTTCGCTGATAGGGATTGCCGTTATGGTGAAAAATGTTGCAGCAATGGATGTGGTCGAGTTTGTATGACAGCAATAGGCGGAGGTTAGTGTCAATTAATAAACTTTCCCTTGAAGTGATATAAAGATGTATTGATGTTTTTTATTTCTATTATTATTATTATCAATATTATTATTATCTGTAATATTAAATTTGGATTTGTACCACGTTACAAATTTTAAATCTTGGAAATCATTTCCTGCACTTTTATATGTAAAGTTACAGAAAAGATTAAGAAAATGGTATCTATATATTATTGTATGTAAGAAATCTACCCATTATTCAAATATAGGAGGAAGACCATGTATTCACAAGGGAAAAACGTATCAAGATGGTGAAAGTTTCAAAGATGATTGCAACACGTGTAACTGTAACGACGGTATTGCTGGCTGTACACGAATGGCATGTCGTAAGTTCAATGACAAGTGGTAATAAAACCCAGCTTTAATACTTCCTTTTATATCAGCACATTCATTATTAACTACTTATCTATATTTTACTAACTTTTTTATTTATGTCTTTACTTATGTGATTCAGGTAAAGGGAGCATGTTTTTTTTGTTGTTTTATATTGTTGGTTTTTTTTTTTTTTTTTTTTTTTTTTTTTTTTTTTTTTTAAAATTTTTTTATTTATTTATTTATTTATTTATTTATTTATTTATTTATTATTTTTTTTTTTTGGGGGGGGGGGGTGTTTTTTGTTTGTTTTTGCTATGATTATAATGACCTCATAGATACAAGAAGTAGGTATGATCTTTTTCAAGCAATAAGTTGAAACGTCAAAACTTCTTAACCTCACTTTATAACTATTATTTAATTCATTTTATAAATATTGCATAAAATGATAATCTTATCTACTTAATTGGCTTTAATGACGATGATGATATTTTTTCTTTTAATAGCCGACAGACCCGGTACTTGTCCTGTGCCCGTCGAAAGTAACTCTATTGGTGTTTGTCTAGACCAATGTTATGCTGACAGTGAATGTCCATACGTTCAAAAATGTTGCAACACTGGCTGTGGTCGTGTTTGCATGAATGCGATAGGCGGAGGTAAGTGTTGATTTTAATTTTCACTTGCATTTATATATAAAAGTTTTGAGTTTGATGTTCGGAACTTATTCAAAATCTGCCTTTGTACAATGGTATCTTTACAATCATTAGTCTCAATTTTCAATGTATAAATGAGAAGACATAAAAGAATAAACGACTTGGGTATCTTTCGTTTGATTATTAGATAACATCTTATTGCTCATGTGTTTAGGAGGAAGACCATGTATTCACAAGGGAAAAACGTATCAAGATGGTGAAAGTTTCAAAGATGATTGCAACACGTGTAACTGTAACGACGGTATTGCTGGCTGTACACGAATGGCATGTCGTAAGTTCAATGACAAGTGGAAATTAAACCCAGCTTTAATACTTCCTTTTATATCAGCACATTCTTTATTAACTACTTATCTATATTTTACTAACTTTTTTATTTATGTCTTTACTTATGTGATTCAGATAAAGGGAGCATGTTTTTTGTTGTTGTTTTTTATTTTTTTTTTTTTTTTTTTTTTTTTTTTTTTTTTTTTGTTTGTTTTTGCTATGATGATAAAGACCTCATAGATACAAGAAGTTGGTATGATCTTTTTCAAGCAATAAGTTGAAACGTCAAAACTTCTTAACCTCACTTTATAACTATTATTGTATTCATTTTATAAATATTGCATACAATGATAATCTTATCTACTTAATTGGCTTTAATGACGATGATGATATTTTTTCTTTTAATAGCCGACAGACCCGGTACTTGTCCTGTGCCCGTCGAAAGTAACTCTATTGGTGTTTGTCTAGACCAATGTTATGCTGACAGTGAATGTCCATACGTTCAAAAATGTTGCAACACTGGCTGTGGTCGTGTTTGCATGAATGCGATAGGCGGAGGTAAGTGTTGATTTTAATTTTCACTTGCATTTATATATAAATGTTATGAGTTTGATGTTCGGAACTTATTCAAAATCTGCCTTTGTACAACGGTATCTTTACAATCATAAGTCTCAATTTTCAATGTATAAATGAGAAAACATAAAAGAATAAACGACTTGGGTATCTTTCGTTTGATTATTAGATAACATCTGATTGCTCATGTGTTTAGGAGGAAGACCATGTATTCACAAGGGAAAAACGTATCAAGATGGTGAAAGTTTCAAAGATGATTGCAACACGTGTAACTGTAACGACGGTATTGCTGGCTGTACACGAATGGCATGTCGTAAGTTCAATGACAAGTGGAAATTTAACCCAGCTTTAATAGTTCCTTTTATATCAGCACATTCATTATTAACTACTTATCTATATTTTACTAACTTTTTTATTTATGTCTTTACTTATGTGATTCAGATAAAGGGAGCATGTTTTTTGTTGTTGTTTTTTATTGTTTTTTTTTTTTTTTTTTTTTTTTTTTTTTTTTTTTTTTTTTTTTTTTTTTTTTTTTTTTTTTTTTTTTTTTTTTTTTTTTTTTTTTTTTTTTTTTGGGGGGGGGTGGTTGTTTTTTGTTTGTTTTTGCTATGATTATAAAGACCTCATAGATACAAGAAGTTGGTATGATCTTTTTCAAGCAATAAGTTGAAACGTCAAAACTTCTTAACCTCACTTTATAACTATTATTTAATTCATTTTATAACTATTGCATAAAATGATAATCTTATCTACTTAATCGGCTTTAATGACGATGATGATATTTATTCTTTTAATAGCCGACAGACCCGGTACTTGTCCTGTGCCCGTCGAAAGTAACTCTATTGGTGTTTGTCTAGACCAATGTTATGCTGACAGTGAATGTCAATACGGTCAAAAATGTTGCAACACTGGCTGTGGTCGTGTTTGCATGAATGCGATAGGCGGAGGTAAGTGTTGATTTTAATTTTCACTTACATTGATATATAAATGTTTGGAGTTTGATGTTCGGGATCTTATTCAAAATCTTCCTTTGTACAATGTTATCTTTACAATCATAAGACTCATATTTCAATGTATAAATGAGAAGACATAAAAGAATAAACGACTTGGGTATCTTTCGTTTGATTATTAGATAACACCTTATTGCTCATGTGTTTAGGAGGAAGACCATGTATTCACAAGGGAAAAACGTATCAAGATGGCGAAAGTTTCAAAGATGATTGCAACACGTGTAACTGTAACGACGGTTTTGCTGGCTGTACAAGAATGGCATGTCGTAAGTTGCTTGACCATCGCCTCTTTATTGCTTTTAAAAGTATATTATATTTGTATTTTCTACTCACTAATGTGCTGTTTCAACCGTGTCCCAGAGGATATCTGAACTTAGTACATTAATATGAAGAAATTGATGATTATGAGAAACTGATATAATCTTCATTTTATCTTAATAATAAATCAGCATTATTAGTGTTCATCATCACTTATGTTGATTTGAAGCTTAATACACTATAGCTGACAGACCTGGTACTTGTCCTCAACCAAGGGAAACAATTGGTCTTGGTGCTTGTTTAAATGAGTGTAATGCTGACAGTGAATGTCCATACGGTCAAAAATGTTGCAGTAATGGATGTGGTCGTGTTTGCATGAACGCATTAGGCGGAGGTAAGTACTTGACTACCCACATCTAGATCCATGATTAGTATTTGTATATTTATGTGAACAAGTGTATACTTTTTACTCACGAGAAAGTTTTATCACGTTTGTTCACGTGTAGTCGTGTATACTTTTTTCACGTAAACATTTGTTTACCTTTTATTCACATGTAAATATGTTGACGCGTAGTTTTGTAAATTATTCTATTTTGTATTCACGTGTAGATGTATATACTTTTTATTCACGTGAAGTTTTATAACTATTCATGTGTAGACAGATATTTGTTTAACTTATACTGTATTTACGTGTAGATTTCGAAACATTAGTATGATTTTAAATGATTGAAAAATTTAATGATTCCCACATTACTATCACGAATCTTCACAAAACATTTTATGCAAAAGCAATAAAGCTAATGCCTAGATGTAGCAGGACTCATACGTCATGTGTTATGGTTACAGTAAAAACAAAAACGGGGGAAATTATGTAAGACGACTGTTAAAATGTGAGTTCAGTCTCAGATTTTGGGTATACAGAAACATTTCCCAGAGTTAGTATACTATTTATGTTAATATTGTACACACAATAGCAATAATACATACACAAATGTACTGTTAACATAATTAAATAGATGCCAATATATGAAACAAAAAAAGGGGCTATGCTTATTTGTTCGTGTGAATATATGTAGGTGGACAGTCATGCGTTCACAATGGAATTACCTACCAAGATGGCGAAACTTTCAAAGATGACTGTAACACGTGCAGATGTAATAACGGTTTTGCCGCTTGTACAAGAATGGCATGTCGTAAGTAAACATCCATATTATCGCACAGTATTGCAGTGAGTTATTTATTAAAGAAATCAAAAAAAATATTAAAATAACCAAATGATCTGACTATATCTCTTAATGCTGACGGATATGTAGTTGGTTAATATCTATATTAATATACACTGTTTATTTAAGCATAAAATTCAAAGGGTGCTCATTCGAATTCAGAAAAGATGTAGAAATTACTATGGTGATCATCTATGTTGCTTCTCAAATAGTTAATCAGGAAACACGTATAAAAGACCACTGTCGCTTTAGTATGGGTTTGTTAAAATAGAAAAAAGTCACTTGTTGCTGATAATTTTCACTCTTACTTGATTAAAATCATATATTGATATAATGTTTGAGCCTTTGATATTTATCCAGCAAAGAAGCCATGTGTTTACTATGGTATCACCTACAGAGACGGGGAAACATTCAAAGACCAGTGTAATGATTGTGTCTGTAACGATGGTAATGCGGCATGTACAATGAAGGCTTGTCGTAAGTGCCATTGCTCTATTTATACTACTTTATAATACAGTTTAACTGAATTTATATAGTTTGAAAATATTGTAAAAATACACTTTACAGCGTACTTCTTGCATTTTATTGCACTGGAAATGAATGGACTGAATGGCATTAAGGTGTCCCGTTATCATTCATATCCCTAATTAAAATAACGTTTTATTCCCAAAATTGCTCTGCTGAAAATCGCAAAAAGAATTTTCCATACTACCATACTGTACTTTTAATTATATGCATATAATATTGTTTTAAGCCGAGGTGAAGCCAGGACAATGTCCGCCTGAAATATCGAGTGGATCATGTGTAAACAGATGTACGACAGACTTAAGTTGTCCGGGTAGAGAGAAATGTTGCTCTAATGGTTGCGGGACTTTGTGTTTACCGCCAACTATGGGAGGTAAATCGTGTACCTTACACCACTTAAAGTCATAACATTATTAAAAATCTTTGTCGTAAACACTTTATGTTTCGAAATGATATCTATTGACATTTCCGTCGTTCTTTTAAAAGTTAAGACATGATATAAGATAAATAACGGGTAATAAAAAACAATAAAAGGGACATGATGATGGTTAGATTCTACAATAGATCTACTTGTATTACCTCCAATAATGCGTATCTAATTTGCAAAAAAATGTAAAGTTTCTATCATTAGGTATAGTTGTTAAAAATACCTGTTTGTTTAAATTTGTTATTAATGTAGTCAGTGTCAAAAATAAAGTTTTCAATAAGTTATTTCCAAAATGTCACTATATCAAGCTGGTAGAAAGTGATACTCAAATTCAACTGATTGGAAAATATATATTCGAAGATATGATTGGAAAAAGGAAAATATATTGGGTGATATGATTGGAAAAATGCTCTCATTTGTGAAAACTCTACCTTCTTAATCTCAATTAAGAGTTTCGGCATGTACCTTAAGACTCGTGTTGTGTAAGCTAAAAATCAATATTGGTTACTTATCTGAAAATGTATGTAAACTTTCAATCATTTAAACAATATAAATTAATTTAACTGTAATAGTTGACGAGAATGTTTTTTAATCTAGCGATTTAAAGACTTTTGCGAAAAGGTGGGAAAAAAGGATATTTGTAAAATAATATCTGGTGCTATTTTTAACCAAATTATAGATAGTTTTATCATGAAAATTTGTCTGTCATAAATATATGTGTGCAAATGGTATATAATGATTTCTATGTTAACGGATCACTTAAATCTTGATATATTGATGTGTTAAACGACATATTTGGTTTCAAAATTCAGGCATGACTTACTTTTTAATATTTTTTAAATTCTCTTTTAATAAAGCGCCATTGCCAAAAGCCATTGTCAGTGATTTTTTCTTTGGTCAATGGTTATTTTTTCTCGTATTATACTAAATATTTCTTTTACATTTAGTCTCATATTTTTTTAACAATACTATATAGGTCGACCATGTTATCACAATGGACAAACCATAAATGATGGAGATACGTTCAAAGATGATTGTAATACGTGTAGATGTAGTGATGGGAAAGCCGCTTGCACAATGATGGCTTGTCGTATGTATTATGATTTAATTTTTTTCTTGGAAGAATCAATGATATAAGTTTGCAAAAAAAAAAAATCTACAATGATTAACTTCCAGTCATCACGTTAGATTTGCAGGTAGAAAGTTCATAGAATTAAGAAAAGTATACCAATTTGGATGCAAAAGGAGAACATTTTTCCTTACATCGTACAATAACCTATCTAATAACTACATCAAGGAAGCATAGTAATATACAGTAAATAGCCGACAGAAATGTATGTTTACCACTAACTAATAAGTAAATTAAATAAATGTGTTTCAGCTAAGAAACCGTGTATGTACAACGGTAGACTGTACCAAGATGGTGAAACATTTAAACAAGATTGCAACACGTGTACTTGCAACAACGGACAAGCCGCATGTACGAAAATGGCGTGTTGTAAGTATGCTGTTGACTCAAAGCACTCTTATCCTTCAGGCGACAACAAATTCATCCAATGCACCAATGTAAACTGAAATCAGCACCCACATTTGTGCAGTCAGATCATTGTCTACACGGTCCGCTATTCAATTTGAAATATATAAAGTTGTATCTAGTGGATCATTCTTGATTATTTTCAAATCACTGAGGAAGGCTGCGTTTTGATGTGCATTATAACCTTTTATTTTAATAACAAATTGATAATTAAGAATTTCTTGTCTAGCTTTATTTAAGTTCTGTATTATATATTGAAAATAAAAATGTATTTTTGATGCTAAGATGTCAAACGAATGGTTTTTAATTTCAAAGTCTGTGTGAAGGCCATTATTCCCCTTCCTATGTCTTTGTTATCTTTTGTATATGCCCAAAAATATCAATTCGCATAACAATATTGTTCGGTGCTATTTAAGTAAATAAGACAAACAAATTCTAATTAAATATGTAGAAGTTATCAATCTCATGTAAAAGCATTTTAGGCGTTTCTTGTATATAAATACTAAAGAAACATCTTTTTTTTCTTTCATGAAAAAACAAAACAACAAAAAAACTTAGCGCACACAAAATCTTTGTCAGCAGTTAGTTCCCCTTATCAGAGCAGTACTTCGACAAGGTCATTGTGAACGGTGGGACTAAAAGTCAATCCAATAACCTTTTTGAAAAAGAAATCAGTTCCATCCTAGGAAGATGGTTCGTGTGAGAATTTAAGAGTTTAAATTAGTAAATTTTCAAAATTCGGAAAATCGATCCATCAGTGCTAAATATATCCTGCACTTTTACATTTTTTTATATAAAAATATGCTTTTGTGACAACAACCAATAATAGAGTTCTTTAGAATGGAGCCTAAAATGAATTGTAATGATTATAAAAGAGATAAAATGCTTGGGTATGGTTAAACTAAAATTCTTAAACAGATAATAAATAGATTATTTCCATACTGTTTTATTTGCTTTATAAGGTATACTACTGAATGACAGTGATGGTTGCTCAATTATGACCGCCCTTTTTTCACAATTTTAAAAGGTATTTAAAAGTTGCCTAATTTTGAGGAACAATATCTTTTTTTGTTTTAGATGATGAGAAGGTTGGTCATTGTCCCAAGCCTAATGGAACAGGTATCTGCATTGTGAGATGTACAACAGATTTAAGTTGTCCAAGAGAGCAGAAATGTTGTAGTAATGGTTGTGGAACAGTTTGTATGGACCCGGTTTATGGCGGTAATATTTACTTAAAGTCGTATAAAATATTGAAGTGTGGGTTCTACTACTGGTAACTTAACTCATTGTAATTGACCACAAAATAGAACAAAAAATAGTGAATAATGATACAAATGTATTTGATATCAGACTCCTTGTGTATTCTTGTTTAGTTTACGTTAATGATTTTCTTGGTATCCTTACTTTCTCAGACATGTTTAATAAACTAGGTGAACAAAAAACTCAAATTTGTTGTAACAAATTTTCATGTGACAGTTTATCTTCAACAAATGGTCATTTTGTTTAGTTGTCAATACTAGGTTTGTAATGGAAAATTATTTATTTAAATTATTGTTGTCTGTCTTTTTTTTAAGTTATTCCACATAGATAACTTTTTATATAATCTTTAATCGGTTATACTTATGCTTATCACTCTTTATACGTATATAAAATATATATTGTTCAGGAGGTTCATGTCTACATAATGGTGTTGTATATAAAGATGGTGAAACTTTTAAAGATGATTGTAACTCATGCACATGTGATGGAGGGAACGCTGTATGTACAAAAATGACATGTTGTAAGTGAGCCACTTGTTTATCACACATTTCTATTAATTATTTCTCATTTTTATTTCATTTTACATTTTTTCAGTGTTATTTGTTCACGATTGCTAATAAAAAAATATTCACAATGTTCATGTTGCCCATGAATAATATAGATATTTTTCTGTAAACAATTTCACCTTAGATACTTGTCTTGAATATTATCTTTCTCTTAATTGAATATTTATTTTAACATGACATTGCTTAAAATACATGTACAAGTGTTTCATTTCCATAAATAATTTGTTTCATTTGACAATATGGAATTGAAATTGCATATTTCAATAAAAGAGATCTCTTTTTTTGAAAATACTAGCTATTCATTACAAAATAGATATCGGTATCATACACATTCTTAATAATTTCATCATAAATATGTTTCTTTAACTTTATAGCAAAGGATAAGCCTGGAGTCTGCCCTGCACTTAATAATAACACTGCAGGTATCTGTGTAAATGAATGTAATAATGATGAAAGGTGCCCTGGTATACAAAAATGTTGCAGTAACGGATGTGGTCAAGTCTGCATGAGACCAGATGTAGGAGGTTAGTCACTTTCATCTCTTCTTGTCTTGTTTTGGTAAGGCGATTACTGTCATTTATGTGAATAATAGCGCCGAGACATTCTTGACCAGAGCATTTTCATGAATTCCAATCCGAGAACATAATTGATTATATTCTTTAATGACGAAGTAAGCAAGTAAAGACCTGACTGGAAACACTTCATTTTCCAGTCTGTTTTCTTTTTCTTTTTTTCCTTTTTGTTGTTGTTATTCTTTTTAATGTTGTTGTTGTTGTTTTATTGTTTTATTGTTTTTGTTTTTAGGTGGATTTTTTTTTCATGTCGCATTAACTGAATTGATTCAAATTATTGAATGATATACTAGTAAACTATTATTATGGAACATGTTTAGAAAAAATAATCAGTGACACTGATGGAATCTCAGCGACGACAAAGGCGTGATCATTGTCATACCTTACCGAAATGTAGATAATCAATTTCTAGGCCCAGTGGTGATCGCCTGTAAATTCAAAGATTGACGATACGTTTTCCAAAATCTTTCGGAAAAACATGAAACTAAACAAAACTAAGAAGTCTTTTGTTTAAATATGGTTTAGTGCGTTATGAAAATTAAGATAAATACAATGTATTGTCTTATATTTATAAAAAGCAATGGAAAGCACTGACAAGTTTCAACTAAGTATAGAGTAAAAAGTTTATTCTTTTTATGCTCCCACAAAGTGGGGAGTATATAGCGTTACACTTGTCCATCCGTCCGTACGTCTGTCCGTCCGTACGTCTGTCCATCCGTCCGTCCGTACGTCTGTCCGTCCGTACGTCTGTCCGTACGTCCCGAAATCTTGTGAACGCAACTCCTCTTAAACCGGATGACAATTTTGCTTAAACTTCCAGGGATGAACAGCCTTAAAGTGTAGATGGAAGTAAAGGAAGGAATTTTTGCTGCGATCAAATTAAACAGAATATTGGCCCTTTGTTGATTTTTTCATTATATATCATATAGAATTTTGTGAACGCAACTCCTCTTAAACCGGATGGCAGATTTTGCTTAAACTTCCAGGGATGAACGACCTTAATATGTAGATGGTAGTAAATGAAAGAATTTTTGCTGCGACCAAATGTAACAGAATTATGTCCCTTTGTTAATTTTTTCACTATATACCATATAGAAATTTTGTGAACGCAACTCCTCTTAAACCGGATGGCAGATTTTGCTCTTTTACGACTTTAATCTTTATTTTCAAACTTTTATTTTACTATTAAGCACTAAGAGTATTCAAGCATGATGTCCATTTGACAGTCCTTGTATAAAACATCTTATTTTGAAATGAATCGACAACATTAATAATATACAGGACTCCTAAATTCCTTTGCAACTGCAGAATAAAAAGTTCCACATAAAAATCTTACATATATATATGCTTGTTTACGAGCACATCTGCACAGTGGAGGCATCGGTGTCCTTTGGACACAGTTCTAGTTTTTTCGTTCTTTCAATACAACCTGAGGTTTTTTTTTGTTGCTGTTGTTTATTTTCGCGGCGGTTGTGGAATCTCGAAATCAATCAATTCGTCTTGCAGTTTGTCCTTGCATTTGTCTTTGTATTTGGATTGGACTTAAGTTTCTATTCAAACATTATATATAAGCTTTCTTCAAGCCATCATAGATATGTTTAGAAATACTTTTTGTCCTTATTTTAGCTGTTAGTAATAGTTACTTTAGCAATTAACGACTGTCGTTCTGGTCACCAATTCTTATGTATTTATAATTTCAGGACAACCTTGTCATGTAAATGGTTATACGTTTCAACATGGAGAAAGTTTTAAAGATGGCTGTAATACATGCATGTGTAGAAATGGTAAACCTGCGTGCACAAAGAAGGCTTGTCGTAAGTACCAAAAGTAAAATAACAGCACTATAATTACAACAAACAGTATGGTGATTTAGACTGCAACAAAATTCTTTCTATGTCTATATTTTTTGTAAAGATAATTTACAGGTTGGTTAAACATTTCTCTTTCATAAGCTAAACGAGCATTGGTATATACTTAAAATATTTCAGATATCAAGTCAAAAGATAGTAGTACAGTTATTTATTTAAAAAAAAGGAGTATTGTTTCGGAACATCAATGTTGTTATATCTGATTCAAGATGTTTGGCGAATTGTTAACAATATTTCATTGAATTATTAAAAGATCTTAAAAGGGGATTTCTGTAGGCGTATGCCTTGTCTTAAACTTATTCGTTTTTCTATTGTTGTTGTTGCTTTTATACTACTACTAATACTACTACTACTACTACTACTACTACTACTACTACTACTACAACTACTACTACTACTACTACTACTACCATTAACACTTACACTACCTCTACTACTAATAATAATAAATGTATAACCTTACTAATGTGTATGTTTTACCTTCACAGAACAGATATTCTATAACTAAACATAAATGGATCACTTTCTATATTACAGCTCCTATTTTACCGTGTTACCATAACGGTAAGATGTATTTAAATGGAGATAATTTCACTGATGAATGCAATCGCTGCATTTGTAGAGACGGGAATGTGGCGTGTACCTTTAAACAATGTGGTAAGTTGAAAATATGTAATTTATATAAATATCGTTACATTACCACAGTCACCGTTACACTTATCACAGTCACCGTTACATTACCACAGTCACCGTTACATTACCACAGTCACCGTTACATTATCACAGTCACCGTTATATTATCACAGTCACCGTCACATTACCACAGTCACCGTTACACTTATCACAAACATAGATACTATCAATCACATCGTTATGTCCTCAAACTCAACTTTATATAACAACACTCAACTTTATATAACCACAAATCGACGTCATTTTCTTTGTTATAAAATTATCTTATTACAGAATGTTAGGTTAATTCTTTAGTTTTGTCATGTTTTAGACATCTCAATTGACTTTGAATAAATGGCGTTGAATGTACCTCGTGGTAAAGTCTACAATGTTGATATGCTCTTGTGTGACTGTTTAACATATAGTAACCGGCATGTTTGACTTATGATTGCTAGGTAAGACATGCACACATCAAGGCAAGACCTACCAGGATGGTGAAGGGTTCAAGGACGATTGTAACACGTGTCAATGTAACGACGGCAGAGTCACGTGTACATTACTTGATTGTTGTATGTATATCCCCTTTTATCATTATTTACAGTAATTGACATTTAATTTTTCATAAAGGAATAATTTGGCAAAAAGGTTTGCTTACATTTCTAAATAGTGCATGCATGCCTTTTGTTTACTCTTTACATACATTTTATTTTTCGCAATGTTTGTTTTTGCTATCTTTAAAATGTGCGTATTTACTACAAAATAGATTCAAGAAATTAATTATACTATTAAGATTTTGATTTATCAACTTAAGATATTCGTTTACAAAGAAAAATAAACTTGAAATGGATACACTAATAAGTTAGGTTATTTTTATTTCAGCTGGAGCTAAGCCTGGTACATGTCCTAGGCCGCAACTTTTCCGTCCATGTAACGATCGATGTGTGAATGATAAGGGTTGCCAGGGAACCAAAAAGTGCTGTAACAACTGGTGTGGTTACACCTGCATGGAACCAGTCAATCGAGGTTATCTTGAATATTATTTTTTCTTAATATCAGATGTATACTTTAAGCTTGATCTTAAATAACCACAAAAATGTTTTAATCTACTGTATACTTTGGAACAGAGTGGGTATTGTAATCCTTTATATTTAGCACGTGCACACGTGTAATATGTGCATGTATTTACTATTGAGGTAAGTGTTAGTCTAACTCTTACCCTAATCGTTAATACGTGCGCGCGTGGTTGTTAATATCTAAAAAAAGCAACAATGTTCTTATTTATTTTTACTTGAAACTTTTCTAGAAAATGCTATGTTTTTGTTATGATCTCTATACTTAGATTTCCTTCATGTCTGTTTAATTCATGTCATTATGAAAATTTGTGATTCACAATAATACAGTTCATTTGAGATATAATCTGTGAAAAGAATTCGACAATAATAGCACACAGTCTGTGTACAGCACAGTGACACCGTCAATCGTACCTGAATGACATCAGACATATGCGACACCTAGCAACTGATAAAGCTGAGTGTGACTTGCCTTTTGTACATGAGACTTTACCTTTTGGAAACTTTTATGTCTCCAAAGAATTTAACCTAATGACTCTATAAATATTGCTGGCAACACATCTAATTATATCCCAAATACATACGGAATAAATCATATCATTTGAAATATTTAAAGCTGAAGTCTGAATAAATAAATGCATAAAGATATGAACCATGGATAAATTATTTTTACTCTATAAAAACGTGACAATAAACCATTTGATTCGAATGCATGTTGTCGTTAACAATTCATATGCAAGTACATTATTTTAAGCTTATTTTCCTTGTGCTTGACGTTACATCTTTAAAAAATAAAGCTTCTATAAATACATTTTGTCCGAAAACGTCATATGATCCTTAACCCTTGCAACGTTAAATATCATATATTTCATTCTGAACAAAAACTGAACAAAATTTTGAGGGAAAACTCAAAATATGAACTGACTAAATAGCGAACAGGGCAGACCATGATTAGGCGGCATTAGTCGCATGGGCAGATAAAGTTGATGCCAGCAGGGTAAAGTTTAACTTGAGACTTGATCTCCTTGATGTTTTGTTTTCTGGTCTTTCGGGATCATCTATTCCGTCCCATGTTGTGTTAATGGTTGCACACTACTTAGACGGTGCTAGGGGACAATGGTGATATTATGATTGTATTAAACGATGCTAGGGGAAAAGGTGATGTTATGATTTTTTAGACGGTGCTAGGGGACAAGAATAATATAAGATGGTGCAATAGTGATATTAAGCTTGTACTGAATGGTGATATGGGACAAAGTGATGTTGAGACTGTATACTACTTAGACCGATGCTAAGGAATGTGGCTGTCGAGATCACACTTACTGAAACGGATGTGATCTAAAAAAAAATCTTTCTTGAATCGCTCACTGAAGCTTTCTTTTTCCGACTTTGTATAACCGGATCGTTTTTTATACATAAATTGGTACTCTATCGAAAAGCAACGAAAGAAAGAATCAACTTATTCGTATTGGCATTGAACGCCCTTATTGAAACGTCAGTCAAGTTAAATGTAGTCAATAAAAAGATTCTATAAATGACAATATTCAGTAAGAACTTGTTTTGTTTATGTGCAGACAACTGTCAAGGTATAATTTGTCAAGATATGGAGTGCAACCTGCCAAATACGTTATATACTATTCCTGGAACATGTTGCCCGATATGTCGACCACCACGTGAGTCTTAATATTTATCACATTGTAATTTTGATTTACTTTTTACCTGATGATTTGATTATTAAATGTTGATTAAATTATAATTCGTATATTAAATTTAAATGCAATAAAAGGAAGCATGCACTTTATTGTCGCATTGCTATCGCTCATTATTTTAATTGTAGCGACATTATTCAAAATCTTGACACTTATGAGGCCCAATTGTTTCTAAACAAAGCAGTTCATAGAAGTTCGTTTAACCAATTAAATTTAATTACATTAAATAAACATTGATGAACTAAAATTACTTGGATTTGTGAACAGTAGGAAAAGCTGAAGTTCAGAAGCTAAGATTTATGATGGCGACCATAGGTAGAGAAAGCAATCAGAAAATATAGAAGCATGAGCAAATGGCTATTTTCAATCCACTAATGTTGCACAATTAAATACCTGACGAACACCTTTGTGACAAACACTTCTAATTGTACTTTTCCAAGGGGAGCGGTGGCCTAGTGGTTAAGGTTAAGGTGTCTGCCTCTCAACCCAGGGATCATGGGTTCGAACCTAATCGGGTCACGACCATGTATCTTCATATGACACCAGTACTGGTTGGTTCCAGGCAGCGGACTCAAAAGTGACTAATATAAGTTGCAAGAACTTGTTTCGCAATCGAGCTTAAATAAATATGTTTAATTGTACTTTTTGCTATTTAAGTCGGTGATAAGCCTGGCAGTTGTCCTCGTAACCCGAGAGCATGGCTTTGTCTAGACCTTTGCTCAGCAGATTTTCATTGTCCAGGTCAACAAAAGTGCTGCAGTCATAGATGCGGAAAATCATGTGAACGACCAAGATTTGGTAAGATCATGGTGAAATTACACTATTCTTACTTTTGAATTCATAACATTAAAATAATTTTTTAATAAAGTTTCCCTTTAAAAGGAAAGGCTTGCACAGTTGTGCCTTCATCCCAACCCTTTAAAATTGTGTTGTTTTTTTGGGTTTCAATTTATTATCACAATTTTTTGAATTACGGTATTTGTATATCATAAAGGGTTTATTTAGTTGTTTTTTTTTTTTTTTTTTTTTTTTTTTTTTGGAAACACGAATATTTTTTGTCAAAACGATTTGAAATCTATTCTCTATTGTATAAAACTAATAAAGAAAATGATCAATCGTAAAACGTGGATATTTTTAAATATCTATCATACTGAGGGGAAACAAGTGTGCACATTTTATTTCCCTTTTTCGCAGAGAAATCATTCGTTTGCTTTATAGACAAGTAAATGCACTAAAATACTTCGTTACGTGGTACCAATTAATAAGCATATATCAACTATGTTACACGATCACAAATACGATGCGCTATCTGTAGATCAGCACGTGGCAAGGTTAATGATATGCATGGGCTATTTTTAGATTACCTCACGCGTTCAGTAGATCTAAATATAACTCGATCATGCGTGATTTGGTAAGCAGGACCACCCTTTGAAGACGGACTACTACTACAGTCACCATTCTCTATTGTATAAAACTAATACAGACAAAAAAAACAATTATAAAAGAAAAGAAACTAACTTTTGCGTCTTTAAAAACAATTGAAACGGAACAATTTCGTTTATAATTTATTACGGTTTAAACCGATAAATCGAGTAAAAATAGAAATCATTTTTATATAAACAAACTGGGATTACCGAAGTAACTAAAATAGCTTAGATTTCCGTAATATTACTTTGTCTGATTCCGCAGTATGACGGAATCGCCCGAATTGTCACGATTGCAATCGGAACTACATCGGCTATTATCATTTATCCGAAGAGTGACGGAAAAGGCCGAAAAGTTGCGATTGGCACGATTGCAGCTGGTTTCCCGTTCAATCATGCACCAACAGATGTAAGCAGGAAACCAGCTAACCGGAACAAGTTTTCCAAATGAAATGGCTGCAAGCCAAAAAGTGCCAATAGGAAGACGCCAAACTACGTTGTCTTTTATTTACTTGCACCTATTTCTTTTTTCTTTTTTTTCAAAAAAAATTAGGTTTTGTTTCGTGTATTTATCATAATCTTAATTTTGTGTCAGAATCCGACATAGTAAAAAAATTGTCAAATTGTGTAAATTTTATTTAAGTTAAGGGTTACGGTGAAGCCAATGTTTTGAGTAATAATCGTGCAGCATTTCATACTTTTTAAGGTTTAATGCAGTGTTCTCTTTTCTTCGTGGTTTAAGTGTTCTCTCTCCTCGCTGACAAGAAAGAGAAATGAAACATGATAACAGTACTATTTTATGTACTATTCATGAAACAATATACATGTATAAAGCGAGGATTTGTGTTGTTAAGTATATTAGAAGTAGTCCGCATATTGTCATTGGAGAGGTTTTGTTTTTATAGTTCTTATATCTAAAGTTATAAATGAATATTTACTTTTTAGGAAAACAAGTATTCAATAGTAACTTTACCATTACCGATTGAAAGTTAAAATAAGGCTTTCCTACTGAAGTTAAAGATAATTGTCATATTGTGAGAGAATAGACAGCGTTCCTTGAATATACATTGTAATTTAATAACTACTTTTTACTTGAAGGTAACGTTTGAAATAGATAAAAAGTAAATTAAACAATTTAGCGATGTTTATGAAAACTTATTTTGACAAGATAAATTTTATTGCCAGATCGGTGTGAAGGTATACAGTGTCCCCCGCTAAGATGTATGATTCAGTTCAGACCTCCTGGACGGTGCTGCCCTGTTTGCCGTCGACGACGGGAAAGAGGTAGGGGACAACTTCAGATCCTTTATTCAGTTGATTGATGAATGTAATATCACCAAATTAAATATCCGCGGGTAGCTTTTATTCGCTACCTTAAGTATTTTACAGTACTAGTTTGATACACTATATTATTTAATGATCCAAGCGTTCTATGTTAAAGAAATTTGGCAGATACATTAAATTTACTTTGATGTTTAAAAACATCCGTTTATTTTTTTAAGGAACATTTGTTGAGTCTTTCTGACATAAACAGTATGGACTCTAGGACAGGAACGAAGTTAGGGCACCTTACGATAATAAAATATATACCCGTATCTAAAGATTCAGTTATAAAAGAACTATGTAATAATACCTTTGTATTTTACTTACCTTATCAATATTTAATACATTTAGACAATGACATTTCCGATTTTTTTATTATTTTCATAAGAGATTAATTAGCGGCTTCAAAGACCTACAATTGACACATGGTATACTAATAGTAAATGTCAATAAACTCTTGGTTTTCTTCTGTTTTCAGAACAAAATTAGAAACATTACAAAAGCATGGACGAAAAGACTTTGAACAATCTCTACAATGATATCTAATGTACAGCTATACCATATACAGTTGAAAAAAATATTTGGTACAGTCACACGGCAATTTATAACCGGCCGTGTATATCTTAAAGAAATTTATATTGCAGAAAATATGTCTTAAAATTATTTATTGAACATCGTTTTGTATTTCTATAAGATTGTGTAAAGTTATCATGGGGGAAAATGAATGTTTCCTGTGTAAGCTGCATCGTAACAAATAATAAATACGTCTACCGGTGAATGTCAAACACTATTATCTTTATTTTATTTAATTGTCAAATTAGCTTAAATTTTAGATAATAAATATTTTATGGTCTCGTATATAATTAGCAAAGGCGTCATTTAAGATAATTCTGATGTTTATGATTAACATGGCAAGTAATTTCCTTACAACAGCATTTGTACTTGACAAAATAATAGTTGAAAAAATAAGAAATTCAATTTCTGCTCTTTAACGTCCATCTCATCAGGAAATTATAACAAATGTATGACATCGGCCAATAACATGCAAAATATGTTTGCATATTAACGAATAAAACGATTAAAATAAATCCAGATATCCTTTGCCAGTGCTCATGTAAATACAATACTGTATGCCATGTCCGAAATATCTTTAATTGGATATAGCTTACAACATTTATTTTTGTGTTGAGTAGACAAAAATGATAAAGTACAGCAAAACAATTATCGCTTCAATTTACTTACAAACTAGTGAAAATAAAGTATGTTTTAGTTAATCAGATACAAAAATTACAGCAAGAATCTATTTGTAACACTGTTAAACCATTCAAATCGAGTGTTTCCGCATTGGGGTCAATATAAGGTTATGTCAGTCATTTATAATCAATTTATGTTATGTCAATCATTTATATAATTTGTGTGAAGAATTCAATCAATGTTTTCGTATTTGGGTGAACTTTATGTATGATTGAATAACAATTGTAGCCAGAGTTATGTAAATTTATGTATTGTATGACCTAGAGGGAATTAATCAAGATTAACATATCCGTGCTTCATGTTATTTTATGTTTGATTGACACCTGTCATAAAATTATTCTTCATTATTAATAAAACTTCTAAATGTCATACATTTTTAATTAAGGAATTATAAACTTGCCAAATACAATGAATTACAACATAATGATATACATCTTTCATTAAATAACAAATAAGTTTGTTACCTCTAAAGGAATGATGTCTATTCCCAGAGGGTTAAGTTAAGATTTTTGTGTATTTGTTTGACTTATTATGCAATTAATATGCATAAGTGTTAATTTTCAGCTTTTTTGCAGATAACAAAAAAGAACATTGTTCACTTTATAGGCGTGAAAGTGTTTGAATATTAATAGATATGTCTTTGTTACCTTTATGATAAAATATGACATTTTACAACGATTTGCATGGCTATTGTAACTATGACAAATGGGATTAAACAGTTTATATATTCTAAACTTTGTTTTTTATTATAATAACTCTACCTCTGTCAACTGTATGCCACAATGTAATAAATAAGACGTACTTTGATCATAAAATCATCCAAACTGTCACGATATTTCAAAGTAGTTTCGAATTGATTGCATATCTCTTAAATTACTTTTACATCAAATTTTACGTAATGAAGACCTCTTTATGGATGAAAATGAAATTATGCATATAAGCAGACATTATGTAGTAAACATTTTCTGAGACATGCGCAAATTCTTTATTTATTATTATATTAAAGGCCCATTATCCTTTAGAAGTAATTTTATTTTCATTTATCGTGTACTTCTATAGTTTCCAAAAAGTTACTTTTTGGTCAATTATCTGGACCATCGTTTTCCTTCTGTTGCTTTTTGGCAATAAGTACAGTTATATTGATTAAGTATTTTGTATGGAAGTCAAAATATTTCTTTGTTTACATTTTGCTATTTTGGTATTTTTCACTGTTAGTTCTACTTTATTCAGGTAACAAACAATCTAAAATGTTCTTTAACCATTATTTAAAAGTTATGAAATAAATGTTTGCCCTTCCTAGAGATTTTCTTTTCGTTTCTAAGGCATAATGTGTCTTTAATATGGAAAATAACATACACTGCACATGTCTTTGTTGACAGTATGTTAACAATGAATACGAGAAATTTGCGCAGTAATATTTTATTTTTTATGTTTTATTAATACAATAGGGTAAATGAAGGCCAACGAACAACCATGGGGAACAAACCTCAGAACATTAAGATTTTATTTGGTATTCAAAAGGAATCAAAAGCCAAAACGGAAACAATTAATATTTTGTGTGACAACAACATAACATTCTTATTTCATTCATGTAATTCTAGAAACAATTACAGTTAATGATATATTCCGTGCATGAACCTGTTGATGATTTGACAATGTAGAGTGCTAGTTCCTTTGGTAATGGAAGAGCTGTTAGACGTAACCGGCCGCCAATAATATGCTAAATCTGTCCAATGGTACTTGGCAAGGGCTTCTTTTAACAGTAAATTATATATTTAAATGATATGTTGGTATGTCTATCCTGGTCTGCGAAGTCACTTGGACATATTGCTTTGTTATTTATCCTAATAATATTTGTTCAGAATTGTGTACTAGTATGAGGTTATTATACCTTGTTTAGTACAATGCTGAATTCTTTTGGACGAGTACACAGCTGTCAAACCTACATTAGACGAGACGCTAGTTGAGTCTTATAAAGATATTGTAACTGTGAATGAGACAAATTTTGTCTTACTAAAGTCTTTATAAAATTGAAATCTGACTTCCCACGTACTAGCAAGGCTTGACACAGATGTGTGCTTCTGAAATGGTATGTCCCCTACAAAAGTAATAAAAATAAATGTTTTGGGTTCATAATTGGTTGTGTTTTAGGGGTAACGTTGATGAGATCTATGCTAAATGGGGTTCCATCCGCCCTTTCAGGCACTAAATGCAACTTCCGCTGTCGATTGCGGACCCCGGACATGTCCCCAGTCATGCCTTAAAGAGTTCATTTTAAAGCACAAAGTTGTGATAATTTACTGCAATGCAATATCCATGAAATATTAGATTTAAAGTTTGAGCCAAAAGTAGTTCACTGTACGGCTGCCAACGAGAACCTAAATGTACAGTAATCTGAGACAATATGAAATTGAAAAGGCGGTAGCCCTTAAAAGGGCTGTTGGTACCAAGCAAATGTCTCTCGCACTAGTACATCATGGTCCTTGGGTAGAAAAAGTTACTTTTGTTATACTGACTAAATAGAATGTGAAACAAACTATAAAAGTCCTCAATATTTTCAATAAAAGACATCAGCACTGAAGAATATTTACTTCTGCATTAAAGAATTATGATAGTTTAACACTTGGATCTGGGTCTTTCATGACCCTCTTGTTGATATTGCCTTTACAAGTAAAGAAGTGTTTTTTTCTATAAAATACGCGAGTGATATAAATAAAATAACAGAACCTCGTTTCTATGTAAATCAAACTTTACTCGTAAAATCTTATATCGTAGTTTTTATTTTAACTTAATATTGACTCTTTTCAAGTATTCACGTTCGTTTTGTAAATTTTTCCTACTGCAAAATTGATCAATATCATGTATTTCCGGAATTAAAACATTACTATCGTAATGAAGATCTAAAATCACAATTAGATATTATCTTTTGTTTTTTTGATAACGAAATGAATAAAAAAAGAATTACTTTCCACACTTATATTTTAATAAATACATGTATATAGATATACATATAAAACACTACTAGATATACAACAATAAGAAAAAAAGATGCAATTAAATAGGAATTTTAAATGTCATGTCAACGATCTATAGAAATCAATGTAGATTTACATTCTATAAGAACAGTGTAATGTTTCAAAAAACGCAACATCAAATCATTTTATTTATAAAGAGAACACAATTGCACCTGTACATAGAAATGAAAGGGACGCAACGATATTATAAAATGGAGACATCAACAGTCACATTTACAAGAATATACTTTCCAAACTACGATTTAAGGATCTTACACCGGATGCTGGCACATACCGGAACATCAAGCTCGAGGACAACTTTTTACGGCGATAGGCTTTGTCGAGTTTCCGCTAAACAGTTACACGAGAGATAGATACTCCGGTCCGTTACGGCAGCCGTTGTTTGATTATTTTTCTTGCATATTACATAGAAATAATATGTCGGAAAAAAAACGAAAACTAATATTTCTATTAAGCACATTTTCTTATAGTAGCGTATAAATTCACAACTTCATTCATAACGTCAAAATGACGTCATTCTATGAACGCAATTCATTCAAAAAAGGCGCGCGAGCATGACGTCATTTGAAGCACGCGACATGTCTTACAGGGGGTGTAAGACAGGTTTTTCTTGCAGATAGGATTATCTACCATTTACACTGGTGCTAGAAAACTCTTACACCCACCATGTAAGACAAGTCGCGTGCTTTAAATGACGTCATTGCCGCGCGTCTTTTACGAATGAAATGCGTTCTAAGGATGACGTCATTTTACCGTTATGAATGAAGTTTGTAAGTTCATGCGCTACTATAAGAAAAAAGTGCTTAATGAATTTATCAGTTTTCGTAATTTCTGTTCCGAAAATAATTGACATTTAATATGCAAAAAAAAAAAGAATCAAACACTGGCTGTCGGTACAGACGGAAATATCTAGCTCTCGGGTAACTGTTAAGCGGAAACTCGGTAGAGCCTCGTTACCGCCGTAAACAGTTACCCTCGAGCTAAATATTCCGGTCTGTACCGACAGCCGGTGTAAGATACTTATATTCTAGCACCGCTATAAACAGTTGATAATCCTGACTGATATGCAAGAAAATTAATTCCGTGGTATTTGGTTGTTTTGCTTCAACATTCCAAATGTAATAACATTTAACACACTGATTTGTTTGATATTACGTTAAAATGAACAAACGGTGCTGTAACCAATTGCTAGAAAAAAAACAACAACAGAACTTCAGAGTAGATCTAGATAATTACAAGCCCTACGAAGCAGTAACTAATACAAACACAGTCTCGGTCCAAGAAATATTTGCGACTGGTATTGTAAAAGTTTACTCTTCTCTCAATGCACATTCTAGAAACGTTTGATTTATAAAATTCTAATGCAAAAATAAAAATTTTCTTGTTTAAACGCAGCTAGACGATATTGGCTTATTATCCTTGAACTAATGCAATATCATAAAACTATCATAATTGTGAAATAGCTGTTACAACAATGGTTGTTGTGTTTTAACAGAAGGAAACATATTTTTCATCTTTTTTTTGTGCTTTTTTCTCACCTTACCACAACAGTTTTCAAATTTTAATGGATTGTCATTTAAAATACGAGGCAAGAGAATTCATTATTTATATCATTCTTGTTAACAAGTGAAATTATATAACAGTGATTTATTTAAATGACAGCTATATCAATCAAACTTCATATGCACTATATTATTTAAATATATTTAGATTTCTTTGGGACCAAATTTGCTGATAAAAGAGATCTAGAGGAAAGGCCACCTTATCAAAATCGTTGTTATTAATACGCCACATGGCATGTAACGGCTAGTATCACCGGATGTTTAGATGGATGCATTATTGCAAAACCTACCAATTCTATCATAATCGTAGTGAAAGATAACAACAGTCGGAGTCCAAGTCCATAAATCTGTTTATATAATGTACATTGTATATCTAAATGTGACATTTATATTTTTTCAAATTAAATTCTTCTTACCGATTGTGCGAGACATACGGCAATTTTCAGTTGACGATTATCTATTTCATGTAACATACAGTGTTTCCAATGATCCAATTCCAAGCCTGGTTGTTTGACTAATCTCTGAGACTCTGACAAACGGCGCTTTTCATCAGTCATGTATAGACCGCCTGATGGTAATAATATTGGGCTCGACTCTGTTGGTGGATCACTCACGCGTAAATTTTTGGGTGGCATTTTGCATACGTGACATTGAGCCTACAATCAAGTATAATTTATCATTTAAAGATCCACCTGAATATTTCCTTTTATTTTATTCTTTTCAGTGGATTACTGATTTATCCGTGAAAATTATATTTGATAATTTCACAGTGAAAATTATCAAAATATATAATTTCACACTTTTCAATGACGAAACTACTTTTTTTTAGGATTTTCCCCATGTGGAACCTCAATTTTAAGTATCCTACGAGCAATAACTGCCATATGCTTTATGAAAACTTGAAAATCAGCCTGAAGAATAAGTAAACAACCCAGCGTTCGTAAGGCAGCCTTTTAACAATTCTCCAAGTTTTCCAATTTCTTAGCCGCTTTTTGAATGTTTTCACATCTGTCAACACTTATTTATTGTCTGTTACAATCCTCAAATAAGTTTTCTTTCTTTTAAAAAGGTGTATGACTAACAAATCCAAATGATATCCCACTGAATCAAACACAATTATTTTCCTCCCGTGAAATACACAACTTTTAAAAATGGCGGCAACTTACATTTAACAGAGCCAGGTCTAAAATAAATTCGCAGTAAGAAACAGAAATATGGATGGATGGTTGGACTTTTTCTCCTACTAGAATTGTTTGTTTTTATTATTAAAACAAGCGATCATTCATATTTTTTTAATAAAATGAATTATATCACCACCATTTAACGTTGATTGATTGTCGAACTTATTTTTCAGCCCAAGACTTCTTGTATTTAATGAGAAATTTGACTAAATGAGACTCTCATTGGGGAAAACAGATTTTAATATTAACCTTAATATTAAGGAAGTTTCGTTTAAACTTGTTTTGAAGCATAAAATAAAAAGAAAATTTGTTTGTTTGTTGTGTAAGATGTAAATTTATTTCATCGAGCGGGCTTTAAAAACAGTATTCTCACGAGTGGCGTAGCCACGAAGCTCACGATATCGTCTATGTACATAGCGGTGGTAATCACATTCGGTCTTCTTCATCAACAGTTATCATTGCAGATTCAAAATCATTTTTTACGTTTGCGAAAGATCATTCCAAATACTAAATTCATCTGGTCTCAAATTTTGCCCTGTCATTCTTGTTGTTCTTTTGGAAGAAAAGGTAAGAAAGCGCATTAACAGTACCATTAGTACATACATTATAAGAGACGGGTGTCATCATATTAATTATCCTGAAATATCTGTAACTAACCGTGGTCTTTTTGCATACGATGCCACGCATTTGTATCTTTTTGGGAACGATATAATGTTGAATACAATTTCAGAGGCTCTTTACTCATTTTCAAGATTAAACACGCCAGTATTTGCATTTCAATCGTCATGACTGGGTCATTAATTTGGTTTATATTAGCCCGCTGTTGGCGAAAGGTCCTCTCATTGTTTTTTCGAGACCCTTTTGGCTAATTTCTAACATAAATTTATAGGTTTTAGCTATCGATGGCGAGTCATTTTATGCCAAATCTACAAATAAAATAAGTAAATCATATTGTTCGTTTATTATTATTATTATAACTGGACCTTTTAAAGTGACTATGTTGAAAATAAATCAGATTTCTACTATAACTAGGTGTGTAAATGTTGTACCGACAACCGGTCAGAGACGGAATCTTAGTCCACTCGTTCGGCAATTGTAATATCGGCCACAGTTTTCCCCCAACCAGTCAGTTATTACCACAAAGTCGACGGCCGAGTCCTTACACTTGAATCTGACATTAAAACTTGTACCAATAATAATAGACTACAACTTTTTCTTCTACTTTTCTTCTACAAAATTTCTCTTTTTCCGAATGAAAAATAAATGCTTTAGTTTGCAGTTTATCGTATTTAAATCTATTTCCTTATACAGCGGTTTCTGGCTTAATGCAGGCAGTCACAAAATTAATAAATTAATGTCATTCTCGTTAAGTTATATATGACATAAACCCGGGATAAAGGTTGCGTTAATAAGAAAATATTATTTCAAGTATAAACTCGTTAAGGATATTAAAATGTGCACATCATGTCGCATCAATTTCTCATTTTCTTCGGTCTTTGTGCTATCAAAATACGTCAAAATAACTTGCAAAATAACCAAACCGCTGTTTAAAAACACCAATCATCCTAAATTTTAGGAGAATAATAACGTTATTGTATTTTTAAGGACATTTTATATTATTTGAATACAAATGTATGAATATCATGAAAATTTGGCATGACAAATTAATCTGTGGATAACATTTGTTGTGTACGAAATAATTTCAGAAAATACACTTGATGCTCCTGTATATGAGTATGATACTGTGTGCCGGGTTGTTGTACTTTAGCAACTATATCTGGAAACGGGGTGTTCGTTTGAGGGCGGTCAAGAGTTCATTTCGACATCGTTCAGCAATCTATCTTATTTATATGAATTAATATGATAGAATAATACTCCTGGGATTGAAATGGTGGGACATGTATGATAAAGAACAAAAAGAATATTTCCCCTTGACAATTTATCACACTTATCAGTATATCCGTATTTGGCTATCATACAGAGCTTAAGACCACCGGAGAAAACGATAAGAAAAATATGTGTGGTTTTAAACATTTCTATTAAAGCTATTTTGTCTCTATTTAACTATGACAAGGAAATTATTAGGCATTAAAATGACCTATACCAAGAAGATATCGACGAAAGATTCGACTTATTAGCAATACAGAAAAATCGTTGGCGATCAAGTAATTTTTACCTGGACTTAATGCTCGGTCCAATTGTTCATAATATTCCTGCTTTACCCGATGTATATTTTAAGACGCTGTATTTCCTCGAGAAAAATGCATTTGGGAAGGCTTCTTGGGTATAATATGTATGACGACGTGACGATGTTCGAAGTGGTGACCTTTCAAAAATCACATGAGGCAAGATTAGAACGGTAAGAGGGATCTGGTAAAGTTTCAATACTTTTGTAAAGAGCGACGGCAGATTTATGAGCAGATGCATTGTCAAGGAACTTGAATATGTGCACGCCAGCATATGGGAAAATAGTGCAAACATGATTTTGAGGTATGGCCCCTTAAACACTTTGAGGCATGCCGTCATATTTATCTGTCAACAAATTGTTTCTTTCTAAACCCATGTTTGATCGCCAGTCATGATTTCATTCATTTTGGAAAGCATTTAGTATGTACCGATCGAGCAATGTGTCGCAATTTTTATTCGTCATCAGCTTGGAGGTTGGGTATTTGCCAGTGCTAATCTTATGTAGCTTTAGAATGCCTGTCAGTAATGAAAAAAAACTGATGACAAATTTATACTACATAAACGACTTATGCCCACCACTGTAAAGCGGGCATCTTCCACTTTAGATGTTGCTGTTGCGTGACGGCAAAATCAGGGCTCATCTTTGAAACCCGTTCTTCCATATTTTCCTTACCAAACCCATCTCCTAACTAGAGATCAGACTCGGCCGAACAATGTGTGATCTTGACAATGCACTCTATGCACTTCTTTGAAATTGTTATCATTGAATGTCATTTTGAATTGCAATGTACATAACCTTAGTGGGTTCAAGTGATGGAACTTTCATTCAGTTTGAAATTTTCCCACATGTTCCTTGTGTAGCGGACAATCTTACCTTCCTAAACCTGTATTAAACTTGCCCGATATGCACTGAATTACTTTAAAAATGTTAACTGATAATACACTTAAATTAAATAGTGTATGTTCGAAAACCCTTCCTTTTCAGAGTATTGTTTGACATAATACTTCTTAAAACATTTAAAAGCATATTATAGAATAAAATAATTCAAAATAATACCGAAAGGTCATACTATGAAATATCTGATAATGATTTTGAAAATATTTTTCACTTTACACCACAAAAGAAATGTAACCAAGGTAATCTATGTAAGAGATATTCATGAGTTTATGAACATGCGCGTCACGAAACAATTTTAGCCGGAAATATAAATCATAACCTGAAGGGCGAGTTCAATGAAATTGTCTTATTGAAACGCAACATGACTAATTTACATATGTCTTTTTAACCATGACAACCAAACAATAAAAAATGCCTCTATATAAATATGTTGATGAGCGATATTCCTAGTCAGATCCGTCCCACCTTGATTAAGTGCAACGTCTAAAGTAACTATATATTTTCGGAAATTGTTGAGAAATTGCGCGTGAAAAGATAACTATGTTGTCTGTACGTGCATTACTCCTTCTGGGATGTGTGCTTGTAGTTAAAGCCGGAGATTCAAGGGGTAAGTCTATATCTATAAACATATCTTCAATTATCATTCATGTTTTTATTACATTATTATTCTTACTCTGTATTTATATACTCACATAAATGTAAAATCAGTTATCATACACATTTACATATACTGATGAGTTATCATTCATATTTTCATATATTTTCCTTATTTGATTGTTCTTATTCTTTATATGTGGTATACACATAAATATAACATGTATGGTGAAATAGCCTTACAATATTTCATATTTGTATCAACAAATACTGATAAAGTATTTTTTGCAGAAAAGGGGGCACTGTTTTAAATTTCACCATAACTTTGCGTTGGGTAATTCATATAAGAAGACTATATTTTGATAAATTATTTGATACCTAAATTTCATTAAAGCAATATTAATACAAATATATCTGTATATGTTGTATGTTTCTATAATACAAAAGAATACGATAAAGAGAGAGTTTAAGTTTAAGTTGTTATGTGTAAAATATCAGTCTTAGAATAAATATTAATAATATCTAACATCATAGAAATTCTTCTTGAATATATAATGTAAACAACTCATTTTTTTTAGATTTTTGAAGAAGTAATGTAGTATAATTCAGCATTATTTAGTATTTCGAAACAAATATAATAATATAATGTAAAGAATAAAGTAAAGAAATTACAAGTTTTATTTTCATTCAACAAGGATTTCATTGAGACATGTAGCACATTGACATAATATGACCGCAGTAAACATCCCATCAAGTATGGCAATATATTAACATGATGAAAGTGTTAACAATTAAACATCAGATTTTTCAGTAATATATATGTATAAAATATATTTAAACTCCCATCACTAGTCATCAAAAGTACAGTTTGTTTTGAAACATTTACAAGAACTAGTTATATCTTCAATTGTTTTGTTATAGCAATCAAAAAGACATCTTTTTTGTTTTGAAAATAAGTAATCATGTTTTGAAAATAAGTAATCAAGATCAATTTCAACTTGATGTACTTATATACCATTGATATACAAATATAACTATTAATATGTTGAATTGAACAAGATTTCATTTATAGTAAATGTATAGCCGAATCGTATACAACAAAAAGTATTGCAAGATTCATCCTGAATTAGATTAACTTTTCATCTTTTTAACTTTTTATCTCTGAAACGCCTATCTAATCTAAACTATTTAATAAATCAATTGAGACTTATTGCTTAAAACATATTTTAAGACAAATTTTATACTTAAAAAACGAACAAAAAGTAAATGAAAGCAACTATGATTTTCGGAATCAACAAACATTTTGGTGATGAGGTTAAAACACCGAAAACAATTCGACAACGGCGTATAGGGAAACATTGGTACCTCTCTTAAAAGCTATAATGATGTTCTTGTATTTCAGACCGCGGATCTTGTTCTTACCAGGGTGTGAGACTACGAAACGGAGAGGTAGTGACAGCAGAATGTGAATCGTGCAATTGTAACAACGGCTTCTTGGATTGCTCAAGCACCTGTGGCAAGTTCTCATTTTGATTCTTATTAATAACAATAGTAAAATATTACTGCTTGATGGCATACCGGTATCATTCAGTATAAATTGAAATTGCATATCCTTTCAAATTATTTGTATAATTTCTAATGACAATTTTTTTCACCTACTTAAGTATCGTTGTTTTATATTCAACTGAGGAAACTGTTTCAACAACTTGATTAACTTTAAAGCAAATGAAACAATATATTAATATTAAGCACATACGAGTTAACGAGTCAAGTTTGTATTATTTTGAAAATTAAAACCCAGAAAAAAACGGCTGAATGAAAAATTACTGAAGTCTATTCTTTGTTAATCATTATCAGATTTTAGAGTGTCATAGAAAAAGGTTTTGACAAGAATAAACTGTTTACGTATTTGACAATTAGCACTTTTACGTTTACAAAAATTATATCACGATGTAATATTTTCAGAAGACATTTTTCACTTTGTAAATCATCTGTTTGACTTTTTTCTGGTTTGGTTTACCCAGTTGGTCTGAAAACTATATTTTGCGGATCTTATTTTTCTTGTTTTCAATGCTATCGTTATGAAACATGTTATGCCAGTGAGTCCATAGACAAAGAATAATTCTATCTTTATACATATTTTTACGTTATCATGTTGCACATCGTTCGGATTGAATTCCCTTTGTAATTGAACAGTATTTTTAAAACAGATTCTGTTCATTTCAATACAATGATGTCTGATTATTTATATCAGGTGGAGGACAAGCTGGCGGAAATGGAAACAATGGAGGTACGTAACTTATCATTTATAAAAAAGCGAGTTTTATATTTCTAAGTTAGCGAATATCAGAGATCAAAATGCTATACAAATATAATATTTTCCATATACAGGTACATTGGTACAAACAAATGAAAACAATTAGTAATATCTTACAAAGTGGTGCATCAGTTGGCCCTTGATCATGTATACATTACTAGTATGTCAGATATTTTATATTTAACTCTTTATTAAAGGACTTCCACGAGGCCAAAAAAAACGGATAAAACATAAAATTTGAAATTCTTGTATAGACCAAGTGATGCACTTAGAAGGGATCAATTTGCAAATGATATTAAGAAATATAATCTGAGTAATATTGAATTTTTTGGGGGGAGGGGGGCAGGGGCAAGATTCGTAGCCTGGATTGAGTGAAAATCGCTGCATCGCTTTCATTCCTTGTCATTTTTCACAATAAAAAATATTAATTTGTGAAAACAGGATGAGGAAATGATCTGAAAGTTTGCACCCAAGTTATTATAAGTTAGACTTTATCAAATGGTATGCAAGTTTCGACCTTAATGTTTAAAAAAACCTCAGTGGAGTCCCTCTTTAACCAGTCTGACTTTGCTGTTACGTTACATATCAGACGTGAGAATGCTTATAATCAAAATATTGAGATATTCAAGATTATTAAGTTATATTTAATTTTATCATTTTCAGTTGCCGGCGGTCAAGGTAGGGAAAAGCTACTTTTTGATGTATTTATAAATATGATCTTGTCATGAAAATCACTAACAAAAAGTACATATTTAATTAACATTCTTTTAAATTTTTGTCATACTAACGTTCGGTGATATTTTTATTATTAATTCCTCTAACCGCCTACATACTAATTATAAAACAATTAAAAGTTTGTATATTTGGAAGTCAGAACTTGACCTTTTACTTTAGTTAACTAGCGTTTGAATTAATTAGAAAGATATTACTAACATAATGCTCGCATCCACGTCACGATTTCTGATTATCTAACCAAGAACCTGTAATAGTTATTGTACTGATAAAATTCAAATCCGAGGAACAATTATCCTTCATAAAAAAGTTATCTTTTTTCTGTAATCATGCAAATTGAGTCTCTGCCGCGTATAATATTATATGATACTGTAGGAACATTTAAGTCCTATCGCGGAAACTTTATTAAAATAAGAATTTTAACATCGTTTTACTCGGTTAAATTGTCTGAGAGATATTAAACAAAACTGTCAAATTAATCTAATATTCAACACTGAATGTATCCCAGCGGATCATGACTTTTGCCAGTATATTATCGCTATGAAACGCTTAAAAGTAACAAGTGAAATAAAATAATCTGCCAACCATAGGAAATAATGGAGGCGGCGGCGGTGGTGGCGGCGGCGGAGGAGGAGGAGGAGGCGGCAGCGGCGGTGGCGGTAGCGGCTGGGCAATGTCACAAGGTAAGAATATGTACCCAATTTTATCAACTCTGCTGTATTATCAATATATGTAGCAAATATTTTATTTAACCTTGGATATGGTGTAAATAATAACTTTCTAATAATATTTTACTAATCGTATATGAATATTCGTTTTCAACTAACTAAGACTTACACTTACATAAAGTCATGAAGATTTAATAACAATCTCTTCTGACTTACTAATCACTCACTGTTACTAATTCTGTATATCTAGAACTAACGAAATCTTTCAGGTTATCGCCAAAAGGCGGAGGTTTTACTAGGTATATTCTGTTCCCAAAGACAACGGCAATGCAAATTTGTACTATGTGTCACAAAATGTCTATATTCGAGTTGAATGTATTTTCATTTCTCCTACCTACAAACGAAAAACTAGAATGTAACAAAGTCCTCTTAAACAAATCGTACTAACTTTAGGGGGTCAGGGTGCTAGCGGTCAGGCAGGAAGCGCAGGAAGTGCCGGCGGTGCCGGTTGGGGCGTCGGCTCCGGCGGCGGTGGCGGTGGCGGCGGAGGAGGAGGCGGCGGAGGTGGTGGTGGTGCTTGGTCTCAAGGTAATACTTTACCATTAAATTGATTAAGTTTACTAACTTTATAGTGAAACATTTTAACCACTTGTTTCAGTCTTCCTTATGTATCTGTCTCTTACTAATCTGAATAAAAAAGTTGACAATTAATCACATAGAGATAATGTGGGTTAGATAAACGGCATTTGTAGTGATAAGTCCCAGAAAAAGCAATGTATTACTAAGTCCGAGGCAAAGCAATGTATAACTAAGTCTGAGGCGAAGCAATGTGTAACTAAGTCCCCGGCAAAGCAATGTATAATTAAGTACCAGGCAAAGCAATGTGTAGCAAAGCAATGTTTAACTAAGTTCGAGGCGAAGCAATGTATAAATAAGTCCCAGGCAAAGCAATGTATAATTAAATCCCAGGCAAAGCAATGTATAATTAAGTCCGAGGCAGAGCAATGTGTAACTAAGTCCGAGGCAAAGCAATATATAACTAAGTCCGAGGTTAAGCAATGTGTAACTAAGTCCGAGGCGAAGCAATGTGTAACTTAGTCCCTAGCGAAGCAATGTTTAACCAAATCCTAGGCGAAACAATTTCAGTTTGCCATGATCATTAACGCAATGTTTATCGAGAAATACTTTACTAAGTATATTGTAGATATGAAAAGAAGAAATAGGTAAAAGTTTAGGACTGCATGTTTCAAATGTCTTCAGTTCTCTTTTTTGAACTTAGATGCAATTGAATCTGATCAACTTAATTCTAAAGTTGTTCGGCTTAAATCACAATTCAATATTCTTTTAACAAGAAATCATTTATAACGGATTCAGTTAATTGATGGAAGCTTCTACTTGCTTAATTACTGATCTTCCCAGTTCTTTTCCTCTAATATTGCGTCCTCATAAAATGATGTCTTAAATGTTACTTTTTAGAATACAAACTTGTCGGCAGTTTAGATCAAAACGTTATAAAATCATTAGATTTTAAAGCTCAGTCCAAGTCACAGTTTCACACCTGTAGTATCCTGTAAACTTTCAGCCAAGTCCTGTAAACAATGAAAATTAAAAACGGAGGAATGACTGCTGATCAAACTTGATGACAAATCGTGCAAAATGTCCAAAAAAATATTCAGTAACGAAAATAAGAAATGTTAGAAAGATATTTTTAAAGATTTTTTTTTAAAAATACTAATTTTATAACATTATATACTAACTAAAGGGGGTCAGGGTGTTGGCGGTGGATCTGGTGGGGCAGGAGGTTTAGGCGGTGCCGGCGGTGCTGGAGGGGTTGGTTGGGGAATAACTTCCGGCGGTGGAGGTGGAGGCGGCGGCGGCGGCGGCGGTGGAGGTGGAGGAGGAGGGGGTGCTGGTGTATGGTTTCAAGGTAAGCATTTATAGGTCAGTTAATTTACTAACTTTTTTGTGAAACATATTAACACTAGTGTTTTGTCAATGTATTTTGCTAATTTCACTAATTAGTAACTCTTTTGTAACTCGATGAGATTATGGCATAAACATTATTGTGAACGAAATGAGATAAGATTTTTACTCTTCCGAAACATTGAATTATTATTTGTTCAAAAGTATGTATTAAAATTCTCAAAAACTAATTAAAAGACTTATGGAAAAAAGTGAAAAATTGATTTATTTATACACATTAAAGTCCGCATTTATGCAAAGAATGAAATACTACATGTGCAATTATCTTATAATTGTTATTTATGCGAAGTCGATATTTAAACAATAAAAACATTAGACGCTTCTTTTCATTGAAAATGAAACAATCATCTATATGAAGATAACTGAGAGTTCGTTAGTGAATTCTGTTTGATATGTTGATGGGTAGTTTACATACTAGATTAAGTTCCTACTAACAAAACAACTTACATACTTCTCTACTTACATTATTATCTACTTACTTACTGGCTTGGTGATTTGCAGTAGTCATTATTTATTCTTATACTTTTTGTCTGATGTCAATTCTTACTGTTCAGCTTGAAAATCTGCTCGTTAAATGTCTCACTAACTTAGACTAACGTACTGTTTCTTGATCTTTTCTACCGGGATGAAACACAAATTTGCGTGTGGCGCTCAACGAACGAAACTGTTACATATAAGATTAATAGTCAAAATGAAATAGATCCTATTTTTCAGAACTTGAACGTCATTAGCGAAGTGTCACAAAGGTGTAAGTGTGTATGTGAAATCGTGAAAGAAAGCCGTTATTATGACGAATAAATTTTAAAAGACATTTTAAAATATTGTGCCTTTAATACAAAAACGCCTAATATGTCCTATAAAACACCGTTCGAATGAAATTCACGTTAGAGCGATAATTGATGTAACAAGATGCAAACTGTCATTAACAAAAAAATCCCAACCGATGCAATCATAGAAACATTCACAGCAAATATTTTAACCATATACAATCATACCAAATTATACTTACTTAAGGGGCTCAGGGTATTGGCGGTGGTGCAGGTGGTGTTGGTGGCCCAGGAGGCAGTGGCGGGACTGGAGGGGCAGGTTTGGGCGTAGGCTCCGGCGGTGGTGGTACAGGTGGGGCAGGTGGTGTAGGAGGCACCGGTGGGGTCGGCGGCGTGATTTTGGGCGTAGGCTCAGGAAGCGGTGGTACAGGTGGTGCAGGTGGCGTAGGAGGCATCGGTGGAGCCGGCGGAGTAGGTTGGGGCGTAGGATCCGGCGGCGGTGGCGGTGGTGGGGGTGGTGGAGGAGGAGGTGGTGGCGGTGGAACCGGCGTAGGCTCAGGAAGCGGTGGTACAGGTGGGCCAGGTGGCATGGGAGGCACCGGTGGAGCCGGCGGCGTAGGTTGGGGCGTATCCGGCGGCGGTGGTACAGGAGGTGCAGGTGGCGTAGGAGGCACCGGTGGAGCCGGCGGCGTAGGTTGGGGCGTATCCGGCGGCGGTGGTACAGGAGGTACAGGTGGCGTAGGAGGTACCGGTGGGGCAGGCGGGGTAGGTTGGGGCGTAGGCTCCGGCGGCGGTGGTGGTGGGGGCGGTGGAGGAGGAGGAGGTGGTGGTGGTGGAAGCGGTATAGGTGTATGGATTCAAGGTAAGAAATATTGGTATTTAAGAATTGACTGAATGTACAATTCCGTTTATCTATTTATATTTTTTATTTTATCCAAATTATATCCAAATATCCTTATCATATTTTGAAAGTAAGATTATTTGACTGCTTGTTCCATTCAATATTTTTAGTGTTTAGAACTATACAGTATATGTAATCGGTGTTTTGATATTTGTTAGGCGATGTATGCAATAAGATTTTTGAACAAGTCAATTCTTACTTACTTACTTACTTACTTACTTACTTACTTACTTACTTACTTATACTTACTTACTTACTTACTTACTAATTTACTTACTAACTTACTTACTTACTTTACTTACTTACTTACTTACTTACTTACTTACTTACTTACTTACTTACTTACTTACTTACTTACTTACTTACTTACATTTCCTTAATATATGTGCTTATTTTGTTCTACCATATCATTGCAATGTACGTTTTTACTGAACTCATTCACGCTCATATCAAATATCAAACCAATATTTTGCCACAGACATTAACCACAGACATTATCCACAGACATTATCCACAGACATTAACCACAGACATTATCCACAGACATTATCCACAGACATTAACCACAGACATTATCCACAGACTTTCATTTATACAATGTATTTACTTTCTGTATCTCTCAAACGCGTCCTTCAACGTAAAATATACATGTAAAACATGTTAAATCTACCCATGCAGTTCTCCCTAAAGTTAAAACTATATCCGGCGTCCTTCTATTCCGAGAATATAAAAGAAACGGTGTAAGGCTGGTTTAGTTCTAACTGTTTAAAGCGTGTAAATACCAACTTTAGGTGGTCAAGGCGTCGGCGGTGGAACAGGGGGAGCCGGTGGATCCGGTGGTGTAGGAGGCACTGGCGGGACCGGTTGGGGTTTGACCTCTGGCGGCGGCGGTGGAGGCGGCGGCGGTGGTGGTGGAGGGGGTGGGGGTGCAGGGGCAGGTTGGGGTTTAAGCTCTGGTGGAGGCGGCGGGGGCGGCGGAGGTGGCGGAGGAGGTGGAGGAAGTGGTGCCGGTTTATGGTCTCAAGGTAAAACTTTCTAGGCCGATCAACTAATTAAGTTAACTAAAATATATCTAAACATACGTTAGCAAATCAATACGTATTTTACAATCGTTTTAATGTAACTATTTACTAATCTGAATAACAAGACTAGTACTTATGCGGTATTGCAGCATGGAGCATATACTTACAAAACCATGATAAGGCGTCACCATTTAAACATCGTCAGTTTAGTTCCTAATCAGTTGATTTACCCTGCATTTTTCAAGAGGTGTCGATATTGATGTGTTCAAAATATATCCCGGCATTATCATCCTGACACACATATATATATATATACTCTTTACTAATACACACGTATGCTATAATTTACCTTTGTCTATGTTTGTAATTTTAAGTGTTTATGTGTTTTATCTTCTACAACTTACTATACTTAAACTAACATGCAATAACTGATATTATATAATTATGTACTTTGAATGTATAGACGTTGAGTATTATGTACATATGATTTACTAAAATAACTAACAAATTAACTTCAGGGGGTCAGGGAGGATCTGGTGGGGCCGGCGGGACCGGCGGTGCCGGCGGTAGTGTCGGCTTTAGTTTAATGTCTGGAGGTAGGTTTGATTGTGATATAGTACGTATTCATTTCCCGCCAAAATAGCTGTACATGTATCTTTATCTGTTATGTAGTAATGACTTTAGCTCAACGGGAGTTAACTCGTTAGGTGTGAACTAGACAGCTTCTGGGATAAATATATCAACAGTAAAATATAGGCTCTAAAAGCGATGTATAGTTTCAACTCCCTATTATAAAATAACTGACCAACCTATTTTAAGAAAACTTTAAGTGTCGGTTTACAGCTTCATTCAGTGTATCCACTTTTGCTACAAGCTGAATTCTTGCCATTGTTATCGAAACATATTGCTATCAATGTTGTTGGTTCGACTCGTCATAACTTCATCTAACTACTCTACACAGTCACTGACAAATGATTCCTGACCTCTTGTTGTTATCACCGAAACAACCTCATTTAACGTCAAATTGAATTAATTATCACAGTAGAAAATTGTGATGCCGAAGACGAGGAGCAAGAATTTGGAGGTCTACACATGACAAATTAATCTTACATTACAAGTTAGACTTATACAAATAGCACATGCTTACAGTTAAATATTACCTAATGTTTGTGGTATATATGAAAGTGAAAAAGTTATACTAAGAAGTATTAATTTTAGACTTCTGCTGCCACCGTCTATCAACGGACCGATCTCCGTGATGAACTATATTGACGTGAGCTATATTTGGTGCTTAGCGATGGCACTGTGACCTGTGATTTGATATAATAAATTGACATTGACCTGTGATGTAAAAAAAATCAGTACGACATATTAACTGCTATGCTTACTTGTATTCATAATGGATTGAACTACAGATTGTAATTATTAAAGACATGTACCTTTTTTATAATATACATGATAAAATAATTACATTCAAAGTTTTGGAATTCATCATTATTTTTATTTTACAGCAAGCTTTGTGTGCACTATTTCATTTGACAAGTTAGCTTGACTGATGTTACAAAATAGTTGTAAATCCTTAACGTGTAAAACGTTAAGTGTATACAGTATAATCCATTACTTCACAATTTATGCAATACTAAAAATTATTAATAATTAATGAAAAGGTTGGAAACTTGATATAAAATGAATCGCTTAAAAGTTACTTATTACATGGATATCGAGTGTTTGTAACTAAACATTGATGTTTAAGTTTCTTATGTTTATTAACCTGGTCACAATAAAAAAGAATCCATTTATACATTTATAAAACATCTTTGTAGGAAACAAGGAGTTATAATGTTACTCCCACTAGTGATATGTGTTTTAGTTATTAACGAGTACATATTGTTATAGGTGGGGCCGGTGGACAGGGCGGTGCCGGTGGACAGGGCGGAGCCGGTGGACAGGGTGGTGCCGGTGGACAGGGTGGTGCCGGTGGAGCAGGCGGACAAGGTATGTCTTAGCTAACATACTCTATGTGTTATAACCTAGGCTGGTAGACAATCAACTTTTATAAGAGGTGAAATTTTCGAATGCCGTGCATTCTTTGGTATATTTAACCGCACCTGAAAGGTACCAAATCAATAATTAGCTCAGTCGTTAATAAATATAACTGTTTGAACCTGCACAGATCCAGTACAATCAGTTAAGGTACAATGCTGCCAGCGCGCCTTAACGTCTGCTTGGCTACTTTACCATCTATCAACATTTCTATCCAACAAATCAACAGCAGCATAAAACATAAGTTTACCATAATAGTTGACAGTTTTCAATATTTATATTTCAAGGTTGTTTCTATAAGAATATGATGAGACAAGACGGTCAACAATTCATGGATGGTTGCGACACATGTATCTGTACAAATGGCATTGTAGTCATCATCATTCCATGTCGTATGTTACATTTACTTATATATTCTTTTGTTATCCTTTGTGATAACATTAACTCATGCCATGATGTTGATGTTATATAATGCTATCACATCATTTATATATTATATGGTTCAACAAAGCAATGTTCTTAGCTTGTTAAACACACTAAAGTTAAATTCGTGTTAATTAAAGTTTGGCTGTTTCCTTTATGATAGCCTAAATGTCCGCTCATTTTACTATCAAAGCGTTATTCTTGTTTATCCCATTAGATTAAAGTTAAATTATTGTAAATTAAAGTTTGAATGTTTCCTTTATGATATCATAGTCTTAATGTCCGCTAATTTTAAACTTATAAAATGGCGTGATATATCACCATTTAATCATAACATAAAAGACAATGAAGGATATTAACCTGATTATTAGAAAAAGAAGGAACTTTTTTGTAATTATTAAAGCGGCATCTTTGAATATTTTTTGCTCTTGTTTGTCATAGAAGATATAACCCTTTATTAAATTAAATTAACTACTATATTTGATCCATCTTTAGCTCCAAAAGACTGTGTTTACAATGGTGTAACATATCCAAATGGCGCTACATGGCAAATTGATGAATGCAATACATGTTCATGCAGTGACGGAGGAGTAACATGTACAAATAACGTTTGCAGTATGTATATGTTTAATAATTAGATAAATATAACATTTATTTTTCGATTTCTGCATTTTACAAACGAAAATTAACAATATTGTACACACAAAAAAAAACAATAACAACTCACCAATGCATTGTTGCCTGTTACTGTTTACTGATTTCCTCGAAAGTTCAAGGTCTAACTTATAATATCTACATATGCACTTGATGATAAACCCAGTATATTGTTTTCGTATTACATTTTACAGATCTCTCCTTTTATAGTTTTTATATAGGATATCGCATGGATTGTCATAAAATATAAAATTTCAAGAAATTGTTTTAAAGCGACCTTTGCATGGTGATTATTTTAACATTTTTGAGACGAGTTTAAAAATAATCTTATTACATGGAATTATTTAAAAGTGTCTTCAACATTTATATCTCCCTTTTTACGATTAGCAATAACATTTGAAAATGTCTAAAAGCAATGAATCCATGTGCAATGATTTAAGTAGATATCAGCCATGGTTGGAAACCTTTATACCTAGTAAATAAAGATAATTTGGTTACGAAAAATAACGCTAAATGAGATAATGCGAATTGTGGCTTTTTATATTTCGAGATCTGAATATATTTCGCTTATGAAACAATTGATATTATATTCATTACTTGAATTCAGAGAAACGCACAAATTTGTACTTCGGTTTATGTTTAACACTTCTCAACGATGTTTTATTCCCTTTAGAGCCAAAAGATTGTGTTTACAATGGACAAATGTACTCACACGGTGCCACATGGCCAGTGGGTGACTGTAACACGTGTACATGCAATGATGGTGCTGTGACGTGTACAAATGATCCTTGCCGTAAGTTTTAATCAAATCATACAAATCAGAATTAATTATCATTGTTATTTAGTCGTGTGTGTTTTTTATATTTTTATTTAGCACTCTTAATAAATGTTAAGAATCTAACGTTCAAAATGGAAATATCCGTTAGTATTGTTTGCGTGAAAGCAATGTTATGGATAAAATCTTTTAATTTAAACATATTTCCCTGAAACAGTTGTGAATTATGGTTTATACCATTTCATTTAGCTGTTCTTACATAAGTGTAAAATGTATATGTAAATATCTGCAGTAAAATTGTATGTGGAAGATAAATATATCTGATCATAATTATTTCAGCGCCTAAAGATTGTGTTTACCAAGGTCAAATGTACCCGCACGGTGCCACCTGGCCAGTGGGTGACTGCAATACCTGTTCTTGCAATGATGGAGTTGTGACATGTACAAATGATGTTTGTCGTATGTATCTCTTTAAATATGACACTTTTTTAAGAGTTGCTACCCCGTTTTTGAACATTTGTAACTCTGTATCATATGCCTAGAATTATGAATGATATTAGCACATACATTAACTAAATTACATTCTAATGATTATACCCGTTTATATCAATATGTTTACATGTTAAAGTATGATTTTCTTTAAATAAATCAACATACGCAAATACCCGATATTACACAGGCTTGTGATACTTTAAAATACAATCATTCTGAAGCAACTATAATCTATAATTCGTACCTGAAACATTAGTGGAGTGAACTTGTATTACATTAAACTCATTGTAAAACAAGTGTTCTATTATATATTAAAACCCCATTATGTCTCACATAATCATTTATATTATTTCTCAAAAGCTTTTTAGTTTTGGTGTACTTTTATAGTATCAAAAGGTCATTGGCCAACTACCTGAGCCGTGTTTTACACCTGTTACTTTCTGGCAATAAATACAGTTATAGTAAATTAGTGTTTTGTTCGGGAGTCAAAATACTATTTTGTTAACATATTTGTTACTTTTATGACAAATTATTTCACGTTTATCGCTACTTTCTCCAGGTAAAAAGCATCTAACATTCTCTGAAACCATTATTTAAACATTATGAAATTCATGTTTGACCTTTCTATGTAAGTAAAAAAACTATTTATTTCTGAGACATGATGTGCCTTTAAATCAATTACAGCACCAAAAAGTTGTGTATACAATGGTAAGACGTATTCTCATGGTACAACATGGTCTATTGATGAATGCAATACCTGCTCATGTAACGATGGTACAGTAACATGTACAAATGATGTCTGCCGTATGTATCTTTATAATATATATTATACAATTACATGTTACTGTTCTTATTAATGTATTGTATGTGATACTTAGACTATTAATTGCCTTTTCTTCCACATTTGCTGCCATTTTTACTCAATCAAAGCAATAAATAGGTTATTACTCAGTAATACAATGTATATGTAAGACGTAGGGAGCCGAGAATAAAATATATTCATCTTTGAACTTTGCAGCTTATATTGGTGCAAAGATTCGTTGACTAAATAAAAAACTATTTATTACAGTCAACCTCAGAATTAGTATTTTTGAAGCCATAAAGTGTCCTATTAGAGAAAAGACAATACTTCTGAACTTCTAAGATTTGTCTAAGAACTGTAAATTAATTCACCATCATAAGTCATATATAACCAAATATCAAAGCATTATAACATATAACGGAGATATAATACATTGAGTGGCAGTTCCTGTGGTTTCATATTCATGTGGGAATTTCGAGATTCATTCAATCCTAAGGTTTTTTTAAAGATTCCTTAATCTTGAGTTTGCATAGAGAATCTAAGAAAAAAAACTAAAGACAGAGCGAAAAACATTGACAGAGTTCATCTGATTGATTCTGTATCATATAAGTATCCGACTAACAGTTTTGGGACATATACGTAATAACAGAAAACCTAAACAAATTGATAATAACAAGATGATGCTAACTAATCCATATGTTGTTTTTTTTTTTTTTTCATTTCTTAATTACAAAACATGATATAATCCAAATTGGAATTTCTTTTAGCCAAGAAACCATGTTTCTACAAGGGTGGTTGGAAACAGAGCGGTGAAATGTGGCAAGATGAATGCAACAATTGTACTTGTTATGACGGTCAAGTTAGCTGTACACAACTTGTGTGTCGTAAGTTATCAAATTAATATAAAGCATGCATATAGTACTTATCACAGTAGCAGAAAATATCAGCAAATATATGATGTTGTTACCATTCACCGTTGGAAATAATGCTCATGTGAGCTAGTAATATCGATTCTCAGAAATGCTCTTGTAACAACTGGTCCAACTTTGATGAAGATGTTTTGAAGATATTCTATAAGGTTCTATTCTGTTGCATATACCGTCTGTAATTTGAAAGCCATTTACCCGAAAACAACCAAAATTGTTCAGAAGCATTGATACTTTTGTGTGGCTTCATCTAGAGGCGCTTTGTTCAATATTGCCTATATTGGTATCATAATGACTTTGGTCATTTCTATCTTTAGATTAATCTTTAAATAATGTTGGCCTACAGTTAAGATCATTTGTGTGTGACATGACCTCTTTGTCCAGGTTTGTCGAAAGCATGACCCCGGAATAGAAATTTGTCGTTAGGACATTTATCAACAACCACGTACAGGCCTTGAATTAAAGCAGCATACCTAAAAAAATCATGTTTATATTCTTAAAAATTTTGAAAATGTTTTAAAAGAAAATATTGTGAAGTGAACATGTAATTTTCACATTGCACAAGGCGCTTAGAACCCACGTAAATTACCAAAAGGAGGTCAAATATATAAGAACAGCCTTTACTGCGTTAGTCACGCAGTAGAATACTGTAAAATCAATTATTAGTCGCCTATACATGTAAATTAATACTTGAATACTGAATCTTGTTACTTTTCTTAAAATCTTGGTTCATTTTTCTCAAGTTTGATTTTGTTGATTTATTTTGGCTCATCTGGAGGCATGCAGCTTTAACATACCTGTAGCTGAAAATAGCTACATAAAACAACTTTATTCAAATTATGACCCATTGATTTAAGATTATGTAAACACAAAATGGCTTGCAGCTTTGAGCTTTTTGCTTCAACATCAGCTTACTATACTCTTTTTTGTTATAAAAAGAAAAACAAATGAACAATGAAATAATATTTATAATAATTCAACCATTTGCTAATAACTTTTCTTGTACCAATCTGTGATATAATTACACATTCTTGTTATGTTAAATACTAAAAAAACAAGTAATATTCAATATTCCGTTTATCTTTGTTTTTACCATACAGTAATGATTTTATACGTATTAGTGTATCGTCTAAGAGTGCATGCACACTTGGGTTTTCAGGCGGTTATTAAGACGCTGATTGGATGTATTAACATTGGCCTAATTGTACAGAGTATTTCTTGACCAACTTAATATTTTCAGTATTTTCATTGTAAAAAAATTATTTTTCACTGCAGTGAAACAATGTTTTCCGTATTTTCAATGGTTACTTGCCAGACTACTTTCTTCTAAATTCATATCAAATATAGGAGAAGTCTTAAGAAATCAATGAAAGTCAAAAAAAGACAGATTTTTTTTCCCCAGAAATATGGGATTTATTAATTTTCATCTCGTGGTATGAAAATTATGAAATTTCACTTGTGCCTATACTCGTTAAGTATTCATTTTCATACTACTCGATGAAAATAAATCCTGCATATATTGTCGTACATCCATGCGGCGTCATATTTTTCTACTTGCCTTACATATATCATACATATAGTTTCTTCATGTATTCATTGAACATGCATGCACGGCACAATACTGCATGGCACAATAACGCTGCCGACAATCGGGTAAATATTTCATGTTTTCAGCAAAACCATGTTTTTACAACGGCAAAGTGAGACAAGACTGTGAGACTTGGCAAGAAGATTGTAATACATGCACGTGTAAAGATGGTCAAGTGACGTGCACAGACATGCAATGTCGTATGTTTCCGTTCCTAATATAGGATGTTATTGAACAGATGTTCCATTTTCAAACTTAAGAAAAGAATTATACTTGTACATCTATTCTCAATGGCCTCGAAAACATTATATTAAACTAAGTTTTAATGTAAATTAAAGTGAAAGAAGGCTAGAAAATAATCAAGATATACCTGATTACAAGAATACTGCCTTTACATAGCTGTAACAACTTTAAAACAGTAAAATTAGTAGATACAAAATAAATATTTTACTAAAGCAGACAAAGTATTAAGGGATTATTTTTACAATGGTTTTCATACTCTAAAGTACAATATTAATGTTTTCAGCAAAACCATGCTATTACAAAGGACAATGGTATCAGGACGGTCAGTCATTCAAGGACGAATGTAACACATGCACGTGTAACAGTGGCAATGTACAGTGTACTAATAAAGATTGTACGTATATTGAATGTCAAAACATCATTTATTACAATATTTTTTTCTCAGTAATAGCACAATATGATATAGCTGGAACAAAAAAGCATAACCGCAAAATTACATGTCTAATGTAAGACCCATGACGGACGCTTCAAGGTCACAGGGTCATATAAAATATTAAATCATTTACAAGTGCAAAAAAATACATTAATACATGTTAAAGTATACAATAGTCATAAAATATATTATTATACTTGAAATAAGAAAAATAAAAATGGCAAAATACATTACATAAACTGGTTATGGGTTAAAGATGATACACGAATAACTCATTTCATGTAATACTTTAGTTTACTTACGTTTAAAGCTTGATTATTAACTTCGTGAATTTAACATCACTTCCGGTTCCAGTAGATTCAGTGTGTTTTTACCTTATGTTTCGTATACGTAATGTTATTAATCATTAGATAACTAGGTATTTTTGTATTTTACAGGTAAATGTTATAACGTATATTGTCCTCCGTTGTACTGTACCAACTCATACGTGCCATACGGTGAATGTTGTCCAGTTTGTAAACCAGAACGTAAGCATTATTTAGTATAATATAAATGTCAGAATTATGATATATGTGTGAAATATTTTAGTGAAATACAATATTACTCTTCAAATTATATAAATTAAAATGACATTCTGTAAATGTAAGCCCTATTTAATATCTTTTATGGAATACTGTTTGGTCTATATATGCGTCAATAAATGCTGTTCAAAGTCTAAAATATGTATGTAATAATTAACATGCCTAATTTTTATTCTAGTAATATTTGTACTTTTTAAAAATTGTATAATTTCTTTTTCAGCTAAACCTCAACCCAAACCACAACCAAAGCCAAAATGTCAACAATCTAGCTGTAGGAAGCGTTCATGTGGCGGAAGTTACACACCTCCAGGAATGTGCTGCAGCGTTTGTCCACAAGGAAGCAGATACTACTAAACAAGTTCCCCAATGTCTCAATAATGATCGCAAGTTGTCACCGGAGCTTACAGATTATTCTCACATAAATATTGACATTATTTTCTGACATTCAGTATAACATTCACAATAAAGAATGTGCAAATGCAAATACGTGTTCATGTTACTTTATACCAGCTCTTAAACATTCTATTCATTAGCGTGTGCATTTGTATAGCTGAAATTCATGTAATTTTGTTTATATAGCTTCGTGTTCGCAGTTACTTATACACTCTTGTCTGCTGTGAATTTGTGATAAAGGTTAAATTGCCAATAAAGGGACAGCATTTAAATTTATTATTTTGTTGCTTATTATTACAGATATTAAACAAACGCACAAGCAAACCACTTACAGTCGACTCTCGTTATCTCGAAGTCATCGGGACCGTCCAAAAAATATCGAGATAACGAAATGTCGAGATAAACATATTAGGGTTTGAATAATGCAGAAACTGATTTTTACAAAAGACATGTGCATACCTTATGTCAAATAAACTATGATATCCCCATGTCTTGTTTTCATAGGCCTAGTCAATATTTAACAAAGTAACATAAGCAGATGTTTACCAGCGGAAATACGGGTGTCTGTGATAAAAACACATAGTGAGGTTAACTCAGTAATACACAAAAGGATTGGGTGATTGATCCGGATATCCTCCCGGGTTATTTATCGGGTCTTTCTCGAGATTGTTCGACCGCTGATTGATTTGGAGGTGATTTTGTGAAACAATATTGCTACGATAACGTTTCTATACTTTCACTTTTCTATTTCAATTACATTTAAAGTCATTATGAATTGATACAGTGTTTGAATATTTATAAAGAACGTCAAATTCACTCAATTTGGACATAAGTCAACCAACACCCTAATTAATAACTTTTATAATAACAGCTAAACTTGTTACAAACATAATCATCATTATGACACGCGCTATTTAGCAATTATCATCTAGTTTGTGTTTTTCACACGTCTGAAGGGAACATAACATAACATAACATAACATAATCTTTATTTCTCTCAATACATGTATACATGCAAATATGAGGAATTTACAATAAATGATATAATCATACGAGGCTCATAAAAGGTGACAAACAAAACATGCAAATCAATAATTACAAAATTAGAACTGATGTAATATAAATAACACAAGTATTTTCAGTGAATAGTTAAGTTCTTATTTTTTGAATAATACATTTAACAAATTTACACAATTTGAGAAATTCAGATTTGTTTTTAGTACACATAAGATTTTCTAGTTTAAAAATGTTTGGTCGTTGATAATATACTTTTTTCAAAAATTGTTTTCTTTCTTCGTTGAATTGACAACATTCAAGTAAATAATGAAATTCGTCGCCAATTTTATTTTGACAATTAGAACAAAATCTTTGGTTAATTGGAGTACTGGACCAATTTCCCGTTTCTATAGGAAATCGATGATTTCTTGTTCGAAATTTAATAAAAAAGTACAGTAACGAACTATCTAAATTTGCCAAGTACGATTCAAATCCAAAAGTTGTCTTAATTATTCTATAAAACAAACTGTTACTCGAATTTTCAATTTTAGAATACCACTCATTTAAAAAAAGATCTTTTAACTTTTGTTTAACAGAAAGTTTGAGCCACTCAGAGTTTGTAAATGTGTTGTCGAACCACACTTCTGATAGACCACATTTGATTAAAATAGTTTTGACATTAAAAAACCATGGAAATTTCTTTTTAAGCAAATTATCACTTAAACCAGCTGTTGGGTATAGTAAGTTATTATAGACAAGAATTGACAATTTATTTTTAGCGTTAACACCGTCTTTATTACATAATTTTGACCAGAATGATATTATCCTTTCTTCGATGTCAATAGCTAGAGGCAAACAACCGGTTTCTCCATAAACAAAATAATTTGCTGTTGACTTTTTTAATTTAAGAATAATTTTTAAAAACCTTAGTTGAACTCGCTCAATAATGTCGAGATTACCATATCCCCAAATTTCTACACCGTACAGTAAAATCGGCTTAATTGTTTTATTAAATAATTCAATTTGTAAATCTATTGGAAGATTGAGACGATTAGAATTTTTTACTAAACTATACATGGCTCTTGTAGATTGGCTTGCAATATGTTTTCATACATTTTAGAAAAGAACCTGTTTTACTAAAATAAATTCCAAGATATTTGTATTCATTTACTACCTCGATAGGTTCGTTTTTAAAAGTAAAATTATACATTTGTTGTCTACCTTTAGAAAAAACTACGATTTTTGTCTTTGACGTATTAACCTTAAGTTTCCAATTATCACAGTATTGTTCATATATATTTAATGCTTTTTGTAAATCATCTGCTGTTTCTGATATTATTACCGTATCGTCAGCATAGAGTAATATAAATAATTTTAAAAGACAGAAAAGCTCATTTGTATTACTTCCATTTACCAATGTTATTCCATGTACGTTACTATCATTTTAAAAAATACGATTCTAGATCGTTTAAAAATAATGAAAATAGCAATGGCGATAAATTTTCTCCTTGACGTACACCTATATTACAAGGAAAAAAATTAGAAAAAAAAGAATTTACCTTAACACATGACTTAATGTTACTGTACAAATTTTTTAATGACCTGAAAACATTTTCCATTAATATTTGAGTTTATCAGTTTTTCCCATAAACCATTTCTCCAAACTGTGTCAAATGCTTGTTTAAGATCAATAAAGGAGCAAAAAAGCTTTTCCATTGTTATTAAGATAATGAATAATGTGTTGCAAAACAAATAAACGATATGAAGTAGAAAATCCTTTCCTAAAACCTGCCTGTACATTGTTAATTATTTCATTAGATTCAACGTAATCAGTTATTCTTTTATTTAAAATACATGTAAATACTTTACCTAAACAACTTAACAAAGTTATAGGCCTATAATTTCCAGGGTCAGATTTGTCCCCTTTGTTTTTATATATTGGGTTGATTATACCAATAGTCCATGATTCAGGAATTATACCGGTATTTAATATTAGGTTAAAAAGTTTAACATATATTGTTTTCATTCATGGAAATGTTGCTTTAAGGTGTTCATTTACTACATTGTCATATCCACTGGCTTTATTATTTTTAAGGGTTTTGATTGCATACTCAATTTCATTGTCTGTGATTGGAACATTTATCTGTTCGTTACTTTCATTTACTTCATCAGAATTTGGTTCATCTATAATTTCATCACTTTCATCATTTTTAAAATTTACATTTTTAAAGAAATTATAAAGGTCAGTTAGGTCAGCCTCGCAATTTTGTTTTGTTTTTTTGTTTAAAATTTTCCAATAGTTTCGTGGGTCTTTACCTTTAAGATTTCGCAATTTACTTATACTTTCTTTTTTCTCATTTTTATAAAATTGTTTTAACGTGCCTTTATATATTTTTGCGTTTTGTTTCAAGTTTTCCTTTGTGGTTTCGTTTTTTCTTAATTTATAAAGATGTTTTGCAGTGTGAAAATTTTTTCTAGCCTTTTTGCATTTTGGTCCAAACCAAGGTTTGGAATTATTAGTTATTTTTTTGTTATTAATATCTTTTATTTTTGTGTGTCCAAAAATTTCACGGGACGTATTTGAAAATAATGACGATATGGTTTCAGTTATAATGTCAGCATTTTCTTGAGTGAAATTGTTATTGACTTCAAAGTTATCTAATGTTTCATTAATGTTTTGTATTTCATTAACATCTATCTTATTTAAAAACTCATTTGTTTTAGTGCTATCCCAAAGTTTTATGGTAGGTTTCTCCATTTGTACACTACATTTGCTCAATTCAAAGCTTAATTTAAGTTCCACAGGGTTATGTACGTCTGACATTAAGGGACAAAAGTCTAAAACATTAAGAGACACAATTTGCTTAAAACAGTTTGAATTACAGATAAAATAATCAACAGTACTTGTGCCTTTACACGTTGTTTTCCCCGGAATATCCATATTTGTTCTACCGTTTAAAATGTATAGACAATTAAGTTTTAAAAAATCGAGTAATTGGGATCCATAGTTGTTAGACGTTTTGTCACTATTTATACGGGTCCGTTTAACATTAACTGCCGAGTCGAACATACTCATCTCAATATTATATTCTGAACAAAGTTCTTCTAAATTTTGACTTTCAAAAAAATCTGTGTCAAGTATAATATAATCATCTAAAGATTTAGTTCTGCTATTGAAATCTCCAAATAGACAAAATGAGTCATATTTATCAATAAAATTACTATAATCGTTCTGTATCTCTAAAAAGGGGTCCTCAACTGAATATTCTGAATATTCGGGTGGTATATAAATAACACCACACAATAGATCATTATCTGTTTTACATATTGATTTTGACACGGTAAACCATAACACCAATTTACAATCTGTTTCTATGATCTTAACGTATTTTGAAATATCTTTTCTGACAAATAATGCTAAACCCCCTGATTTACGACGAGTTCTGATATCATGTCTATTTTTCATAAATACATCATAACCAGGTAAATCTATAAAGTCTAAGTTATCACATTTAGTTTCTTGTAAACCAATAATACAATATTGCTGTAATAACTTTGTAAATTCAGGGCATCCTAGTTTCGATTTTAAACCACAGACATTTAGAGATAAAATACTAAACAGTTCTGCAACTAGAGAGTCTTTGTTGCTCAGTAATTCGGGTTCAGATAAATTTAAGTAGCTAGTCGAATTACCTCCCTTGTTTACATCAACCTCATTTACAGTAAAAAAGTTTAAATCATTAAATCCGGTGCAATCAATTTTATGGTTAACATTTGGGCTAATATACCCTGCATTATTTAGGTTACTATTCATTGTATACAAATTCGTAAAGACATCATGACTTGTTAAGTAGTAATAATAAGAATTTTCCCTAGGAGCGTAATTCGCATATAGAAAATGATTAACATTCCAAGGTGATTTAAAGCTGTTATAACAGTTATATAAATACCATGATCTGTAACTGTAAAAATAATACATGTAGTACATACACGTTTCATAGTAACTGACAGACAAATAATAAGAGTTTAACAAAGCATAATAATTGTAAATGTCTAGTCCGTTAAACACGTTACTGTTATCTGCACTACACTGTTTATATTTTGGTATTTTTTTTGTCTGCATTATAAAAGTGAGGTTCCCCCTAGGGGGTTACAATAGTAATAGTCAAAATCTTTGAGATAATACCGTGTCAGCATCTTATCGATCTGACTCTTTCTCAATAAGAACTCCATTGTTGTTGATCCATTGCACACAATCATCAGCTGTAGCGTTCCGTTTTAAGTTGCAATCAGACTCTAGCGGCGAGCGTTCTTTACGTTTTTGAGACTGCCTATCATTATCCATAGTGTCGTTATAAAGAGCATTAAATCTGTTAGGAGTTTCAAAAGTTAGTGTTCTAGTATTGGTGTTCTGAATATGACGTGACTGCACTGCACCAATTCGTTGGTTTGAGAACTCCTGGGTACTACAGTACTCTACTCGATCCCCAATGCGTTCACGAGAATTACCGGTTGGATTGGGATGGCGTACATAACATGTTCGTCCAGTTTTGTCAGTGAAGAAAGAAAACTATTAGTCGAAATAAACAAAGGATAATAGTGTGAAAATAACTGTTTGGGCTAAAATTTTACATCGAGATACTGAAAATATCGAAATAAAAATATCGAGATAAACAAATATTTCCAATATAGATAAAGAAGGAAGGAAATCGGGACTTTTAAAATTTCATCGAGATAACGAAATATCGAGAAAAGCGATGTCGAGATAACGGTAGTTGACTGTATTAACAATTTTTAAATTAATCATTACTATTAAAATCAGTATTGTCTTGTCAGTATTGTTTATCATATAAACAGCAATAATTGTATATATATTTAATCATATGAATATGGATAAACTTTACGTACACTAGATATTATCCGGAACTCGGTAAATGTGGGGTTTTCCATGCTAATCACCCGGTACAAACAAACTTATACCGTTATAGCTTTACGGTGCTCTACCGATCACAACCTGTTGCGCTTTTTTCGAAGCTGTAACTGCAAAAGTATGTTTGTACCCCCAGAATAGGTGGGAAACCCCAACATATTCTTTATTCCGGAGTAGGTCTATTAAAGTTTGCCTGAAAATCACCTAGAGCTATATGTTTATAGCATAATTTATCCGAAAATATTTCAAAGAGTCTAAGCACCTTTTTGAGAAGAAAACCTAGTAAATAAACACTATATTGTCTTCTGGCGCTTCCTCCGAGAAACGAAATACACATGTAGAAATTCTTATGATATCTTAGATTTCATATTAGTCAACGATAAATATCGAGACCCCTTCAATTAAAGGCGAGATACATTATCATGTTCTAAGCTAAAATTACACAATGAACATTCGTCAAATTTGATCTTCGTCACACGTACAGTGCATATTGAAATTAAATTAAAGCATGAAATATATTTCCCATATTTAATGTGCCTAATGTTTTTAATATATTATGCAAGAAATATCAAGATAAAACATGTTAACATTTTGGAAACGTTTTTGATGAACTCATCCGTTTTAATTATAATTCCATTAATATAAAATGTGTATGTTTTGAAGCACTCTTCAGACATTGGAAAATGGTCATCAAACATACTGTGAAAGTCATTTCGACGACCATATAAATTTCTCAAATAAAGGGATCCAGAAAAAATCACAGGGACTACAAGGGTCTTGCCAATAAAGCGAGTGGGGAATTTGAAATAACTATCCATTGCAGTAACGTAATGAATAAGGCATGCAAAGACTTCGAATCTGCATTGTTATCTCCGGCCTTTTGAACTTGGATGTCAACTATAGGACGACCAGCTATGATAAAAAATATGGAATGTGGATTTTTTCCCGCTCTTTTCATGACCTCTTAGCAACTGCTGCTTATTGTTTCGTCTCTTGGGCTTAAACTTAAAATCCCAATTTTATCAACAGCAAGAAATTCTTAAAAGTTTATTTATTTACTTATAAGCTTTTATCAAGTGGGACCGGGGATTTAAGTAACAATGAAACTTTAAATGTCATAATGCGATTTTCCATTTTTTACTGTTGGAGGCCCTCCGTCCATTGTTTCGTGCACAACAGGGCACCTGACAGAACTCGCAGAGTTAAGAGACAAATGGTTCGAAGTCACAGACATTAACCACTTGACCACTGAATATCGGCTGTTAAGAAGTAATCTCAGAGAAGCCAGCATCTTTTTTAATTAACATCACATTTTGTAGCAGCATTAGAGGGCTGACAGGAACAGGGATCATTTCTTATGCTACTTAAGTTATTTGTAATTTCTTGAGTCTCATTAAAGTTGACCTTTAAAATACAATAGAAACAAGATACATTTTATATGACGGCACATAATTGGATTGACAATGATTCTTGACAGACAAAATGAAAATTTCATTTATAAAATTTTGTGCCATTATTTCTTTAATAGACACGTGGTTCTTACAACGAAATAAATTGAAGTGGTCGCATGACCGAATGGCAATTGTCGGACTAGTAATCTACTGACCGGCAGCTGCATGGGTTCAAACCCATCAAGTGCAAGTCGTTGTCTCCTTGATACTCATTGCTCAGTTCTGGATGGTTCCAGGTACAGATTCGAAAGTCTTAGTGTGTCTATAAGCTCATAGCTTCCTATTTGTGACGCACATAAATACGTTACTTTAAATTAGTCTCGTCTACATAGTGTCCTAACTCACTCTCGGTCCATTGCTAGAAAAAGTATTAATTTATACAATGCTGAAGTAAGTTATTTGGTCAAATTTTAAGTCATCGAAGGACATTTTTATTTTACAAACTGCAGTACATAAGTACCAGTGGTCAAAATTTGAAAACAGCCCTAAATACGTATTTGACATCAAGAGCATGAATCATTACTTTAATTTCCCATATGACTGGACCTTTTTGACCCCGTAGGGCATGATTTGTCGTGTGTTTTTTTGTGAAAGACAACACGGTAATGCTACATGCCAAACAATTTAAGCTCTTGGCATTAAAATCATATAAGAAAACTGAAAATGTTTTCTGTTTTCCTTTAGAAGTCAACAAAAACTACATAAACCCCAGGCTGGACCAATTTTGACTCCAATAGCATAATTCGTAGGTCATACCACAAGGTAATGCTGCATGCCAAATATCTAAGCTCTGGGCATTCATTATACAAGTCTATGTAAACTAAGAGGACTAATTTTGACATTATTTAACATTTATCGAGTTCCACCGGGAAGTGCTAAATACCAAAAAAATTTAACTCTAGAATTGCAGTGTCACAAAAGACTTATAAGTATTTTCTTAAATAAGTCAATATCAAGATGTCTGGAAAATTTTGATTTCGGGTACACGATTTATATATATGTATACAGGACCAAAGGTGATGATGCATGCCAAATGGCTGGAAATTTTCCGTGGAGACACTTTTTAGCTCGACTATTCGATAAGAATAAGTAGAGCTATTGTAGTACCCGAGTGTCGGCGTCCGCGTTAAAGTTTTTGTAATACCTCAAATATTTTCAAAGTCCATTGACATATGGCTTTGAAACTTTGCACACTTGTTCACCATCATGACCCCAACCTGTAGACAGGAGGAGGTAACTGTATCAAGCATTTTGACAGAATTATGCCCCTTTTTCGACTTAGAATTTACATTTAGGTTTGCATACCACCTCAGATATTTTCATATTCTATTGACATCAGGATTTAAAACAAGTTGAAATTTTATACTCTCCTTTGAGAGCATAATAGGACTCTCTAAGGCCTGTAACTGTAACATGGATTTATAGAAAAAAATTCCCATTTGTTAACTCAGAAAATTTTACATTATCAAGGCTCTTTTACTATCAAGCACTAAGAATAGTCGAGCGTTGCTGTCCTACTGAAAGCTCTTGTTTCTATACAAGTCTTTGTTAACTAAGTGACTACCAGTGCATGGCCATTTCTAACCAAGGAGCACAACTTACTAACGGTTGTACAGGTCCCCAAGATGATGTCACATGCCAAGTATCATGATATGTAATCGTTTCTGGCCGATTTGGAATAGTTCCCAGTTTTGGAACTGATTTGGATCTATTGCACCGGATCAAGATAAATTGATAGATGGATTTTGAGCTTGTCGAGTTGACATAAATTCATTACTTGACAAAACATTTTACTAAAACCACTTAATTATCTCAGATTTTTTTCTAAATTATGAGCATAGATTACCTTAAAAATCAAATCTAATTATGACTTTTTGGCAATTTTATTTACTACTACAAGTACTTCAATGGCATGTGCATTTTTTCAATTCCAACTAATAAAAGACCGTTAACAAACCTATAAAAGTTTTATATGAATTCCTTAAACATTGCAATGTTCTGCGCAAACAGAATATTCAAAGACAAACAGATGTAAATCTGTTTATTTTCTATATTTTCTTACCTCATCAAGTTTAAAATCCATTTCATCTTAATCCGGTGCAAAAATTCCAAATCAGTTCAGGAACGGTCAGCCCGAAATGATTACATACCGCGAGTATATAAGCTCTAGGCATTGCAGTTTCACAATAGAAGACATTTATTCCTATATAAGTCTATATAAACTAAGTGACCCTAGAGGCAGGGCCAATTTTAATTCGAGGAACATGATTTATATTACTTTTGTAGAGGACCATAAGATGATGCTACATGTCAAATATCTGAACTCCAGGCATTGTATATGAGAAGACTTTTAAAGTTCTCAAAGCGTCTATGAACTACTTATGTATCAGACTGGAACCACTTATACTATACATCTTTTGTAGAGGGCCACCGAAGGAAATTCTTGAGAAGTTTTGTCAAAATTCATCAAGTGGTTATTAAAGAGAGACATGTTGTTTAAGAAATTCTGGATAAAGACCATGGCAGGTGGAGAAACTGCCATCATAAAAGCAAAGTCTAAACACCTTGAACTTAGTTAAACTAAATCAAATATTTAAGCTCTGGGCATTTCAGTTTCTTAAAGACTTTACTAAATATCTTTTTTTTTCCTACAGTAGCCTACATGTCCTTTTATATTTATATTCCTACAAATTTTAATCAAAATATAACATGTGATAAAAATAACCTATAATGCACAGCTTCCCATAGACATCACAAAAGCTCACCTCTGTGCACTAATGCTCATGTGAGCTGAAAAAGAATAATTGCATGTATTTTGATAGTAAAGTTTATTCCTTGATAAAATGGAATTTTCAATTTGTAATGACGTGGTAAGTTAAACACATAAATATACCACTTCTTTTTCAATTTTAATAAAAGGTAATCTTTTTGCAAAACAAATACACACTCATTGTATATATCAAACTATCAGTTTATGTTTTCTTAACAGATTTTCCTATTTCCTGAAGTTTAAATATAGCTATGTCTCTACAGTGTTTTCATGATGATTAAAGTGGTAGATCTGTGGGACCTTTATCTGCCTGTGACTCTACTCGTTCCAACTCTTTATCTACAAAATAGTCAAAACATTGCACATATTAATCAAGGGCTTTCAAGGGCTATAAATATCCAAATGTCACATAATAGAAAGTTTTACACAAAACAAAAGTTATTCATAGTCTTATGTGTAACATTTCCTATATCATGTATATACAAATGTAATTCCATTACTGATTATCTGTAATCTGTTAGAATTAGTATTTTAAATAAATGAAAATCATTTACACCAACAGGTTCCAAAGAGTCAAGAGATATGTGTAAAAGTTTCCAACCTACTTGAACAACAGTTGTCTGAATGACAATGATTAAATACAGCCAATCTTTTCTATGAATGGTCGAAAGTTCAATAATTGGCATTATTGGCATGAATTTACACATTTTCCTTTAATTTCCACGCCTCAAGATGATAACCAAAAATTTATTGTGGTACTTTTAATTCAAAATCTCTCTTCAAATGCATAAAATTGAAATATCATATTCAAATGTGCCTAGTATGACAATTTTCTTCAAAAACAGTCAACATTTCTCCTATTGGTATATACCGTCTTTAATTATACTATAGAATTCTTTCATATATATAGGTTATTTCTAGAACCACATGATGGTGGAGGATAATATCGGGATCATTGTTTGTATAAGGCAAAGATGTTGAAACTATAATTAAACAAGCTGACTCAAGTATACCACCTTCTACTTTTGTTTGCATGGGAAATTGCATGTGGCACTGATGTGGGGACCTGCATGCAGTTGAATAGGACAGCTCTTTCATTTATATAATAGTCAAACAAAATTATCATACCAACAAAATTAAAGGAGGGAAACTTTGTCATATCTTGGTCTGTAGCTTTATACTGATTTTTCAAACGATCAATTTCAATCTGGAAGTCTTTTGTGGTTTCTGGACTAGCATCTACTAGTTTTCCACCAGCTGCCCTTGAAAAAAGAAGGAAAAGATAGTTATGATTATAACACTATGCTGGTTTTACAGCTACAATTCTTTTGATGCACCTACTCATTTGTTTCATACTTTAGCTTCTAAATATTAATGTGACAAAATATTAAGACAGGAATTATTTTCTGCTTTACAACCACTGTACCTCATTCTAATTAATAAAGTAATATATCTTCAGAAGTTTTCAATATATTGCTTGTGAAATGTCAAATACCACAATGTATGGCCATACTATATCAATTTTAATAAAATCTTACAAACCAATCCCTACTTTATAGAATTTTCTTTGAAAAATAGCTATTTTCAAGTTACACTGGTCATTTCTTAATTCCTGTTGAGTTCCAATCAGTTGTAAAATGCATATAAATTTGTCTTCAAACAAGAGGGCCCTGATGGCCCTAAGCCACCTGTCCTATTTTTTCAAAGCAAAAGTAGGTTTTTGGGGCACATTTAGACATGGGAATTTTTTATCCTTGGACCATGATTTATGCAACTTTAATGGAGGTCTGCATTGCTACATGCAAAATATTCAATCTACATCATACATGTAGGAGATATACTTTCACACAAGGAGATTCAAATGTGTTTTCCAATCCATGTCATCACCTTTTAAAGTGCAGTAATGGACCTTTTCAGTGTTTACAGTTTTATGTAAATTGGCTAACTTGTTATCCAATTGCTACACTGAGATAATACATAGTCACTGGTTGACCTGGTTTGCACAAAAGAACACATGGTTATGTTTGTGATACTGTTTGTGAGCAGTTGACATAGCATTGAATGGAAAAGGTGTGGCTAAAGGTTCCGCTACGAAAAACCGGAAAGGTCCATAGGTTAACTCCTTTTAAATTCTATAGAAGTTAGCCAGTTACTGCACTATGGTGATTATGTGTGAAGTTTCAAATGAATTCCTATAGTAGTTTTGAAGATCGATCTTGCATGCAACACTTTAAACAGGGATTTAATTTAGCTCACAAAGGTTTATTTTTACGTCAAAATCCATACCAAAGAAATGAGTCTTGTGTGACCTACAATTATGATTTGTAAGATATTTGTGAAGTTTTAAGTGGGCACTTTTGATGGTTGATGAGATATGAAGTTGCACATAAGTTATCTGCAAAACTTTAAACAAATGAAATATTTGAAAGAATAGAGCCAAGAATAGCCAAACTTGAAAACATTGAAAATTGTAAAAACAAAACATGGAACAAAAATTTTAGTTATCATATGATTGCTGATGACATTTTGAAAATACCATACCAACTGATATCTTACGCTGACTTCAATTTTATTTGAGCTAAAGTACAACTCAAGTAATATGATTTTTACATTGATCACATACTTACTTCTTCTTTTGTGCATATTCTCTAATTTTGTCAACAAATAACTGTTGTATTGGATCATCAGCTTTTTGGGCTAAGACTGCTGTTCCACTTACATGCCGACTTGCCTGGTGCCTCAAACACTGACCAACTGTCAGGCAAATTTTAGATGGAAACTTCATCCTTAAATATATAGTATACATTGTATAACATTAAACTGTATCTGACACTTCATTTTTTTAAGTTTTTATATATTTTCATCATTTGGTTAACATTTTTTATGTTTATACTTATATGGATATTTTAAAGTTGATGAAAGCATGTGAATTTGTAGAGAAAGGAAGAATTTACCATTTATATCATGTTTTGCTCACTTCAGATCTATTTTGAAGAAAATATTGTTCAAACAGCAATGGGTGTTATATTATAATGAACAAAATGTGTTTTAAGTCACAAAATTCAATCTAAAAACTTTTTTTTATATATCAATCATTAAACATTTGTTCTTGTTATGTCTTCTAAACAAAACAATATCAACTTTTTTCAATTTCTAATTTTTTACATTTTATAAAATTATTCAGAGTTAAAATGATGATTAACAGTAAGTTAATCATCATATTAACTCTGAATAATTTTATAGTAATTTACTCCTTTAATTATTTTTATTAATTTAATAAATTTTAACTAAGTAATCTATATCCCAATAGGTTTTTATGAGAGAGCAGAGTTGACAATGACAGGTGCCGAATACACCCATTGACAGTCTCTATATGAACTACGTAAAGAACCGAGGTATATCGTGTGAAAAAGTTCTTTCCTTATCTTCAAGTAAAATCTATAACTCTATTGCTAAAACAATGCAAATTTAGTTTTTAAACAGCTAGTTTGGGGCGATTTGAAATTTATTGCACCAATGAAAAGCTTGTGATCTTAGCTTCATCTCAGTATATATTTCAACACATTTTTTGACAATGAATGTATTTAAATCTAGGAAGTGGCTCATACGGCTAGCCAAAAGTTCTAGCCGTACGTGAGTTACGTACGGCTAGCCAGGACACAATGTATTGTTTAGCCGTACGTCACTTTTCAAAATCATATGAAAGTCGAAAATGCATATTTTAACCAAGTCCCCACACTTGTCCTTGTGTGTTCAGTTCCGCCATTTTGTAAAAAAGATGAATACAAAGGTAATGCAAGCATTGTAATCTTGATAAAAATGTCAAAGTCGCATGTTATAAGTTATAACGTCGTTGTTTTTATGCTTATGATTTGTTTTATTTGTATGAAAGATGAATTATTAAATCATTTTTTCACGCCATCTGGAAATGACAAAGATAGATATTCGTACATTCTTTACTAAAACCAACAGGACGGTAAATTTCTAAAAAGTAAACAGAAGAATACAATTGCTGTTCCTTGGTTAAAATCCTTGCTTAAAGTAACAAAATAACCTTTGCATTTTCGACTTCTATATAACTTTGAAAAGTGCTGTATGGCCAGGCATTACAGTGTGTCCTGGCTAGCCATACGTGACTCACATAGGGCTAGAACATTTGGCTAGCCGTACGGACCCCTACGGCTAGCCACTTCCTTAAATCTATGGTTTAACCTACCACAAGTCAGATTATTTACATATGTTTTATACAGTGATACTGATATACAAAATCTTTTATCTTTATTTGCAATTCTACTGATAAGAATAGCCTGTCATCTGCTAGTTTGGAAACTGTCCTTCCTTGTATTGGTCCCGGGACGAGTTGACCCTTTCACTATTCATCCTCAATTAAATTTATATTGTTTAGGTACCATATTTTCTTGCAACTTTAATTAAATGGTTAATAATGTGGTGTACACGACAAATATATTTAATATACATGTTTTCTCAGTTTATAAAGATTGTTTATATAATGTTAAAATAAAACAAGAATTTGTAACAGAGTTACCAACGTCCCCCGTCTCGGGAAGTTTTATATGAAGCATAAAATTGTGCTATTTCAAAAGATTGAGGTATGGATCTCAGGACATTCAGTCCAAAATTATGATCAATGCTAGATCTACAAATGCAACAATAAATTTGTTACAAAAATAAAATGAACACAGAATTTAAAAATCTATCATGTTAAGCTTTGACCTCTTAAGTGTGACTTTGACCTTGGAGGTAGGGGAGCAGGTGTTGTGCATGACATAACGTCTTATTATTGAGACTATTTTTGCCAAGTATTTTCAAAATCCCTTGAACTATGAAGAAGTTATAGATTGGACACAAAATATACCCTATAACGGACTATGTAAATCTTTGACCTCTAAGTGTGACCTTGACCTTGGAGGTAGGGACACAGATGTTACGCATGACATATTATCTAATCATTGTGACTATTTGTGCCAAGTATTTTCAAAATCCCTTAATCTATGAAGAAGTAAAGGACGGGACACAAAATATACCAAATAACAGACTCTGTTAAACTTTGACCTCTAAGTGTGACCTTGACCTTGGAGGTAGGGGTGCAGGTGTTGTACTTGACATATCGTCTTATTATTGTGACTATTTGTGCCAAGTTATTTCAAAATCCCTTGAACTATGAAGAAGTTCTAGATCCGACACAGGGTTCTCGGGGACGCTTATTTTGGCGTCCCGGTACGCATGTTTATTACAGCTGGACGCAAATATTTCAGAGCAAGGATTCCACATACGCTTAATTTTGCCTGGGGACGCATAAACATTACCGATTGTTTACAACCACAAATACACAAATGCGTCAGCGCGTGTCAGTCTATAGGTAGGCGGTCCTATGCACATCGACCTGTGAAGCGATTAGCCAATCAGCGATAACGCTTCCGATCATTATCACGCAATAGTGATCAGACTAATGTATACACGCGCTGTACATGTAATTACCAGATATACTCGTGTATAATTTTATATCTTTGATCAACTGTAGATTGGAAATTAGCAAATTTTACCGACAAAAGGATAAAATTATCGACTATTTACGCCGCAAGTTTAAAAACTGTTAAATGAGTGTAATTTTGAATGATTGTCGAATATTTTCGGCATTTTCTAGGCACAATTTTGCTTTAGTTTCATTCTTGCAAAAACTATCTATAAGAGTATTAAGAATTTAAAATATTTTGCCGAAATGCCAGGACAACAAACAAAAATACAAATACCCTTTTCTTTGATACTGCAGTATCCGAAAATTGATCCCGAACATCGGCGATTTCACGTTCGCCAGAAACCCTAAAATTTCGCAAAAATTCTCGGTGTCCAAGCCAAACATGCCAATGAATTGTTCCTTTATTATTTAATCAACATTAAATCTTTAAATATCGATCTTCAATTGCCCCCTTTTGAAGATATTTGCTAAAATAATTGTCGATCGGATGAATCTCTTACACACTGTGTGAAGCTGTACACGATTTTCCTATTCATTCCGCTAAACGCTGCCTATATATATTTACGGTTTTTTTTTACAAATATAAACTTTTTGTCTTTAGAATGGACTTATTTAACCAGAATAAAATTTGATTTGGTATAAAAGTGAAAAAAAACGATTTCCATGTGTTGATGCATTATAATGAAATAATTTCATAATAAATATTAACAACAAAACAATAATTATACTATGTAGTTCAGAGTTTCTTTTGAATAACTATAAACTTTGGAAGTCTTTTGAAGATTCAAAATATCAGCAATGCTATTGTGAGCATTGAATGACTAATCTGTAAACACATTAATTGCGACGCGCTTTTGGACTCCAACTTTTTCAGGGTTGGGAGTCCATGGACTCCATGTTTTCAAGTCCTAGTGAGAACTCTGCGACACAAAATATACCCTATAACAGACTATATTAATTTTTGACCTCTTAGTGTGACCTTGACCTTGGAGGTAGGGATGCAGGTGTTGCGCATGACACATCCTCTTATTATAGTGAATATTTGTGCTTAGTATTTTCAAAATCCTTTGATCTATGAAAAAGTTATGTACCGGGCACAAAATATACCCTGTAACAGACTATGTAAGTATTTGACCTCCAAGTGTGACCTTGGCCTTGGAGGTAGGTGACCGGTTTTTGCGCATGACACATCGTCTGATTATTGTGAACAATTTTGGCAAGTATTTACAAAATTCCTTCATAGATAAGAAAGTTATTGACCGGACACGACATATAACCTCAAAAAGACAATGTTGACCTTGAATGAGCAAGTGCGACCTTGACCCTGGAGGTAGGGGTCTGCTTGTTGCGCATGACACATCGTCTTATTATAACAAACATTTGTGCCAAGTTATTTCAAATTCCTTTTATAAATGACAAAGTTATGGACCGGACACGAAATATACCCTGTAACAGTCTATGTTAATATTTGACCTCAAAGTGTGACCTTGACCGTGAAGGTAGGTGACCGGTTTTTGCGCATGACACATCGTCTGATTATTGTGAACAATTATGGCAAGTATTTACAAAATCCCTTCATAGATTAGAAAGATATGGACCGGACACGACATATACCCTCAAAGAGACAATGTTGACCTTGAATGAGCAAGTGCAACCTTGACCTTGGAGGTAGAGTTTTGGTTGTTGCGCATGACACAGCGTCTTATTATAATAAACATTTGTGCCAAGTTATTTCAAATTCCTTTCATAAATGGTTTAAACATATTTATTTAAGCTCGATTGCGAAACAAGTTCTTGCAACTTATATTAATCACTTTCGAGTCCGCTTCCTGGAACCAACCAGTACTGGTGTCATATGAAGAAACATGGTCGTGACCCGATTAGGGCTCGAACCCATGATCCCTGGGTTGAGAGGCAGACACCTTAACCACTAGGCCACCGCTCCCCTTTCATAAATGACAAAGTTATGGATCGGACACGAAAGTGTGACGGACGGACGGACGGAGCCTATTTCTATATCCCCCTTATCATTGATTCTCCACTAAACGTGCAAATTAGAATATATTCTGTCCCTCGAGTATATTTTGTTGCACTGCAGTTGAAAAATACTTTTTGGGCATTATATTGCTTTATTACATGGTCATGTATGTAAAGCATTCAAATTAATGACTTAGTCTGTTGGATTTATACGAAAATATTATCATGCAGTGGTGCTGTATAACCCATTATGTAATGTCCCGAGGCTTGGGTCCCATATTACTGTTGGTTTTACATAATTTCACCTGAAACGTGTGTTGAAAAAAATCCTCTTAAGTATTAAGTTTTAGTTTAAATGTCTAAGTGAGCGATTTTTATTGTTTTCTACAGTGAATTTGGAAAAAAATACCAGCTAAAATGCATGTCCCTCATATATTGAACAGAGACGTTACCACACTTGAGGTAAACCTGAGTAAGAGTAATATGAACTTGTAACATATTAATAGTTTGCTTTTGAACTCAAGTTTTATCATATTTCATTATTCAAAAATAAGTTTGATTACAATATACATGCTAGAACCACAATGACTTTGTAATAATGAGGCAATTTGGATTTTACTTTAAAATGAAACAGATACGTTACCATAATATCCGACTGAGAAACATTTACTATTACCAGCACTTAAAAGTAGGATCGCATTTATGCATTATTTAAATATGTGCTTTACAAACCTTTATATTTTAATATATTTGGCAAACATATGTGTATATCTGACATATTTTAACTTTTTGACCAACAGATACGTTACCAACAGATACGTTACCAATATTTATTGTTTGAATCTTAATTGACGATTTTGCTCAGTTTTGAAATGGTTTCATGTAAAAAATCACAACATAACGTATGTGTAGCCGATAAATGATGCTTTGATCTCGATTTTATTGGAAAACTGAAAATGTGAATCAGGAATTTGAAATTCAAGGATTAGTTGAGTTTTCTAGAAAATAAAATGTTGAAAAACAGGAAAGAAACATATAAAGATTTACTGTTTTATTTCCTGGAATAAATATATGTTGATATATTTTTGGTTTGCAAAATTTGTATTAAAAATAAAATGTAGAGGACTGTATAACTTCTGGTAACGTATCTGTTTATCATAGTAACGTATCTGTTTAGAAAGAGATTTGAGTACTGTTTAATATATATAACTAAATCTTCAACAAAACTTTGGTTTAAATAAGTAATATGTGGTTAGGCAATATATAACAGCACTGTAACTTAATAAAAAAAACATATTAAAGTATTTTTAAATGAATGCCCGTTAGTTTCCAAATTTTAGTCAGCGTCGTATCAAGATTTTCTGTCTATGGTAGGGATGGACTAATTTGAAATAGCTCAAAATCTTGGAGGTGCACATATATATATATGGATTGATTATTACTAAGTTGGTTTTCTTTAAACGGTACCATTGTTTCTGATATAATGTTGTTAAATGTAGATAAGCATAATTATACATGTACACATTGGCTTACACATATCACCAAGTATGACAAAATCAAGGATCGAGATTGTACCAGTATATAAAGAAAACGTATATAGAAAAAATAAAGATAATTGAACAGAAGATGAACGAAAAAGGCAAACGAAATACAGAATGAATGTCAATTCACACTATGAAACACTCACATTAATCTAGCTGTTACATATTCTAATAGATGAGTGTCTTTATTTAAATGTTCTTGTTAAGTTCAATCTGTTTCTTAGTCACAATGTTATTTGACTATTTGAAGCTACACATAAAACAATAAAACCTAAAAAAAACTGAAAATGATATTGTGTGTTCTGTTTAATATTAAAAGTACTGGTTCAGACATATTATTTATTGGTCAGTTGTTTAAAAAACTTTATGAATATCTACGTGTTCGGGGTTTTTCATAATTTTGTTTATAGTAGAACGGTGAAACAGATACGTTACTATGATTTGATATTCGTTTCCACTTAGCGGAGTAAATTTTTACTGTTAAGTAAATCCATGCTACATTGTGTCAATAGATAACTATGGAACATCAGTATTTCTATTGACCTAAAATGCTTTTATAAATAAATAATGTTTTTGAAATACCAAAGTCTGATTAATAAGTAACATTTTCATCAGCTTCAGTTCACAAGCTATTCATAAATGTAGATTTTTTTAAAATGCATATTGATGCATAATCTTTTGTTATATATACTGGTGGTATACTGGTTGGGGAGATAACTTCGGCTGGTTGATAAACTCGGCTTTTTGTAATGAAATCGAGTTATCGGAATTTTTAATCTAATCAAGCTCACCATCTCATACTATCACTGGAATTCGACAATATCTGTAAATTTTGTCAAGTTTGGTAAGATGTTTAAAAAATAACACAGACTTTTACCTGTTTGTTTACAAAACATGCCTATAAAAAGTACGGGAATCCCATTGTTGTGCGCATGTGCAGCAGATGCTCATTTTGAGGCCCGCACAGGGGTACTTTTATATATTGACCGACTACCGGTAATGCAGACGACGTTTACGTATACATTTTGTAGATGAAATTCAAACTCACTTTTGTCTTGCTAACTCAGAAAAAAGGCTGATTACACAATTGTAATCTTTAAGTGGAATGGATTGAAAGACTGATGTTAAATGCTCCTTTTATAATTATGTTAATGTGTAGGTTGAATACCACTAAATTAATTTCTTCTTCACTCTGTTAAGCTAAGCAAAAATAAATTTGAATCACTAATTCTTTAACTACATATTTTGTTATACGTTTATTAATGATAATGCATGTGTTTTTACGGAAAAATGATTTATATGTTACATAGTACGTTGCATATAAATATCGTGTTATAGATATTCATTATACTAACGTAATGCTCGACAATTTTGGTAACAAATATTTTATATTTGACAAAAATGAACAGCAAAGAAATAATAAAATGTCTAAACATGTTATTTTACGTTTTAACTTACTCATTTAAGAAGAAAAACAAAGAGCCGGAATTATCTACTCGCACGCGTTTAAAATATCCTTTTTACGTACCTCTTCCAGGGCCTCTCAAAATTACCCGTTATGTTTCTAAATATAACTTTTATGGTGATACCGGAATATCGAAGAGCTGAAGTTTATTATGGTGCAAGATTCATCAGAATACATAAACAAATAAATGAAATATGCCCCCAAAACACTGATTTTCGGTCGAGTTTATCTCCCAAACCAGTATTGTTGAAAGAATGATAATTAATTTCTAAATCATGTATATTCATGCTAATTATTTTTATCTAGTCTCTGAAAGCAATTGGAAAAATGGTAACATATCTGTTTTTGCACAAATCTCGAATTCTTGGTAACTTAATTTCAGGAAATATTACAAGTTTTTTGGTGAAATGTTAAAAGAACCAGTATGTGTTCAATGTTATACATGAGTTAAACCAACAAAAAAAGGTGTCTTGGTAACTATTCGCAAATGTCAATTATTCACTATTACTTACAGCCTAATTTGAATGTTTAGTGGAGAATCAATGTTTTTTCTTCGAAAAGGCGGGGGACAATAAAAGTTCATATTTTTTAAAGATCTAGCGGGCGGTCGATTTGGTAAGGGGCCGAAGCGTCCCCAGACGACGAATTATATAGTGCCGTTAGTGGGTGGGGAATTCACATGCGTTGATATTTTATACATTCAAACACATATAATATGCAACATGTTATATAAAAATATATAATATTTAGATAAATTTAAAAGAATTAATAATAATACAAGTAATTGCAATAATATGTTCTTAAAAACCAATTTGACATACATTCTAAGGTTTAATTTGTCCTGACCGAAGGGTAAACCAGCCTTAGTTGAAAACACGAAATGCACCGGCTTATTGTGCGAAACAAACGAAATGAACATTTCGCGAATGAGTGTGGAGTAATGATTCTCTTAAATATGTACAATTTTCAGTAAAAAAATCATGATATTAATAGAAGCATACAGTAATGTTATTAAACTTGCTTATAATTAGAAAGACCCTGCTATGTGTGGCGATCTAATTTAAGACTTGAATTAAAAACGTCTTCAAAGATATACAGCACGGTACGTAATGTACTTACATTAAACAAGTTGTAAAAATATGTTAAAACAGTTTAAAACATTTTGAATTTTTTTGGCCGGAGTTTCTAATTTGCACTAAAAAATCAGTCATTTACATTTTTAAGCACAAGAATGTATTGTTTTCTTTTTTCTAATTATTTTAGAAAAAAAATGCTGATATCAAACTAATTAATGCGTCTTGAACTAAAGACATCTCACCTCTAAACCGATGTCTTACAACTGGACCATGGTCCTTTAAATCGCATGTAGAATCACTCATATCCCGGGACAACCAATATTCAATCAAGTAAGCTGTTTTTAGCCAAGAATAAATGGAAAGGGAAATTATACTTTAAATTCATTTTAGCTATTAATGCATCTATTAACACTTATTCATTTTCAGGTTGGTACATTTTTAACAAGTCTTGATCTTTCTTAAAAATTCAATAAAAACAATATGACCCACTCGGGTTACTCCCAGGAATATTTTAACCTAAATTCAAACAGCAGGGTAATCACCATGGAAAATTTGTTAAAGATAAATCAGGGCCACTAAAAATTGTAGAAAATTTCACAATAGTCTATTCAACGATTTTCAACAGTTTATCAAGATTTTAAAAAAACTTACACTTAATGTTATAACATATGTACAGCACAATGCCTTGGTATGACTACTGTTAATGTGTATAAAAAGGCAGTTAAAGGTGTCACTTCTAAGTACGCTATTTGGGGTGCAAAATGATAAATGCATCCAATCTTTACAGCCATTTTACCTTTCCCACTTTATAATATTAGCAAATATGGAAATTTGTCTACATCTGCTAGCTGGTATCGCTTACAAAACAATTATTCTACAATCATCACATGAAAAATTTTGATAACAATATAAGATTTTATAAATAAGGACCCCCATGTAAAGTCTGATGAATATTTAGTGGTACATCATATAGATAAATGTTTTAAATACACCTAGGACTGAGATAAATGGTAAAACTCTTTAGCCAATACTTTATAAAAAAAATTAACTTGCTTAGAAAAATTTTTACCACTATTTTAAACAAGTGACTATTTTGATATAGTGAAAATTGGACAATTTATATTGTGTCACTTAAAACAAACAGTTTCTTATTGTTTTTCTGAAAACATCTGACAATTAATCAAGTGTGGCATTTCTGCAAGTTTTAAAGTTAATACAACATGTGACTTTATGCAATTTAGTCAGGCATGACATCAGTGCCACAGAATAAAGAATGTGTTTGAATTTAGGTTGTGATTGAAAATTGGTTGTTTCGGGATACATAAATTAAATGTAACATATAAAAGGAAATGCCACTTTATCAAGATCAAAATATGGCCTTCAAAATTGTATCCTTATGTCTATTTTTATATTTCGACCAGACTTTATCTTAGTATACAGCTAGTATCTCTCATTTCTGTTATGTTGATTTAAAGCAGAAATTGTTTGGACTTTTAGAATTTTTTATAAGTGCTTCAATAAAAAAAACATTTCAGAAAAATAACCAACCAATCACAAACTTGTAATTCAAGAATGGTTAACCAATCACATACGACTTACATATCACGTGCACTTCACGATACCCTCCATGCCTAAACCCTGCGGGCCGGCGTGACTGATATGCGAGGTTGATACATTTTATTAGAAAACCCTGGGATTCTGTCCCAGTGAATACCCAAGTCAAATTTCAATAACTTCCAACTTTATTAAATAAACAATTACAGCTGAGTTAAACGTGACACACCAAAAAACTAATATTAGTCAATTTTAGAGCCAAGTTTTACAATGATATGCTATTTGTTACTTTAAAAATTCTTAAAAATATTTTGGTTACATTGATCAATGTTCTTATAGAACACGTTTTGCCACAATATTTAATGTGAATTAATTACTTACAACTGCATTTAAGAACTATGACATTTTCTGGCATTGTGTTTCAGATGAGCGACCTGGGCCATCATGGACCTCTTGTTTAGGAAAATTGGTTTGTCAAAAGAAAGCTTAATTTATGCTTTATGAATATATGCTAAAAAGTTACCATTTCAAGTACCTATGATTGTCCTCTAAAGTATACCCGGAAGAATATTTCTCTTCAAGATTGTGATTTTGTCTGTTTTGTCTGAACTTCTGTATATAGAATCAGCAATTTGCCTTTTTAAACAAAACATTTACGTGCATTATTGTTTCACTAGAGACGAGGCGAGTACGTGCAATTACATTACTAACAATGAAATTCTGAAGCAGATCCAATGAGATAGAAGTAATAGTATTCGTCTAATAATGATATCAGGGTCATAGTTATTCATAAGCTTCAATGACTGTTCTATCCCACTGATAGATACACAAGCCGAACTGCATACACAAACTAAGCAAAAGAAAATATCTATAAAAATATTATTATACTTATTTAAAACAATGCCGTAAAACAATATAATATATTTCATATACACTAATTACAATGTAATTAATTAATCAATTATAAGGTGAGTTCACAAAGATACGCATCAGTAACCCAGGTTATATCATTTGTCACCAAAATAATGTTTATATATAAGTTCTAAAAGTTCTTAAAGTCCTAAAACAATAATTAAAGTAGGTGTCTGTGAGAAAAAGTAGTTCCTTGGATCGGACACATGAAAATGGTACTCCGAATGTTAACAAAACTAATAAAAGATTACATGTGAGGTTAAAACAAATTTTCCTTGCACAGGAACAATGTACAAAATTTCATTAATTTCCAACAAAATTACAATAATTAGCTCCGTTGAATCTTGGTAAATTTAGCAATGAATATAATAGGAGGGGCTATATTTTATAGGTACAGCATCGCAGCTTTCGCGTATTTTGTGCAGTTGTGCGTCTGTGCAAGAAATTGAAAGAAATGTACATGATAAAAAAGTAAATAAAAATTGTATTTCTCAGATATTTGAAACATTTTGAAAGTGTATACATATAAAACAACAAAAAAAAAATCTGGAATTCGTTAATTAAAATTTTTGTTTTGTATACAGCTATTCGTGTGAGAATCAATTAGATACTTTATTTCCTTCAATGTACATGAAGAGCTGAACATATATACAAACATATAACTACAAAAATTAACAAAACAGTTTAACAGCTAGATACAATAATAACATGTAGTCAAATATATAACTGTAATCATAAAGCAATATCAATTTACAGAAAACAGCAATTCAGAAATCAATATTTCTAGAGGCTTACTCATATTTAAGGTAAATAGATAAATATGTAAGCTATAATAACAGACACATAGATAATTATTGATTGATTGAATAAAGGATAGAAATGTCAGCTCTGTATAACAGCTTTAAAGAATTTGTCAGAATGCTTGTAATAAAGCTTTCGCGTATTTTGTGCAGTTGTGCGTCTGTGCAAGAAATTGAAAGAAATGTACATGATAAAAAAGTAAATAAAAATTGTATTTCTCAGATATTTGAAACATTTTGAAAGTGTATACATATAAAACAACAACAAAAATCTGGAATTCGTTAATTAAAATTTTTGTTTTGTATTCAGCTATTCGTGTGAGAATCAATACATCTAATACATATTTACATCTAATGTTTTCCTGATATTTGGATATCTGTTAATGCTTTTTAAAATGTTTTCAAATCGTTATATAATGTTTTACGCTAAATATGCGCTGCAAAAATTATTGTATGATTTTGTTAAGAAAAAAAAAACACAACTCTTCCAAAGTGCATGTAATTAAAATGCATGAGACATATTAGTTCAATTCCTTTATCTAATGCCTCGGGGATTTTTTTATTGATTTATCAGGGCAACATTTATACTGACAATTTCCAACAAACGATTCACACGTTTTAAATGACACGCTCTTTTAATATTGGGAACAATGCACATCAACGTAACTTTTTGCACTTATAATTTCTGTTAATCGTCATTCAGGGTTTAGATAAAGCTAAAATAGGTGGACAAAACATTATTTTTAATTACCATTAAAAGCTACAATAAGTTAAACAGATATGAATCAAAATTTGGAAAAAATAAATAGATAAACATTTATGTTGAATATTTGCATACTTACATGCCTTTATATAGTATTATGATATCAATTCTATATATGCATGTGCACTTAAATAAAGATCATTAAAATGTATTTAAAAACACATCATTCTATTAATTATTCGATTTAAACAAATTCATTTAAATTTTATTACAGCAGAAAGATTGATGTAAATCGTTGTCTTACATAATAGAATTATTTTAAGACATTGATTTATAATTCAAAAGTGACAAGTTGACCCAAAGAATGGGACGATCGAATTGACCATATTAGGGACGAGTTGACTCGTTGAGGACAAGTTGACTAAAAGTAGGGGACAAGTTGACCAAGTATGTGATGAGTTGACCACGGGACGAGTTGACCTGACATTATAAATATGATACTCAGAATATATGATATGATATCTCAGAGACTTGGGGCCGGAAACGACCGGAACGGCAAATTAAATAGCCCCGACATAACTGTATGAATCCGGTAACGGTCCGTACATGAATTGAAAAAAGTCAAGCCCCAAATCATTAAATATGAGGATTGTAAGTAATTTTTTCGTTAAATTTGTGATTTAGGTCCACTGGTCAGTCTTTAGAATGACATTGTTTTTCTTCTTTTTTTCAAATTGAAGATGCATTGTGTTATACATTAAAATAGTTTGTAATCAGCTGATAACACATGCTGATAATCAGGACCAAGAAAAGTCTATTTTTTAGAACCTGTCAGAATTTAGAGGGAGGGTATTGCCTATTCATAAGATAGTTTCAGTATCTAAACTTGTTGTGGTACAAATACGTAGACTAATGAAACCCTACTTGGGGACCTAGACTTTAAATGCCACTATTTAGAAAAAGTTCAGTCCAAATTAGACTTGTCAAAGAGACATCATGATCATTTTTTGACATCTTTTTCCAAGCCCAACCAGGACTGCATTTATATATCAATATAAAACAACTTAACAAGTGAGAAACAAACATATTAATTAATGTTCCTGAAATATGATATTTTATGTCCTCCAGAAGATAGCAGAAAAACTGCTGTCTTGCTAATATTTCAAAATCCTCCCTCAAAAACATTATATAGTTGAAAGAAATCGAAATGACACTTTAAAATATTCATATTTTAACATTATTGCTCAGAAAACAAACAGTTTGCTTTCCCACCAACGGGAAATACCTTCTTTTATTATACCACCGGGTTTTTTTTCTAATATCACGTGATCGTACAGGACAATATCGCGACCTGTGCTCCGGAACGCACGGAATCCTGGATTTTATCAAACATACAGGGATATGAATAACCACTTTTGTTTTTAGCTCGACTTTTCTATGAAAAGGGGAGCTATCCTACTCGCCCCGGCGTCGGCGTTGGCGTCACACCTTGGTTAAGTTTTTCGTACCACCCCACTTTATTTCAGAAGTATTACAAGTATGGCTTTGAAACTTACCATACTTGTTCACCATCATAACCTCCATCTACAGACAAGAGTACATAACTCTGTCAAGGTTTTTGACAGAATTATGGCCCTTTTTTGACTTAGAAAGTGTATTGAGCTTGGTTAAGTTTTTTGTACCACCTCACTTTATTTCAAAACCATTGGAGGTATTGCTTTGAAACTGACCATACTTGTTTACCATCACGACCTTCATCAACAGACAAGAGGACATAACTCTGTCAAGGTTTTTGACAGAATTATGCCCCTTTTTGACTTAGAAAATACATTGAATATGGGTAAAATCCACTTATTGCCTTAACCCTTTGAGATATTGCTTTGAAACTTTTAATGCTATTTCACATCATTACCCCCATCTGTACGCAAGAGAAGGTAACTCTGTCAAGGATTTGTTTTAAAAATTAAGGCCTTTTATCGACTTAGAATCTTGGTTAAGTTTTTAGTACCAGTCCACTTTTTGACTGAACTGTTTGAGATATTAATTTGAAAGTTGGAATACTTGTTTACAATCATGATTCCCAAACATGTCCAGGAGAAGGTAATTCTGTCAAAGATTTTATTTGAATTATGGCCCTTAACTGTCAATGTTTTGTATTATAGGCAAGCACTAAAAAACTTAAAAAATGTAAAAAAATTCATTCCTATCCACTTGTTCACTTTACCATAAATTATGTCATAATAAAATAATTCTTCACTAAATATCTTAATGCTCATGGCCATTGTTCACTTTAAAAATACAGAGATTCTTGTATTGCCTTTTACTGCAAAAACTTTTTTTATTGGCAAGCAATAAAAAAGTCGAGCGCGCTGTCTTACGGACAGCTCTTGTTATACTTGTAGTAATTCATGGCACTAAAAATTATAATTGATTAATTATTTCATATATATGATGACCAATTTATCGATTTAACCTTTAGCTTGAAATAAGATAGGGGCCTACTTAATGACGAAAATTGATAAACGATTCCAGGCATACCAGATACCGGGATTTTTCCAGATCACTGTTGTGACATGTGACGGCGTTAAATGAATTATCTTCTCCTATTTACATTGGCTACTGCGTTAGTAACGTAGTAGATTATGGAAAAGAAAACCCGATATATTAACGCTTTTGTCAACATTCTTTCTTGAATTAAGGTGTCAGTAATGATGGATTTATACAATAAACCTTAACAAGATCAGTTATTACCATTTACTTGAAATTTTATTTCATTTTTTTCATTTTACCATCTGGAGGTCAGTGGCTTTAAGCCCGAACGGGCATTTTCACCAGCCTGATAAATGCAGTCCTGTTTGGACTTGGAAAAAGATGTCAAAAAAAATGATCATGATGTCTCTTTGACAGGTAAAGGGGAAATAATTCTCACAAAAGTGACAGTAGCTTAATATTTTTCTTTCTGTTTATGTCAAATATTATTCTCAATAAACAAACAAAGTATATATATTTCTTTTCTAGAAATATGATTTTTTATGACATTAGCCCAATCGGGCATTCACCAGCCTGTTTATGTACATGACAATTAGAAGTTGTTGGGAGTGAAAGCTACCAAAGCACGTCCACTTCCTCTTGAGTCATGGTCCGCCCAGCCCTGTCCAAATGTACAGTCCGCCCTGGTATGGTCCGCTTCATCCTCTGATCATCTACTGGCTATGGACATTGTTCATTCCAAACATAAACCACAGCTGATACCTTTTCAAGTTCAGATGTAAGCACAAACTGACTGACCTTATTACAGGCTTTAAAAGTAGAGTTTTTGTCATGATCCTCTCATCAGCTTTTGTGGTGAAGTTAAGATCCATTTTCTGAGAAAATATCAAAGCTGTTAAAAGCTTTACACATTGAATACTTGAATATCTGATTTACATGCAAAATCAATATTAGTAACAACCTCCTGAAAATTAGCCTAAAAATTATGGCATGACTATTGCCATAGCTCTTGCATGGATTAAGATTGATTTGAATAATACTAATAGCCCTTAGTGAATGTTAAAGTTCTGCCTTAAAGGGTATAAAGCTATATCTTCTGAAATATCTTTATAAAATTATCAGCAGTAAAATTATATTGTTTCAATAATCTTATGACAATGACAATGGTGGATTCTTGAAAGAGTTGTAACATAAATTACCATATAAATATTGTTAATAAACAAAATAAAATGTTCCGGCACAAAATATTATGCTGCTATTTCAAGTAAAGTTTTAACCATTTAACAATGATTTATTACGTGCCCCATTCACTTTTGAGGCAATATACTACCATGTTTTTTTCATAAAGGCAATTTAGAAGTAAAATTTTTGAAAATCAGAAAAATAATTTTTGCAGCAGATATTCATTCACACTGTATAGCATTTATTATACATTAACTACTCAAGGTATAATACATGTCATCATGATGATAAAAGTCGAAACCATAACTCTGGCATGGATTTGGAATGAAGAATTGGGGATTTGGCAGTATGCAACTTTTAGATTTTTTGCCCAGAAAAATTTCTGACAAATTGTTGAGAGTAAATTGTATTTATTACAATTATTCAAGATAAAAATTGGAGAAAAGCCAAAGGTTATTTCAAAGCACTCACATATATACAAATATTTTGGCTTGCTAGATTTTTCCGCAATACCGAAAAACAGCTGTATGTACAATGTTATGTAAGAAAGCAAGCTTGACTGTACACAGACTGTAATAAAATAAAAATATTTTGTTAACAAGACCACATGGGCTAATTAAACTAGAGGGCCATCCGACTGACTTACAACATAAAAGAGGGCAGTACACTTCAGTAACATTAGAATAAGGGGCCATGGACCTCTGTTAAACAAAAGAAATGGTCCCATGATCTATTTAAAAGGCATGTCCATCTGGCTAAAATTGAATAAGGGGTTTTGTTCTGTTTACAGTTAGATGGCCACTTATACCTTATATGTGGTCATATGGACAGTCCATGTCTGAAATTAAACTTGTCTGGACTACTCATTGAAACTACAAGATTGATAGATACCTCAAGAAGCTAAGCATATTTAATGGGTTTTCTGGTTGAATGATTTTTGGCCCTTGAATAAAAAATGTGTTTTGGCCAGTTAATTTTTTTCGTATCTCCAGCTGCACAGTAGCTGCAACATGCAATCGGCTATCATCAGGCGACACATGTGATCAGTGATTACTCTTGTATTGATTTATTGAAGAGAAGGAAAGTACTTTTATTTATCTTCTGTCTGTGCAGTTATTGTCTTCATACTACATACTGATTATAATGACAGTGAACTATAAAATCTCCATATTCCAATAGCAGTGACTTCCAGTTTAATTATCTATATATACATCTTTACTCTGATTGCAGGTGCTTGCCGATATTTGTTGGTAATAAAGTTGTGTATTGAGACAGTAATAGACACAAGCTTATAATTGATCAGCTGTTCAGTTAGCAGTGACAATGCCTATTGATAATGTGAATAAAAGTAAGAGTAAAGGACCAGGACAAACTGCACGACAACATAGTACGGGAATGGCGGGACGTTACGATTCTGACACTGATAATCCACTGCCTGTAGCATTTAGGTATGTTCTATTGATTTCTTTAGTTCTTTAATTGTAAACATGTACTTAATTGAAACTACATGTATATGTTTACAATATGTTTCCTATTATTGTATTGATTAATTAATAGGATATTGCTGTGGTGGGCAATGAAAACAGGAGAAAAGAAATCTCTATTTAAAGTAAAATGTAGAAAAGTTTGGTCACAATGTAAAAATGGTGAGGTATTATACCTCTGCTCAACAATGTTTAAGTAGGGAAAACTGTCCATCTGTCTGTCCTTCTGGATGGCTGTTAGTTTTTGTTTGTTAGGGGAACCATTGGAGATATCATAAATTACATGTAAAAATAATGTTTTTATACAATGATGAAACATCAAAAAAATACAGGTCAAGTTCAAATTTGGCCCCAGATCAAGACCAACCACTAAATTTTCACATAGATAAGATGGCAGGTGAGGGTATGAATTGCCTTTTAATAAGGCAATGCTAATTTTTATGAAAGTCTTGAAATTGTATTTAAAGTGAAATATTGTCAAGTGATCAAGGAAAATAATTTACACATTGCAAACGTCACTTTTAACCCATATAAATCATCAAATAAAGGTCAAAGTGTACACAAATAATCTTTACTTCATTTACCGGTAGTCACTCAGTAGAAATATGGTGATATATGCTGTAAAATCAGTCATTCTTTGAAAATAGCATGTACAGCATTACTTGAATTGGGAATATTTTTACTTTTCTTAAAGTCTTAGTACATTGTTCTCAAAGTTGTAATTATCAGAAGTATATTATAAGAAATGGTTTAAAATATATTATTACTCTTTGTTTGGTCAATTTATGGTCACTAGCAATCTTGTGTCTCAATATGTTGTCCAAGGGCTCCATAACCACCATTAAAATGCATTGCATCCAGTCTCATAATATGTCGGACATAATTCCTACAAAAGTATCCTGGGAAAGTGTTTCTTCAAGTCTTTACTAAAATTAACTTGATACTACTTTTACACTTAAGTGAATATAATGACTTCTAGGAAGAAAGCATAGGTAATGTGTCTAACCATCCTGGACCTCTTGTTAATTTTTCAGGTCAAGATTACATCACTTGTTTTCACAGATTGAAAAAGAATTTGAGACAGTTTATGCAGAAAATCTTCTTTGTAAGTAATAACTTGAATCAAAAACACTAATTTAAATTAAGAACAGTTTATGCTTACCTGAGAATTCTTTGGATTAAAGTTTATAAATTTTTCAGTTGACATCAAAACTTGGTTCAAACTGAATTTGACCATCAACTTAATTGACCCTGACTGTTAAAGTCATATTGAATTTTGCTAATATTGGCTATAACTTTGTAATTGACTGATTTGATTTAGATAGACTACAAAAATGGCATGATGAATATTTTTAAGCTTGACCTTGAAATGACCTTGACCATCAAGGTTGAATTATTGAATTTTACTAGAATTTCCTTAACTTTGTTGTTAATAGCCAGATTTTATATATTCTTAAGCATAACAACACTTATGAGAAAAATCAGCATGTTGAATCATTTAAATATGAATTTGTCCTGAAGTTGTTGAGATGATCTTTTGTTGGCAGTTTGTGGTTAGTAATAACCAGTATTTGGTCTCGGGATATAAATTCAACAAATTTGCTTCTTATATATAGATGATTACTATATATTACAGTACAGGACAAGGTGGAAGGTCTTCAGGAGAGATTAGATGCTTACATTGCTGGAGATAAAAGTGGAGTAGAGAACCTTGAGATACCTGATGGTGCTGCCAAGGCTAAAAGATGTAAGATATTAAAACAAACCTTCTGTCACAGTTGTAGACTTAACCACAATAAAGGGATATTTTTTGCCGCCAGAACTAAAGATTAACAGTGAGGTTATTGCCATATTTAGGGACTTTTAAAGTAACAATTTTTGATGATTTTGTTGTCTCTCACATTGTTTTACTCAAGGGATCATAAGCTGCTCTTCATAAAACAGACAGAAATTGTCATATTGATGGTACCATGATGTCAAGTGTGTGAACAACTAATGATGCTTCAAACTTATCTATTAAACATTTTCATGATGAAATGTTGAGTTCTGAATTCTGATTAAATTTGGTTCCCTATAACTTGCATTTTCCACAAATGAGTATGACGAGGCTCTAAATCTGAGCCTGCAAACTTTTTCAATTTAGCCATATTGTTAATGTTTTAAATCAAGTCCCTGTGGTCAATTTTCTGAATTTCAAGATATATTAATGCCTTACTCAAATTCTATTTAGTACAGAATTGTTTGGTTTACCACATTTCTATTGAATATAATGTTTTCAGCGGCCAGTCATATATCACAGAAGATAAAGAAGTCTTATATAGCATCCACCAGTAAACTAGTGTCCAGTTTTAGACAGGCCACACCAGCATATTCTGTTGTGAAAGATTTTCATGGACACAAAGATGGAGTGTGGGAGGTGAATGTATCAAAGTTAGACAATAATATTATTGGAACAGCTTCAGCAGGTACTTTAAGTGATGCATCCATGTACAATGTATCCCTAGTAAACTATCATGTATGCATTTTGAAAGTTGACAAAGTTAATATTTTTTAGCTCGACTATTCGATAAGAATAAGTAGAGCTATTGTAGTCACCCGAGCGTCGGCGTAACCACTTATGTTAAATTTTTTGTAATAGTTTAAATATTTTCAAAGTCCATTGACATATGGCTTTGAAACTTTGCACACTTGTTCACCATCATTACCCCAACCTGTAGACAGGAGGAGGTAACTCTATCAAGCATTTTGACAGAATTATGCCCCTTTTTCGACTTAGAATTTACGTTAAAGTTTTTGTAATACCTCAAATATTTTCAAAGTCCATTGACATATGGCTTTGAAACTTTGCACACTTGTTCACCATCATGACCCCAACCTGTAGACAGGAGGAGGTAACTCTATCAAGCATTTTGACAGAATTATGCCCCTTTTTCGACTTAGAATTTACGTTAAAGTTTTTGTACTACCTCAAATATTTTCAAAATTCATTGACATAAGGCTTTGAAACATGTTGAAATTTTATACTCTTCTTTGAGAGCATAATAGGACTCTCTCCAAGGCCTATAACTGTAATATGGATTTAAAGAAAAATTTTGCCTTTTTCTTTACTTAGAAAATTTTACCTTTTAATCAAGGCGTTTTTTACTATCAAGCACTAAGAATAGTCGAGCGTTGCTGTCCTACCGGCAGCTCTTGTTAAGCATGTTGGAAATGTTCAAAGTAACAATCAAATAAAAATGTCACATTGTAACTGTTTGGTATTAAGCATTTTCTTTTACCATATGTGTTTAAGTCCTGACATTTGGGTCAAAAGTAGCCTCACCTACTTACATAGTTTCATATAGGAAAAATTTTAAAATTCTTTTTTCAAACATCAGTGCCTAAAGCTAAATACAATGTATATGTAGCATAGTCTACCAAGATTTTACTTATTATAACATTTTAGTCAAAATTTGCCCCACTCTCTTGATTTAAAATGTCAGATAATCATAAGGAAAATGTATAAATCTTTAACCCTTTACCACATGAGCACATTGTGAAAATGGCCGTTTTCATTAAAAAGCCTCCTGTTACTAGTTCAAACTGCTATGAAACTATGAAAAATGCTTCAGTACTGATGAAACTTGGCACTAATGTTGACTGGACCATAGCCTCTGTAACAGCATGCTCAATTTTTAATTTCCTTTTACCATGACAACGAGAGGACATCTCAAAATTGCCAAAAATCACTATTTTGCCTCGATTTTTTCCATCAAATTTATTTTAAAGTGCTGCAAACAAAAAATTGTGTTTGAGGCCCAAACAGGACATTTTTTTTACTATTTGAGGCCTAAAAAGGGGGGTATAAAGTGTGTTGTTTCAAGTATATATGAGGTAAAGGGTTGGGATGTTCTTTTCCCAAATACTCTGAAGACACGGATGGAAATCATAAAATAATCAGTAACATTTTAGATCATGTCAAGTATAAAATATGTATATAGAAATAATAGTCATTTACATGATGAACATAAAAGTATACAGCTGAAAACACATGACATTGTTAAAAAGAATCCCATGTACCAAAAATGTTAGCAACAAGGTGAATTTTTTATAGGGGGAAGAACTTTAGAAGACAGTGGCTTGTGGTTGACAAATGATTTGATTGTCATAAGATTTTAGTACATGTATCTTATGTTTCTACTTACCAGATCATACTGCTAGAATATGGAACATAGAAACTGGTCATTGTTTGCTACAGTATGCCGGACATCAAGGATCTGTGAATGCAATCCGGTTTAATCCAGTAAAAGATTTAGTTGTAACAACATCTGGTGCAGGGTTTGCACATATCTGGTCTCCCCAAGTGAATTTACCACCTCATGAAATCATTGTAAGTATTGTTTACAGTATCAGCAGTAATCTGTGAATGTTTCCCTATACCCTACAATATATTTAAATAGTATTTAGCTCACCAGAGCATTTTGTGCTAATAGTCTGCTGGTTCTGTCTATCAATAGTTTGCTCATACAGTTTCACTATGTTTAAATCATCTTTTGTTTTCTTTCCGTTTATTATAACCATAAATGTGAAAAATGTAATTAAAAATAATAAAGGAAATGATCCACATTATTAATTTCAAATAGAAGAAATCACAAAGGAATTCTTGTCTTACATTGCTGTAGCTGATTTAAATCACTTTCTACTTCCTGAATAGAGGTAGGGCAAATATCAGATTTCTTTTATTCAATGTAATATCACAACATTAAATAATAAATAACATATACAGATATCTAATAGCTGTCTGGTTAGCTCAATAGGTAGAGCATTGGATTGTGAATCAGGTGACCCAGGTTCGATTCCCTAACAGTACTTGTGGAATATGAGGAAACCGGGTCATATCTCAAGTAGGGCTCAAAATTGTAATAATAAATCACTAGCTTCAGAGGCAGACACCTTAACCTCTCTGCATCATATCTTCAGTTGAATGGATACTAAAAAAGTTGACAAAGACAAGTTATTAGTTGTTATTCTGCTTGTAGATATGTACATATATATATCTGAATTTGTTTACAGAGATCACATTCATCAGGAGAAGATGACCTTGATATGTCCGAGAAAGAAGACATGGCTGAAGGTATTTGTACTCTTCTATACTTTAAATACCCTCACTTTGATGTGGGGGTCATGTAGATTTGCTCTTGATTGTATATCAAACGTGAACCCAACCTTACAATGATGTTTACTGAATGTTATCTTATGCATGATACCACACCAGTTATCCCAGAGTTATGGCCCATTATGTAATTTCTAAACACTGCTCCTTGAGTAAATGATAAAATATTACAAATTTTACACAAATATTTACTAAGATGAGATGATATACATATATTGAATATGTTAGTTCTCTTGCACAAATTTGAATCATTCTGATTCAGATATTTTAATTGACCAATAAACTAAGACTTTGTTTTTGAGAAGTTTCAAATGCTAATTTATTTTTTGGTTTTAGAAGCTGATATGAACCAAGGGTTTAGGGTGAGGTATAAGTTTTTTTGGGTGATGCTCCATCATCCTTTGCAGATCTTATATGCTGTTTCCTTTAGACTGTCTGACTGAAATTTATTCATGGCCCTTTTAACTGGTCACTCAACTACATACATGTGAAATCTGACTGTTCTGCCTTAGACTACTGCTTTTAAGCTCACTTGTGCAAAAAGTGCTTAGATGTATCTTAATGTGAATGTTTGTGATATGAAACTATTGTATTATTCAATATATTGGTACAGACTTACCTGAACAAACAGTCAACAACACACTCCGAACTCCAACCAGAGAACTGGTAGGTCATCACAGTGTGGTTATAGCAGCTGATTGGCTGAATACTGGAGATCAGGTGATCACAGCATCATGGGATAGAACAGCCATTTTGTTTGATGCAGAAACAGGAGAAAATATTTCCATTCTCACAGGTATTCTTTTCTATGCATTTGAATTTATATACAAATTGCTGTTGTAGATTTACTTTATCCATCATTATTTAAAAAAAACATTTGGTCATATGGCTGAAGAGACTTATTATGTTAGTTGTCCTTACTCCTTCTGTTAACAATTTCATGTCCTTTCTTTGAGATCATGCATCAGTGAGATGATGCTCAAAAAATTAGGTAAAAGGTCACATTTCAAGGTCAATAGTTTGAGAACCTTTGCACATTATGTTACTTATTCCAATCTGATGCAAAAGTAGGTCACCTGAGCTTAAACTTTATCTTAAAAATGAAATCTTTCAGAAACATATTTAAGAACATCTCTCAACGACTAGATATTCACCAAACTTCACAGGAATTATTCTTACCTTTGGTGATAGGTGATCATCACCAAGTGAAGTACAATATAGGTTTTTAGCTTCAGTTTTCAAATTTGGATCACTAGTCACTTAAATATGTGTTATCAAAATCTGACCATTAATGACTTTGAATGTGACTTAGCAATCTACTTGATGTTTGAAGAAATGAATCTCAAGTAAGTTGTTTTACAGTTGTCTTGATATTATTCTGAGTTAACCTTGATATTTTGTAGGTCATGATCAAGAACTAACAGAAGTCAGAGCACACCCTGCACAAAGTTTAGTTGTGACCTCTTCAAAAGATACAACTTTCAGACTTTGGGATTTCCGTGACCCTAACATGCCAGTGACTGTATTCCAAGGGCATACACAGTTTGTACTCATTTTAATGCTTATACAAACATTATACCATTTACATGTACACCTTCATTTTCAAATTATTGTTATCACCAGTTAATAAAATCGAAATGTATAATGAACTGCAGTTGTCTTCAACAAATGGATACTTAGGTTTTTACAGGAACAATAGGAAACAGTAAAAAAAAATTGATGCCAATATATTTATATTTTTATGGCTAAAAGAACAGTTGTAAGACTAGCCACTTAAATGCCAATTTATAGGAATGTCTTTCAGTTCTTCAGTCTGGATCATACCTTAAAATTGGTTTGTCCAAACTTTTATAAAACTTCATAATTATACAATGTATATGAATAGAGAGATATACTATAAAGGTCACAAAATGCCATAAAGGTATTTTGTTTAGGAAAAGTATAACTACTGATAGTTGGTTTAATTGTAATAAAACTCTGCAGGATATTTTCTTTTTATATTATAGAAAGAAATATATGCTGGTCAAAAACTATTTGAGTCATATGTGTGCTTTTTATTTACAGCCCTTTTAAAAGGGGAAGATTTAGATGTTAGCTATATAAAAGAATTAAAAAGTCTGATGATAATGATAATATTTCATGATAATGATGATAATTATTTAAATTATATTGAATATTTGTTTTAAAGGCCAGTAACAACAGCTGTGTTTGCTGGACAGGAGAAGGTTGTATCTGGTAGTGATGATAGAACAGTTAAAGTATGGGACCTTAAGAACATGAGATCACCAGTAGCAACTATAAGAACTGATTCATCTGTTAACAGGTAAAACACTCTCTTTTTTGAAATAACTAAGAAATTTTTTCTTACCTTCCCTGGGCATAATGTGCTCAAAGATAAGCTGGTGAGATTTTGTGACATCCTAATTTCTGTCATATAGTTATTCATTGTTATCCACAAAATCTTTATAAATTATCTATTTCTTAACCACTAGGTAGAATTTGTACAAACTTTACATGAAAGATTAATTGGTGGTTCACTGTTATAGTTACATAGGTGGTTCACTGTTATAGTTACAATTTGTATTGGTCTAATGCACAAGGTAGTGACAGGGGTTAAAATGAATTTTATGACATGAAAAGGGTTTAAAGTGACTGAATATTTAAATGAAAATTTTCAAAAATTGTACAATCATGTTTTCATACAGATGATACAGAAATTTACTGACATTTTTTAGCTCACCTGTCACAAAAGGACATGGTCAGCTTTTGTGATCGCTTTTCGTCCGTCTGTCCGTCCGTCCGTAAACTTTTACTTTAAATGACATCTCCTCATAAACCACTAAGCCAATTTCATCCAAACTTCACAGGAATGTTCCTTTGGTGGTCACCTTTAAAAATTGTTCAAAGAATTTAATTCCATGCAGAACTCTGGTTGCCATGGCAACCGAAAGAAAAAAACTTCAAATATCTTCTTTTAAAAAACCGTAAGAGCTAGGGCTTAAATATTTGGCATGAAACATCATCTAGTCAGTGACTACCAAGTTTGATCAAATAAATGCCCTGGGGTCAAAATTGGCCACGCCCCGGGGGTCATTGATTTTCCTTATTTGTATATAGTAAAAACTTTAAAAATCTTCTTTTAAAAACCCCAAATAGCTAGAGCTTAGATATTAAGCATGAAACATCTTCTAGTGGGTGTCTACCAAGTTGCTCAAATAAAAGCCCTGGGGTCAAAATTGACCCCGCCCCAGGGGGGGTCATTGATTCTCCCTATATGTATATTGTAAAAACTTAAAAAATCTTCTTTTAAAAACCCCAAAGAGCTAGAGCTAAGATATTTAGCATGAAACATCTTCTATTAGGTGTCTACCAAGTTTGTTCATGTAAGGGCCGTTTGGTTAAAATTGGCCCTGCCCCAGGGGTCATTGATTTTCCTTATATGTGTATATATAGTAAAAACTTTAAAAAAATCTTCTTATAAAAACACATAGAGCTAGAGTTTAGCTACTAAGCATGAAATATCTTTAAGTGAGTGTCTACCAAGTTTGTTCAAATAAAAGCCCTGGGGTCAAAAAAGTTCCCTTTCAGGGGGGAGGAGGGGGGTCATTGTTTTACCCTATATGTATATAGTAAAATCTTAAAAAATCTTCTTATAAAAACCCCAAAGAGGTAGAGCTTAGATATTTATCATAATCTTTTTCTGGGTGTCTACCAATTTTGTTGAAATAAAAGCCCCTGGTTTAAAATTGCCCTTGGCCCAGGGGCCTATATACAGGTGAGCGATTTCAGGGCCATCATGGCCCTCTTGTCTCTTAATTTAGGTGATTTAGTTTGATTTTTTTTCAAGATACAAAGAAATATTCATATTATACTGTGCATTCATCAATATTACAAAATTTCATCATGTCTGGTGCTTTGAAATGATGATATTTAGCACATTTTATAAATGAAACTGCATACCTAAGATGAGGTGATTGTGCCATTATAAATGAAGTTGTAAATTTATACCCTGCTGTAAAAAGGAATTAATGATGAAATTAATTTTCCTCTGGTTGTTTATTACGGAATTGTTTTGTTGCACTTTGTGATTGGTTTGAGGAATATTTTCAGAGATTATTATTAATATTAGAGATTTATCTTTTGATATCAGATTATTTTAGCCTATAACATTACATACTTTTATACATGTAAAGAATGTAATAATTTCTGCCATACAGACTTTGTGTGTCTCAACAAAACATAATTGCCATACCCCATGACAACAGACACATACGTTTGTTTGATATCAATGGTAACAGAATAGGACGTCTGCCTCGAAGTAACAGAACTGTAAGTTCAAAGTTGATGTATTGATAACTTAGTATGTTTAAATGTTTTGATTTTGGTAATTTTTGAATTTGCATTCTGGGAAAGTAAATGATACATAAAGAGGAGAAAAGTAAAGAACTGTATAACTTTTGTTTAACAAGCATGTCTTTGATTTATCTTATACAAATTTTATATTGTTTATATGAATCCAGTTATGCTTTAGACAATAAAATCTTTGATGTTACAAGTTAGGTACACTTCCATTTCTGACTTAAAGCTTAAGCATCTGAGAGGGGCCTATCAGAGATTTATTCCCAATTCAATGCTTAAAAGTACATAAATGATCTGTGCTTAAACTGTATTGGTTTGACTCCAACCCTGTATTTTAAAGTGATCTAGAAACTTGTCATTGTTAATTATTAATTAATATACATGTATTATTACGCACTTTGCAGGGTCACAGTAAAATGGTATGTAGTGTTGCATGGGCAGACGACAACACCGTCTGTAATCTATTGTCCTGCGGGTTTGATCGCAAAGTGCTAGGCTGGCATATAAACTTACAAGTGAAGGAATAGTTGAATACATGTCTGTGTTTACAGAATAGTGACATCTCTTCTTACAATATAACTTACAGAGTGAACATTTCAAAGTAAAAGTCCAACAAAAGTAAACAGTGAAGATCTTAATTTATTTATTTATTTATTCATAAAATGATTTCAATTAGTTATGAAATGTTGTCTGAACTCTATACTAACATGAACCATGTTGAGATTATACAATCGAACATTCTGTTTGCAAGAGATAAATTTTACAAAGCTTACAGCTTGTATTGTACAAAAAGTTAAGAAATTAACTATTTAAATGTGATGGTGGCAGCTCTGCTTGGGTTTCAACCGTTCTAGGTGGAGATGTATCTAGCACAGAATGCAATGCCTGGAAAAATCTAGACAGCAGAAAAAACTATGCTGAACATTGACTAAGAAGAGGAAACTCATCAGTTATTGTACCATTTTCAATATGATTGATTATCAACAAATCTCAATGTTCAATGCTTGCAATCGTTTCTTTGACATGTTATTATTTATTTAGCTGTTTTTATTTAAGACTATATTTACTTTGTGTACGTTCTCAACTCTGATATAATTATGAAAGAATCTTAATATCATTTTGTTACATATTTGTAATACGTAATGTTTGGACACCTATTGTCAAGGGGAAGTGGGGTATTTATTTCTTTAGGTGATATTTCAGTTTGTTTTACTGTCTTTTTTACAACATGAAAACTTTTCAAATCTGGTAATACACAGAAGCACATGGTATCTTATTTCAGTTCCTATTCATCAGTCATATGTAAATAATGTTAACCTTTGATTATTTTACCCTAATTAATCAAGTGAAAGGAAAATATACATTTTTTAAAAATTAAAATTCAGATTACTATAAAATATAACATGTCCCATTTTTTCAAGCTCAAAGTAGAATATATGGTTCCATAGAATAATTATGTTTCATTTTTACAATAACGCAAAGACTGTGTAGTATTTATAGGTATTTTTGAAATATTAAATTTAAGCATAATATATCTTTAATGATTTTAAGGGGTTATCAGAAAATAGAAAGGTGACCTGCAATGTATTAATTACCGTAATTATCTGAGATAATCAATACTTGTAAAGTGCCATATACCAATAAATGGTAAAGTTTCAATAATTTTTTATAAACAATAAATACGGGATTGTACTGTTACTTCAATTTGGTATTTAGATGTTTAATTTGGGAGGTATTTGTTTTACTGTTAAGTGTATCAAATGCTTTTGCCTTGTATAGCTAATTCTCTCCTGTCTCTAATAGTGAGCAATTTCTAATATATGCCTAATATAGCTTGTAATTTGTTATTACTTACATAATTAACTTTATTGATAAGCAAATTGAAGTCTACACTATTTTGACATGTTATTTCCTGAATGAAACAACTTGTATGATTATTTTACTGTCAGCTGGGGGAAAACGTAGCCAACATTGACAAGTAAAGTAGTTATATTACTCAGCTAGTCATCTAGAAAGTCTGTTTGTTGATGTTGATCATAGTGACATAGACATTGATGATTTGATTCACGAAACTTATAATGACATCACTTCACTAGTACCTTCTCTCTGTTAAATTTAGTTGTGATTGAAACCAAATGAAATAAACTACTTTTAGATTCCAGAATTAAATTAGAAGATAGACGTATATGAGATGAACTTGCAGACTGATAAAATTGAAACAAAACATTGTAAAAAGTCCATTGTTATAGGTTTTATTTTTGTAATCAAATCAATAGGGTAGTTGACAGTGTTCATTTTGCTCATCAATAGAATTGGGAAGAAATAACCAAGAGTTAACTAAAATATGGTGACTTACATTAAGCCAGCCAGTTGCGTGAGCAACGATTCTTTGTGCAATATCACATTATTTATTGTATATTTACTAATCTCTAGTTTTCAGCTTGACTATTTGAAGAATAGAGTTCACTCTTTGGGTAAGTTTTTGTGTGAAAGTTGATATCTTCAATATCACTGAAAGTGATGGGTTGAAACCTCACACAAATAGCATAATAGAATGTTACTGTCCAAGGCACGTAACTCTTACATGAATTATAGACTGTTTTGAACTTGGAAAATTTTACATTATCCAGGCTCTTATTTTACTATCAAGTACTGAGAATAGTCGAGCATGTTGTCCTACCGAAAGCTCTTTTTTTTCTTTTGTTGTTAATATTTATACTGTTGAAAATGTTCAATTCTTTTCAATCTCGATAAAATATGTATTTTTTTTGCCAGCTTTTTTTAAGCTCACCTGTCACAAAGTGACATGGTGAGCTTTTATGATCGCTTTTCGTCCGTCCGTCCAGCGTCCGTCCGTAAACTTTTACTTTAAACAACATCTCCTCATAAACCACTAAGCCAATTTCACCCAAACTTTTCAGGAATGTTCCTTTGGTGGTCAATTTTAAAAATTGTTCAAAGAATTTAATTCCAAGCAGAACTCTGGTTGCCATGGCAACCGAAAGAAAAAAATTAAAATATCTTCTTTTAGAAAACAGTAAGAGCTAGAGCTTAAATATTTGGCATGAAACATTATCTAGTCAGTGTCTACCAAGTTTGTTCAAATCAATGCCCTGGGGTCAAAATTGGCCCCTCCCCGGGGGGGGGGGGGGGTTTATTGATTTTCCATATATGTATATAGTAAAAACTTAAAAAATCTTCTTTTAAAAAACCCAAATAGACTAAGTACAGAGTTATTGCCCTTTGTTACTTTTCCTTGTCCGGGGCATAACTTGAAAACTACTGGTTGGAATTCAAAACAACTACATACAATTGTCAAACACAATAAGGGGAAGTGCAGTGCACAAGAACCATAACTCTATCTAAAGTAATTACAGAGTTATTGCCCTTTGTTGCTTTTCCATTGCTTTTTTTTTTGTCCGTTGCATTTTCCTTGTCCGGAGCATAACTTGAAGACTTATGGTTGGAATTCAATATAACTACATACAATGGTCAAGCACATTGAGAGGAAGTGCAGTGCTTAAAAAACATAACTCTATCTTTACTAATTACAGAGTTATTGCCCTTTGTTACTTTTCCTTGTCCGTGGCATAACTTGAAAACTACTGGTTGGAATTCAAAACAACTTCATACAATTGTCAAACACAATAAGGGGAAGTGCAGTGCACAAGAACCATAACTCTATCTAAAGTAATTACAGAGTTATTGCCCTTTGTTGCTTTTCAATTGCCTTCTTTTTTTTGTCCGGAGCATAACTTGAAGACTAATGGTTGGAATTCAATATAACTACATACAATGGTCAAGCACATTGAGAGGAAGTGCAGTGCATAAGAACCATAACTCTGTCTTAAGTAATTACAGAGTTATTGCCCTTTGTTACTTTTCCATTGCTTTCTTTTGTCCGGACCATAACTTGAAGACTAATTGTTGGAATTCATTATAACTTCATACAATGGTCAAGCACATTGAGAGGAAGTGCAGTGCATAAGAACCATAACTCCATCTTGACTAATTACAGAGTTACTGCCCTTTGTTACTTTTCCTTGTCCAGAGCATGACTTTAAAACTACTGGTTGGAATTGAAACCAACTTCATACAATGGTCAAGCACAATAAGGGGAAGTGCAGTGCACAAGAACCATAACTCCATCTTGACTAATTACAGAGTTATTGCCCTTTGTTACTTTTCCTTGTCCAGAGCATAACTTGAAAACTACTGTTTGGAATTCAGTACAACTTCATACAGTTGTCAAGGACATTCATATGAAGTGCAGTGCACAAGAGCCATTACTCCATTTTGACAAAATACAGAGTTACTGCCCTTTGATACTTTTCCTTGTCCGGAGCATAACTTAAAACGTACTGGTTGGAATTCAAAACAACTTCATACAATGGTCAAGCACAATAAGAGGAAGTGCAGTGCACAAGAACTATAACTCTATCTTCAGTATTTATAGAGTTATTGCCCTTTGTTCTTTTTCTTTGTCTTTCTGGACTTATTACAGAGTAATTCAATTAAACTTCATCAATGGCCAACCACATTGAAAGGAAATGCAACAATTATCTTTAATTGCCCACAACCATAACTGTATGTTTCAATTCTTTTACAAGGTATTCTGTTACTCGTAACATCCTCATTTCCATCGCAGACTTTTGGGGGTATTAATCACATTTAGTGATAGTTCTAGTTGTTTTTCCCTTTATGTATATTGTAAAAACTTTTAAAACCTTCTTTTAAAAAACCCAAACAGCTAGAGCTTAGCTATTAAGCATGAAGCATCTTCTAGTGGGTGTCTACCAAGTTTTTTTCAAATAAAAGCCCTGGGGTCAAAATCGGCCCCACCCCAGGGGGTCATTGTTTTTCTCTTTATGTATATAGAAAAAACTTAGAAAATCTTTTTTTAAAAAACCTTAAGAGCTAGAGCTAAGATATTTAGCATGAAACATTTTCTAATGGGTGTCTACCAAGTTTGTTTAAATAAGGGCCCTGGGGTTAAAATGGCCCGCCCCGGGGATCATTGATTTTCCTTATATATATATAGTAAAAACTTAAAAACTCTTCTGTTAAAAAACCTAAAGAGTTAGAGTTTAGATATTAAGCATGAATAATCTTCTAGTGAGTGTCTACCAAGTTTGTTCAAATAAAAGCCCTGGGGACAAAATTGGCCCGCCCAGAGGAGGGGGTCTTTGTTTTTCCCTATATGTGTATAGTAAAACCTTAAAAAAATCTTCTTAGAGCTAGAGCTTAGATATTTATCATGAAACATCTTCAAATGGGTGTCTACCAAGTTTGTTCAAATAAAAACCCGTGGGTTAAAATTGGCCCTGCCCCGGGGGCCTATATACAGGTGAGCAATTTCAGGGTCATCATGGCCCTCTTGTTGTTAAAAATGTTATCTTTAAAATTCTTTTCCAAACTTCTAGGCCCACAGTCACAAAGGTCACTTTTTCACTATATAGTGTTTCAAATAAAAAAAACTTTAAAAAAAACAGCAGCACCTAGTGTGTTATGATATTTGGGTAGTTGTATGGTCTGGTAAACTTCTATCATATTTCATGATATCAAGGCTCAACATATTATTTATAGCATATTTTGCTGTATCTCAAAAGGAATTATTATTAGATGATTTTTGACAAGAATAGCTAAATTTGTTATGGTCTGCAGAGCTTAATTTTGACAGAGATAAAATTGATTTTAGGTTTGAACGTTATTTCTTCAATCACTGGTTAGATTTTGACTTAAGAATGAGACCCTTGGGAAGTACTTTACAATAATAGCTGAAATTGTTACTGTTCACAGAATAAAATGGCTACCAAAGCTAAAAATAGACATAAACCTTTTAAGGTTAATGACATCTTTTTAAAAAACAACAGACAACTAAACTTTGACTAAATTAAACAAGAATGGTCTTTGGGTTGTACTATACAAAACAATTAAAATTGTTTCAGTCCAATGACCTTAGATATTTTTCTCTGGTTTGAATTAGGGCTCTCTTTTGTGTTCATTTTTATTTTCGCTATGATTTATCTTTGGACAGTATCCGTCTTTGATAAAATATACATGTAATATATAATAATAAGTATTTGCTTGTTACTGAAATATTTTCTGTTTATATTATTAAAAAGTAAATTATATTTTGACTGTTTTGTATTCATTCTTTATCATGAGGGAACACTTGTTGTTGTGTTATATTATTTCAAAACAATTTAATGATAAATTTGGAAAGTCATTGTAAAACTGATAAAATTTTGAGGTGATATATGTAGGAGATATTTCGCTTGTAGCATTGCACAATGGACCTCTACTTGAGTTTTATATCATTGGCAGGGGTATAATTTAGCCCTGCCTAGATTAATGATCACAATGTGGACTAAGGGATCTACCGCTTTGAACATACTTCAAATTTGAACCGCAAGTTAACTTTCATAGTGTTTGCAAGAGGATGACGTTGAATGTGACTCACCTGTATCGAAGAAATATGATCTTTTCAAGCAGTAGATTTCAGGTGAGCGTTCATAACTAATGATGGCTCCATTGTTAAATTATCTTATAAACTTCACTATTTAGCTCATCTGGACACAGTGCTCTTTTAATAATAAGGTGATGTTTGTATGTAATTCACAATTTCTTAAAATAACATCTCAAACCACTTGGTAAATTTTCACCAAACTTCAGGAATGATCCACATGTTTACCTCTTCAAAGATTATACTATACAAATAGTTCCAGTTTGATTAATTAGGTCACATGAGAAAAATATAGACTAAGAAAGAAATTAAAAAATTTCAGAAATTTTATGCATAATGCCCAAATCTTAAATAAATGTATGGCATGACACATTACCTTTTGGTTCTCTACAGAAGTTTCCTGATCGCCCATGTTCTATACGTTTGACACATTTAAATGATTTTAAAAACAAGAGCACGCTAGGTGGAGCGTTATATGCCCGAAAAGTATTTTTTAGTAAGGATGAAGCATTTGTAAGGCATGGGAATATTTCATATGAATATCATATGAATAATTGTGGAAAACGAAGTAGAGATAAAAGATACCATTCAGAATGCTCCTTCAAAAAGCAATTCTATATAGTTGAAGAACCTTCATATATATACAGTTGCTATTTCCAAAGCACCACCATTAAGTTGCTATCTTGTAAGTAAAAATGTTAAGATGGATGGACGGAAAGACACCAGGGGTATAACATAATATAAGCACATTTTAAGGGCATGTAATTAATGTACTCAGTATAAGTGATCATCCTATGAAGTTTGACAGTTGTAAAACTGTTAACAATAGTAAGGTCATTTGATATTGACCTTGTGACCCCAATATAGATATGGATCTCTTATTCATATAGGCAATCATCATATGAAGTTTGAATACTGTAAGCCAAATGGAACTTCTATTATGCTCCAGAAACCACAATTTTCAGTGTTAAGGTCATTGTGACCCTGACCTTTGACCATATGACCCTAAAATCAATAGGGGTCATCTATTGGACATGGCTGTTCATCCTACACAATTTTACAGCTGTAGGATTTATACTTAAGTTATTGAGCGAAAACTGTTTTCAGTTTTAAGGTAACAATGACATTGACCTTGTGACCCAAAAATCAATAGGGGTCTTGTACACAATATTGACAATCTTCCTATGAAGTTTAAACACTGTGGACCAAATGGAACTTAAGTTATGCTCCGGAAATCAAATTGCTAACGGGCGGACGGACGTCAGGGGGTATAACATAATATGTCCGAAA